CGTGAGATTACAAGAAAAAGTGAAACAAACTTTTGCAAATCTGGATACCTAAAATGTGATACTTCTGCCATTACAAATATGTGTAGTTTCAGTAGTTTCAGACAACAAACAACAACACAGTGAACTTCATCACTACATATGCCAATCAACACATTGTACATGGATGAAATCTACTATGGCTAAGTACTACACTGAAAGTGATGCAACTTTTCACAAATTTGTGTAAATTGTATGCGGCAATTTCATGTATCGAGTCAGAATTTTGGTACTATATTATGTCATGTTTATCCTACTCATCTGAATGGTTCAGAGTCCTCTCAATTGACATTCTACATACATATCAAATCTTCCCTCCTAAATAGTTCATTAAAATTAACAATCAGCTCCGTCGCCAGCTCCGGGCGTTAGGGGGGGGGGGCACAGTACAAACTAAGGGGGCACACCACAAGAAAAAACACACTATATGATTTTTACACTTATGGTTTTTGCCAATGGGGGGGCCAGTTGCTCATCGGGGGGGGGGGGGGAGGGGGGGGCCTTGTGCTCCCCCTTGGCAAACGGACCTGTTAACAATTTGTTTTAGGTGAAAGTTCATTTTACATGTCTAAGCCAAACATATTCATGTAGTAACTGAAAAAATTGAAACCTTAGCGATCATATCTTTAAAGGTCTGATTTATCAATAGAAAACTCAAGTTTATCTTGCTATCAATTAAATGAAAGAAGGAAATTCATAGTATGAAGGACAGCCTTGAAATCAATGTCAATTTGTTGTAAGTACCGGTACCCACAATGGAAGGACAGGGAAGCAATACCCACTTTTTTTTTAAGCATTTGCCGTCATCGTTCATCACAAAGAACAACCTTGCTCACTACAACTCCTGCAACTTTTTTACACTTCAACTAAATTTATCCGTTTTTATATCCGTTCAGGCTTTTTTAGTCAAGTAATGAATCCTCAAAATAGGAATAAATTAAGCCTTCTCGGGCACCTAAGCCTTCTCGGGCACCTTATCAAATCAAACTTGCTATTTCTCATTTAATTCAACAGATATTGTGCGAAGAAGTGACTACCGGTACCTGTGTGTATCTAGTCATACAATGAATAGATGGCCAAAGGTTTCTACCTGTAGATGTATGTCGTTAAGATGATTATGTAGATGTATGTCGTTAAGAACAATTAATGATTTATTGCTGCCAGAACTTTACTGCAGCAAATGTACATTAAATTAACTGCGATCTCTAAAATGCTATAGGTATTTATTTGAGCCCAACAGTAAGTTACAATTTTTATTGACAATTTGGCATTCTTGTGAAATTCATTAAATACATACTGTACAAGTACATGTTCAATGTAAATTATATATCAAACAAATAACTGTGGAGGCCGAATAAAACGGTCTGGCAATTTGTCTCAAGTTATAACAAAGAAAAAAAAGAAAAAAAATCTCAAGGGGCAAATTTGTATGGATCAACAGTTATTCAGGAAAAAGAAGAAAATCATTCAAGATTTTAAAAAGATAGGAACGATACAGCAGAGGGTGAAATTAGATACAAAAATGCTCTGACAAAATCAATAATACTTTACGAGGTTTGATGCACATTGAAACCTCAATGGATTGCGTGCAGGTACTCTTTATTTATTTTAATAGGCCAATACTGAAAGACAAAAATGTACCATAAAATAAGTGTGTTGACTTCAACTTGTCAGCTGTTCAGTGAGGAAATTGCATGGTTCAAAAAGGTTCTTTTTTTTTAAAGATGGTGGATTTTGAATGCAAATAAACATGAACTTCAATGGAATGAAAATGAAAACAAACTTCCATGGACCAATGTGTAGTTTTTCACCAGTATGCAAGATGGCATTTGGTTAATTCCGGATAAGGCCAAAAAAAAAAGTCTCCGGTTTCTGGTATGCGCGCGCGTCGCCGTAGCCATGCGCGTCGGCAAAATGAAAAAAAAAATTTTCAATGAAAGATGATGTCTCAAAACCGCCAAACTCACTGGTTTGACTGGAATCCTGCTGCTGCACAATCAATTTTAACGTGTTTTTAGATGGGGTTATGATCGAAAATAAGCTTTATGTGGCCTCTCTGGTCTCCCATAATATTTGCACTAAGTTTAGTCGGGCACCATTTGCAGTCATCAGCCGACATTTGAAGCAAAAAAAACAGGTAAAAAAAAAAAAAAAGCCATGTCACCGCACCACTTTTTGGGCAAGCTCCATACCAGAAAACGGAGACTTTTTTTTTTGGGCCCAAGAGTTGCGAACTGATGAATTTTCAAAGTACATTTTCTACCTGTAATTGTAAATCGTTTTGTTTCTTGGAAAGTTGACAAACCAAGCTTTCAGAAACAGTTTTTGTTTTTCTTCTACTGCACTTGGATTTATTTTTTATCGGTCAATCGTGGACCCTCTGTTTGTGCCCTAACCCTTTTGTCCCTAGTCCACGATTGCCGGTGTTTACATACTCACACAGACACAACGAAGAGCGCCACCTATGGTGTCAAGCTTCCTCCCCCACCCCCCCCCCCTCCCATTCCTTTTCTTGATTTGTTTAGTGGCCAAGTGACTTAAAAAATCCTGGCTACCTGCCAGCCAAGAAGGTCTGTCTACTTTGTTTCAGAAAACATTAGTCTATGCCTGGATTGGTAAAAGGTAGTAATTGATGGTTTGGGTTTTTTTCTTCTCATTTTTCCATTAGGGTAAGGGCTGTCAGAATAGGGTAGGTAAGGAATTCTTTTTTGGCCTTATTTAAAACTGTGAACCGGTCCCAATTACAATAATAATAATAACAGTGGTGGCAGAACACTTTTGAAAGTGGGGGCAAAAGCACCGTCAGTGCCGGCTGGCCGTTTACAAATTCAAAAGGCACCTGTGTGCATGATGAGTGCCTTCTAATTCTAGAAGTAGTTCAGGACCACGTTCCATAGAACAACAATACCCTTTTATGTTTTGGAATTTACCTAAATAGTTACCAGCAGGAAAAGTAACTTTATATGTTTGAGTTCGCTAAAAAAAACATATTGAATATCAGCAGGCAAAATCTTTTATAACGCCGTGGTTATCGTTACAGCAGCCATAGTGCAAATTTCAACTGCTATCATTACAGAACTGTCTGGTTCCCTGACGTAGTAGTATTCAACGTCACGATCTTTGGCTGTTGGAACCAGACTATCAACCAAATGGTTCTCGGACTTTATTTCCCATTTTGTTTTTTAAATCCTCCAAAACCACTGATTTCAAAGAAGAAAATCAAATCTACTTAAATTAAAAAGAACAATTTGATTAAAAACATAAAACTTAAGAAATCTATTCAAAAACAAAATTAGAAAACATGCAATAGTAGCGCGGCAGGGAATCGAACCAGCGTCCCCAGCTCATTCAGCTACCAATTGAGCTACGAAGCACTCTGGTTGGATAGGCAGTTATAAATCTGTATAAGTTCACATTGTGTTTTAACAATGCTGTAACAATTATATTTGAAAATTGCATTATGGCTGACGTAATGATAGCCACTACGTTTGTATAAAGATGACAGGGTTTTTATTTATGAGGAAAATTAGGCGATTGTGTTGTGTAGGGCCCGGTTCCTATAACTAGGGAACAAAATCCACTTTGAAGTTATTAGACCGACCAAACTAGTCCGAAAATTTGGGACTCTCAATACTGTGTATGAGAGTCCCAAAACTTAAGGTACTGAAAACATGCAATACAAGTAAATAGACTGGCACATGAAACAACCAGTCCAACAACTCTTCAGTACTGCATTAATCAACTGTCAGCTGACTGTGCCAAAAGAAATATATAGGATGTCGGGTACCATACCACTATTTCTGCACATTTCCCCTTAGTCAGGCACCAGACTGATGACAATGAATGAAGAAGCCAGTCATGTCAAACAGTTGGACCATGGATGGACATGTAGAAGTCTAGTCTTTAGTCTCATTTTGAAATCACTTGACTTCCTTCTCTTGTGCAAGCTACTGCCAAATATTGAAGAAAACTCTCCTTTAAAAATGGAATTGAGTTTTCAAACTTGTTTGGTGAAATACTGAGAAACTATTATTTTACCCAGTAACAGATTTGGAGGAGTTTGCTGGTTAAAGAGTGAGTAAAGTTGGCCTGATCTTTTTTTGCATCGTTTTGAGCACTTAAGGTCCCAGTCTGCGACCAAACTAGTTGCCGACATTCTCAATAAACAGGTATGTCATAGATAGAGGGCAGGGTTTTGATTTTTTGAGGGAAATTTAGGGGTAAAATGATGATGAAAGCACGGTGACAACACGCAACCCGAAAATACAGATGGCGAAACATCGCGCGATGTACCGTGAGCACGCACGGCGCGCTAAATCGCAAGGCACAAACCGCGCAGGAAAATCGTGATTTCTACCCCAAGAAACTGTTCAAATTGCAAACGGGTGTCGTTAGAATTGAGAAAAGTCTGCTTTTGATTGTAAAGGTAATTTTTGAGCAATGAAAAACTTTTTTTACTCTTAAGTCTAATCAAAACAAAACAGGGGCCCCACACTACCAGTGACTACACGATCGCCCAAATAAAAAGGGAGGTGTCCAGTTCGTGTTTTGATCATTTATTACTATAGAGAAAAATAGTGATGAATGATACTACAGTCCCTCCCTAAAAGAAATCTCTTTACAAACAAATGTACGAATTTGTATACTTACCAAATCTGTAATGATGTGAGTAACTTCAAGTGTAATACGCCTCCGCGTACGTTCTTGCGCTCACTGTATGATGAAGCGCGCATCGCGCAGCAGATACTAGATGCAGACGACAGTAATGTTAACCTCAAGGCTCTTTCAAAATTTATATAATTCTAAAAGTTTGTTTTTGTATTTTATAATCATTTTATCACAAATAAAGATAATATAAAAATATTATGGTCAAAAATATTTTATTTTGTTGTTACGTTGGAAAACAATTTCCTATTATGATACAAATCAATTATTTGATTACAATAATTTTTGAAATGCCTAAATGTAGGATGACCTCTGGTACTTTCCGATCCCACAGAATGTTGTCCTCAATCAAAGTTGCCGGCAGATTTCCCCGAATTTTGCCGAGCTTTCGGCATGTACAAGCACATCGGGTATGTATTTTTGAGCTCAGAAACCCATGGAAGTTGCAGGATTGTTAGAAATTGTGTTCATGTGCATATTGTTTCTAATGAATGGTATTTGAAGGGTAGGCCTATCTGGTAAATACACCTCCTGTCCTAGTCTAGGCTATGCCTAGCGGCTATAGCTCTACCATGGAGGAATTATTCCTCCATGGCTCTACTGAGTGGAGCGTTGAACTACAGGCACCCCTCCGTACAAACGGAGGAGTACCCGTAGTTCAACGCTCCACTCAGTAGAGCTAGTACTAGCGCCATAAATGTGGCCAATTTTTAATAATAATTTTATACTGGACTAGGCCTACCTCCGTAAATAAAGGCCACACTTGGAACATGTAGGCCTACCCGAAAATGTAGAACTTTGTCAAATTTATATTTCACATTTAGACTTTTTTTGTAGTTTATTTACGCTTCAAAGCACACTCGCCCTCTTTAAAGCGATAGAAAAGTAGGCTATTCCCTCCTTTTTCAGATGTCTTCATTTCAGATGGGTTCGTTTGCACACATTTGTGTATCTAAATTCCAACATGAATTTATACGAACAGTAGACGTCTGAAAAATGTGGGTCTTCTTTTCTATTGCTATAAAGAGGGTGAGTATGCTTCTGACTAAAGCGTAAATAAACTACAAATAATAGGGACCGTCATGACCGTACACGAACCAACATACATCGATCTGCGCAGCTGTCACACATCAGTGAACAACATTTTTTCTAAGTTGCCGCACGATCGCTCTTCAGATTTATGCTGATCAGAAGGTATTACGGGGCGATTTCCACATGTTATTGATCGTCATCATCATTTTCATACGTCAACAATAATGCGTCCAAAATACTTTTTGCTATACGCAAACGTAGACAACCAGAGTGCAAATGGCAATCTTCAAGACTTGAAGTTGACCATCAGATGTACCGCAATCAGCGTTGTGATACGATAGCCCCTATTCGCAAAGCTCAACTATTACTCCAATGTTGTTGGTGAGTGTAGTGTTGATCAGAAACAACTTTTCAACGTTGTTAACAAGTTGCTCTACAGGAATGTTCAGTCACCATTGCCATCTCACAATTGCAAAGTAACTCTGGTAAACCATTTCAGCCAGTTTTTCATCTCTAAAGTATCCAACATCCGTGACAGTCTGCCTCTGCCTAAATGTGCATCTGGACTACCACAGTTGACATCTGAGCCATCTGTCAAAGTATCATCCCTGGAAGCCACCTCCTCGGAGGAAATCAAAAGACTGATTTCCAAGGCCTCCACAAATCATGTTCACTGGATCCCATTCCCACATCTACTCTCAAGCAATGTGTGGATGTCATCACTCCTGCTATCACCAGCATTATTAACCAAAGCATGGACAAAGGGGTCGTACCAACTTCCCTGAAATCGGCGTTGGTTCATCCGCTTCTGAGAAATGGCAACTTGGATCCTGATAGTTTGCACAATTATCGTCCAGTCGCGAATCTACCCTACCTATCAAAATCACTGGAGCGTGTTGTGTTTAACAGACTGTCGTCATTTCTTCGAACGAATGATCTTCTGGATAACCGACAGTCAGCCTATCGCTGTCATCACAGTGTGGAAACTCTACTCACTCACTTATCGGGCCACATTCTCCAATGAATGGACATTGGAAATGTAACAGCCACTGTATCGCTTGACCTATCTTCAGCATTCGATGCAGTTGATCCTACGATACTGATAATTCGCTTGTCATCGCTTGGAATTATCATTGTTATGTAGATGACATCCAGCTATTTACATCGTTTAGTCCAAGACCATCGAGTGCAGCAGTTGCCATGTAAAAACTCGAGGTTTGTTTAGATCACATTAAAGAATGGATGAGTTTGAACTGAACCCTTACCCTGCCAGATGCAACACAGTGCATCGGGTGGAAAAGTCTGGTGCACTTTGATGCATTCAGCTATCAACAACAGTGCATAAATGGCTAGTTCTGAGACAATGTGAGCTAGTCCCATTGAACAATGCCACAGTTGTATCCTGCTACATTCAGTGACCACAGGCTCTGAGGCAGTTTGGCCTTGAGACTTTTGGCCTGATGGGTCTTGCTACATTGGGCAGGCTTGTCACTGAGATAAATTTGCATGTGGCTGCATTTGGCAGGGTTTTTAGCCAAAATGCCCTGGAGGGTTAGGGTAAATTAAGCTGAACGACCGAAAGTCAGTGTTCATGTTGTTTGGCAGCAAATGTAACCTCGCTAAATTGGATATTACATCAGGACAAATTGGTCCTACTTCCATCTCTGCTTCTCCAACAACTCGGAATCTCGGGGTCATTTTTGACAGTCATATGACCTTCAACGCTCACATTTCCAATGTATCCAAATCGTTTAGGGTTCACTTGCATAATATCGGCTTCATTCGCAAATACCTGACTAAATCGGCAACAGAACAATTGGTACATTCAGTGATGTCATCGAGACTCGACTATTGTAATGCACTCCTATCCAACTTACCTCAATTGACAGGCTTGACAGGCTTCAGCAGCTTCAGAACGCCGCTGCACGACTGGTAACACGAACCAAACGATCTGAACATATCACTCCAGTGTTAAAGTCACTTCATTGGTTACCTGTACAGAGTCGGATTACTTTCAAAGTTCTCCTGCTGACTTACCACATACTCAATGGATCTGCACCCTCATACCTCACCGATACGCTACCAAGATACACCCCAGCATGGAATCTCCGCTCATCACAATCCATCTCACTTGTTGTTCCTCGTGTGGGGATCTGGGGCTATACAGCATTCTGCAGCTACGCTATGGAACAGTTTTCCGGCACATTTGTGCTCGGCTACTTCTTTGGACACATTCGTAATATCGGCTTCAATTGGCACAAAAAGTGGCTTTGGAAATCTTTTTTAAAAGAATGGCGTACGGTCCTAAGTATTACTAAAATTAACGTTTAGTCGTGAGTACCGGTACTTCAATATTAGGGCTGTGCACTTCTGAATAATTTAGTATTTGATTATTCAAACTCGGATTTGAGGAAATATTCAAATATCCCAAACACGCCGATCAAGTTTAACATAGCACTGGTCCCAACTGTGGTATACAACAAAATTGTCATCTTTCCTTGTTTGTCAGATAATAATCTTTCATTTGATCACTGTAAGAAGTGTCTAGACCTTTCCTTAGGAGCAATTTTGAGGAGGGGGGGGGGGGAATATCACTGTGATGTTGCAGTCTGCCGTACATCTATGTGAAAGAGGCCTGTAATAGCAGCACAAAGTTGACTCGTGACAAGAGGGTCTCTTTAAAATCAATGTTTAAAACATGGTAAACTGCAATATCCTAACTTACACAATTTTTAAAAACATGGTTTTTTTTATTCCTCAATGCATATTCACTCTGGTCGATGGCATTTGAGGATCATTTGCAGGTTTCAAAACCAAGACAAAACATGGTAGACTGTTGTTGGACATTAACCCTAAACCCCCTTGGCCGTTTTTGCTAGGAACCATCCTCGATCCTCCAAAATCCTCCAAAATTGCGCACTTATTTTCAAATGAAGGATACCCACTGCCTCAATCCTTCAAAATCCTCCAACAGTCCTGCCTCTCAAAATGCATTCATCCTCAATCCTCCAAAATCCTCCTTTTCTTCAAACACTGTGCAGCCTCAATCCTCCAAAATCAACCGATACTTAATGTCCATGTGCCCTCAATCCTCCACAGTCCTCCAAAATTGTATGTTGCATTCAGCCTCAATCCTCCATTTTCCTCCAAAACAGCCCAGAGGACTTTGGAGGATTGAGGAAGGTTAGGGTTAAGTTTGGCAATGGATCAATCCATTACACCCTTCCCACTGTCTATTACTTCTCAAAGATCACAAAATAGAATCAAGATGCTTACATGTACGTAACTAGGCAACTAGGTTACTGTAAACACACATGTAGAGTAAACTTGGATAAACGTTTTCTTTAACATTCATCTGGAAAGTGAAAGTGCCGGTTGTTATCACATAAACAATTTGACTTTGGCAATGGCGTCATTTGTGTCATTTAATGAAAGTAATTTTTTTTGAATAGGATGCACTCATTCAAGTCCAGACTTTAAAGATACTGGACAAGTCATGGTTTTGTCATTCATGTCGTTGAAATAAGGGAATAAATGTGTGCTCCGTCGGTTTTTATCACTCTGTTTAATACCACTTAGAGTCTGGGTGCTGATAATTACCCGAGCCGGAGGCGAGGGTAATTATCAGCACCCAGACTCTAAGTGGTATTAAACAGAGTGATAAATACCGACGGAGTACATATTTATTCCCATTCATAAATACCTTTTCGGTAAAAAAAAATCATATAATTCGTTCAAAACATCCCGATTTTGTTCAACAAATTCACTTTATGCTTTTTGAATCATCCCTCCTGCAAAATAATGGAGTGTTCAGCTGGCGAGTAAGATGAAAACAACCCTTTTATGGAGATTGACGCGCGCGTATCATGTTCTATGCGATGTCGCGCAGAACGCACCTGGCGCGTTGCGTTTTGAATTTAGAACTATAAAATTCTAACTCCCTGGTAATGTTGCGCATGCCGACGTGAGGATTGTGAACGTTCAACCAATTAAACGATAAGAGGCACTGGATTTTTAGGAGTCCACATTTTATTGTGACACTGGAAAAGTGTTTAAGACCAGCTAGCCATGTCTTTATCATCCGTTTAATACCGGCCACGTGACGGGCTCTCGACCAATAGGAATGGCTAAACTGTCTGAGGTATTTATGAATAATTTTTATTTGTTGGAAGGTACTTTGCTTTACATAATCATTCCTGGAGTTAAAAGGCATTAAATAATGTGTCCTGAAGTTACAAAATCTTATCTTAGATGTAACAGGAACACAAAAATATTTGGACCCTGAGTTTATGAAATGGCCCATCGACAGTTGATGCATGGTGTGAGTCAGTTTGGAGTGAGATCATCAATCCATTTAGGCATATCAACCTTTCGTATCCCTGTCAATTTTTGCTTGTTTCATAATTTATTCGATTTACGTTTATTCTGTTCTTCCATTCTTTTCTACAGCAGCCTGTCCAAGTTGCAAGAAGTTTTTCCTGTTCAGGTAATTAACACTTTGTCATCAACGTCTTTCACTAATTTCATTTTTTGTCAAATAAAGCAGAAATGGAAACTGACTACCGGTAGGTGCGTATATAATAATTATAAAATTGATCAAAGAAGTTGACTGCAGCGGGGTTCGAACCTGTGACATCCAAAATACCGTACCAGCACTCTACCAACTGAGCTCTCCAGCCCTATGTTGGCGGTTGCCCAGTTTATCAGTGTCTTTGTTCAAGGGGTGCTAGTCAGAAGCCATTAACCCATATATGCCACGTAGCCAGGGATCACGGCCAAAGTCACGATGCTAGCAACATTAGCAATGCTGCAAACCTGGGAAATAGCAAACGGGGAGCCCTCAGAGAACATACATCTTTTCATTACAAATTGTCAAAGGGAAACTGACCAGGTGCGAATATAACAATTATAAAACGGAACAAAGAAATTGGAGCAAGGATTTCAAACCTGTGGCCTCCAGAATGTAGTTCCGGTGCTCTACCAACTGAGCTATCCAGCCCTGCGTGGGCGGTTCCCCAGTTTTTCAAAGTCTTTTTTAAGCCACAACCTTTTTTTTTGTCCGACTTTCTGACCTGTTAAAGGAAACGTAAGGACCCTGCCCTTTTGCAGTCATGTAAACACTTCTTGGAATTGAGGGCCTGTTTGTAAATTGTACCGGTGGAGAATATACTCTCGGGAGGAAGTATGTAACAGCGTATTGACTTAGTCTGCATTTGTATTGCCTGGTATGTTATGGTTATCAATTGCCTGTTTGTTTAGGATGTTTTGTTGATGAGACATTTCAAGATACTAATTCACAGAAACTGATGTTAATAATTACTTCTTGCAGGTCTCGAGATCCAAGGCTTATTGGGCAGACATGCATCGCAACAGTTTAATAGGTAAACTATAAATCAATTGTAATTATAATTGAACCAAGTTTGATGCCATCAGGAGCTTGCTTTAAAGGGAAGAATTTGTTTACTTCATATTTATTTATTTTTTTAAATTAAATTTTTAAATTTTATTGATTGATTGATTGAATTTTTTTTTTTTTTGGGGGGGGGGAATATTTTGTAGTTTGATTATGTAATTCCACAAAACAGTTCCTACTTTCGTTTGTTTCCTCATTGTTTGGTGTGTGTTTGGGGGTTTTGTTAAATCTTTTCGTTTTTTTTTTATTCAAAAGAAATGCCGGGTTTTTAATTTAACCCTTGTTTTTAATTGCTGATTATTATTCAGCATTTTTTATGCAATAATGACTCTTTATGAGTAATCATGTATGCATGTTACAAAGGCTACAGATTTTATTCTGAAATCAAAAATTAATTACCTGTGCAGCTCCGTGGTGCAATGAAAACCCTGAGAGTATAATTATTCAAAACGAATCTCCTCTTGCCGACATAATGACTCCGACCTTGAGCCTACCTTGGGTTTGGCCTTGAGATGGCTCCAAGTCAGTACCTCGTAATGACTTGAATCAACTTGACTCTTGATAAATCAGTGACGCATTATGAATCTCTCTGTATTGGAAGTTAAAGGCACATAGGATCATTTGCATTTATCCCAAAAGTAACCTACCGAATTATTATCAAAAATGTTACTCGGATTAAAGGACGCGCTGGTACTGAGCACCCCATGACATTTTCCCGCTTGGCTTGCTGTCGTTTAGAAGAACTCAATAAATCAAGTTGATTTCCAACAATCTGTCAATTGACTGAATAGTGCTATAGACGAAAATCTTGTTTTTGTGATCAAAACGTTGTGCATAGTTGTTTTTTTTTTTTTCACTGTTTTCTCGAAAAGTGTAATATCCACTGAGCTGAAACTTCAACAGGTTAGGTTTTGAACATTCTTCTTTGGATTTTGAGTGGTGTTATTATTTGGCGCGAACAAAATGCATGAAAGGCAAATGATGCTACATTGTATACATCTTAAATGATGCTGCATTGTATAAACCTTAAATGATGCTACATGTACATGTATGCCTTAAACCAGCCAGAGTCTTGTAGGTTACGTCATGGTTCATGATGATTACATTGAATTTGAACAGGTACACCTGGTTATCCTTGGAACAATGGGTTTCCTGTCATAACATAAACCCGAGGACCTGAGTCCAGGTCCTCAGAAGGTCTTCATGTACAGACGTTATGGACATGTCGAGAAAACAATAGAAACAAAAGAAGGGAATGAAAAGGGTCCTCAGAAGTATGGTAAAACCAGTCTGTGTGTACTGTGTGTACTGTGTGTACTGTGTGTACTGTGTACTGTGCACGCATGTGCACAAATGCTGAGTTAGTTTGTGAAATTAATAAACACAATGGAACTTACAATTGGGTGACTTGTAATGGCCGCCAAAATATAAATACATGAATTGTTTCAAGTAAAAAAGGGTAAAATCATCATTAAATAATGAAAGGTTTGCGGAAACACCATGTGCGAATAATTTCTCAACTAAGAGAATGGTTCTGAAAGAACCAGAGGAGTTTATACCTCTGTTCTTTTCAGAACCATTGTCTTAGTTGAGAAATTATTCGCACATGGTGTTTCCGCAAACCTTTAATTATTTAGTATCTCCACCATGCAAAGCCTCAAATCTTACTTAAAATCATCATTACTTGGACTTGGACAGATTATGGGTCATTTTGTGAATTTAGGCCCCAAAGTGTGAAAAAATATTATTCGGTCCCTGTTTCCTTGGAAACTTGTAATTTGCCTTTCAAGTTTAATTATTATTATTTCAAGAATGACTTCAAATTATATTATATTTATTAAGTAGGTAGTTTGGTATTCATAATCACTCTTGGAGGACGTCTGCATTGTTAAGAAAGGCATCAAAATTCCATAATCATTGATGTCAGATGTAACAGAAGGGCCCATTTACAAATGCTCACACCTTCATGTGCTGGTAGCATATTCCATACTATAAACAACTGACATCAATACTGCAGTAAATGCAAAGGAGACAGCAATCTGCGTCAGCAAGCTGGAAGAAATTCATTTTGTTGTTGTCTTGCTAATGAAGGAGACGACATGAGCAGCTTAGTTAATAAGTCTACTGTCGTCATCCCACACTCCCGTTTTTTGTTGTTAACTCTTTGTGGGAAATCGAAGTCATTGTGTCATCACCAGATGTAATTTCCCTCAGATGGCTCCATTCATAAATAAATGACTGATCATCCATCTTTCTTCCGCTGTCTTGACAATACACCACCAAAATAAAAAATAAACAAATTTATAATAATACTAACGAGCACCAACCGCCCGGTAATATACCCAAGGAGCCTTGAGGGAATACAGCCAATTTGCAGAAGCACAATCTATTATTTAAGACACATTTTCATCTTTGCCAGCGTCGGAGTCACCGGAGTCATCATTATCATCATCAGCGTCCTGAGTGTCATTTATGGCAGACTGAGAAATGGTCACAAGTGATGGATGTAGGTGTAAGAGCAATTATCTTATGTAACTGGTACTGAAGTCTTTTTTTTTTTCCCCGCTCGCCCTGAGCCTGCTCGTGAAGATGTCACCTGTTGAGTTGGACCACAGCACAAAGACTTCTGTTGCATGTTTTCATTAAAAAAATTCAATGGATTTTTTAACAATCAGTGTAAATTAAATCTATGCTTTGCATGCATATGGAAAGTGTCTGAATGTCTTTTGTAGAAAGAAAAAAATTGACGGTTTTGACATCCTGTTTATTTTGAATATCATGTCGGTTTTAAGGCCGTTGTCCAGTCTGTTCTGGGTTGGCCTGCTTTCTCCCTATGGCTCTCCTCCACTTAGCCCTGAATATGCATGTATGATAGAAAACTACGCAGGATTTTTGAAATCCTGTCGATTTGTCAAAATTCAGTTGATTAAAAAACAATGATGCGATCATATCTTCAGTTTCAGATGTCCTATTTTAAACTGACTCTTGAGATATTTGATCTCTACAATGTACTTAAAAAGTTCATTCCAAAATTCATTCATTTTTTTTAACTTTCATTGCACACGTATGTGAGTAGAATGTTTAAAACAAATGACTTGGTTGCGGTTAAAATCAATAAATTTCAAATTGTCATCACAAACCTTAAAACCTGTACAGAGATTATGCATACATGTATAATGTATCAAGTTGAAATGCGTTTATATCCTTTCTAGTATAATCATCCGACTGGTGTTGCCAGGCCTTTTTTTCTGTACTTTTTTTATTTAAAATAAGTTTATGTATCTTCTTTCTACTTGTACATATTGATTGTAATTAAGTTGATTTCTGTGTTAAATGCCATAGAATTTTTGTTGTGAGGAGGTCAGTGCAGTGGTCAACATCAATCAATATTTGACCCTATAAAGAAGGAAGTGCACAGAAGTAAGAATTGTTCTTGACCAGCGTGCTCACTGATAATGGCTTCGTTTGTCCGTTCAGGGCCCAACTCTAGACAAAGTTAGGTATTTTAAGAGGTCAGGATTCCATTATCTCAAAACAACAGTTTTGAGTTGGTTTCTTCTGCTTTTTACTTTCATTAGAGTAGGTCGGGTATGAGCACTACGTAACTTTTACTTGATCGCTGAGGACCGTCATATCAAGGTTATGCCGGCACTGAATTGCCGGCTTGCCAACAGGATTGAAAAGCCTCAAGCTATATTTGCAGACACTGTGTGGCTCTGTTATCGAGCGCCAAGTTCTACGGCATTGTGAGCCCATCACAGGCTCAATTCATGTGGAAATCAACAACTTGAAAAGGCGTTTCTTTCTGGAGGAGTTGTGAGTGCCCGCGCTCTCAGAAGCGCCAAACTTTCAGCACCTGTAGTTCTGTGCTTCCATGTTTTATTATTCCCACAATCTAAGTGACTTGTAAAGAAAATAAAGACGTGAATACCACTTTGCCTACCCCTGACCTGAGCCAAAGAAATCTCCCATCCTTTGTGAGTCCGTGCTTGGTGTGGGGGTATAAGTAGGAAAAAAAAAACGTCCTTTCAGTGCTGATTAATAGCTTGGTCTTGCATCACTGCTCAAGCAGTAACTGTTGGCGGGTGACATCTTTCTTTGCCGTGTGGGAAAGGCTGTGGAGGCATTATGGAGTCCTTGGTGCCAATTTTCTGTGCGGCTTTGCCCTCCTTCAAAGAGGCTTTCAAAGAGTATTGTGTCCTTGGCTGCTGAGACGGATCCTGGTGCACGTTTGACCCCTCGAAGGCAAAGGGAAAACATCAAGGGAATTTACCTCTGCCAAATTGTATTGGTATTACTTTGTATACATGTATGCATCGTCCAAAAGAAAAGTGGTGTTCTTAAGAATTTTCATGCGATTGAAGAGTCTTTACAGCATAAAAAGCATTTGTTATTTAAGTTTTAAAAGGAAAATCATGAATCTAACTAAAATTTCACTTTATTTTTTGTGACTTGTCGGTACAATGTAAAAACTATAACCCTAACCCCTTTTGGCTAGGAACCATCCTCAATCCTGCAAAATCCTCCAAAATCCTCTGTTATTTCTTGAATTTGTTCAGTTTAGGGGTGACCATTGCCTCAGTCCTCAAAATCCAACAATCACTGTTTAATGGGTTGAGACAGTGCCAATGACATTCAGAAGCAGTGTGGATGATATCGAGCATAATGCAGGGCTCAATTATGTATGGCTGAACATAAACAATGCTGGATACAGCCTCGACGCAATGCATCCTCCAAAATGAACCGACTTTTTTTGCCATTCAGCCTCAATCCTCCAAAATCCTTCAAACACCGCCTGGAGGATTTTGGAGGATTGTGGAGGGTTAGGGTTTTACAGGTAAATTAACAGTTGATTCACCGATCAGCGACAAACACATCAACTGAACTCAAACTCTAAAAAATACAGATACCTGAATATAAAGACTATCCAAGTGGCTTTGTTATATTTTCAAAGATCCATTAGTTGCAATTAGTGAGGATGAGAATGTAATAACTCGATCATGAATCACGGCCGGCAGACAACTTAATAAACTACTCCCCCAGGCCATCACGACTTGTCTTTGCCGAGACTAGTACCAAGAAAACCAATCAGAGATGATGTCTGTTCCTTGTGAAACCAAAAAGATGATGACACTGTCAGATAAGGCATTAAACGATCCCCAATTTGTAAGAATAAACAATGCATACCTTTTTGATGCAGTACTCTTTCAGAATTGATTAATGCAAATTGAGGAAAACAAACCTGGCGGTTTGCCTACAATTTTTTGAATGGAAATTGTCGAATTCCTTGTTGCCACTACCTGTTAACAATGGTTCACATCAAGCATGGTGTTTGACACTAAAATGGTTGGTGATGCATGCTGTATAAACAATTCGAGGATTTAGGGGAAAATGAGACTTTGGTATTTGGTAATATCTTACATGTCTTTAATAAAAAAAGTCTTGGTTTTACCAAAAACGATTGACTCTTTCCTTGTTGCGTGCCCGGTGCAACATTACTGAAAAATTTCCCCCTTTGTTTTGATGTTGTCAATGACATAATGTATGTCTTGCTGTTCAGATTGTATGCATTTGGATTTTTTTTTTGTAAATTTGTTGCCTTCTGCAACCATACACCAAGTTTCTATAGAAGCAGTTAAGGATCCTTGTATTTCAACCTATCAGTTCACACATCCTCAGCCTGAGCCTCGCGTTCTCATTTACGACCCCGCCAGATAAACCGGGCAACATGGAGCATTTACCTCTCATTACCTCCAGAATGCATTTATCAAGCCTTTTGTGTCTTGGCGCCCGCTGGAAACTTCATTAATTTTAAGTGCCGACCTGAGCGAGTGGGACAATGGGAAGGGAACAATAAAAAAAACAAAAATGGCGTGGCTCGTGTATTATGTATTGTGATTCTCTGTGCCGCGTCTTAGGTGATGTCTAGAGATGATCGTGATATATGGCATGGGCAGTGGAGCCAATCGTAGGTAATGGATGACTTCAGTCTTCATTGTCGCAGAGCACACTGGGGTTTTTGTGTTTGCTTCTCCGTAGTGAAAAGAAATATTGCTAAGGATTTTTTTTTTGCTCACTCTTTCATTTTTTTCATAAAAAGAATTTAAAGCCTGTTGTTGTCTGTTTACAAATGAAAGACATTTTGTATAGAATAAAGTACACAACTGTTCTCTTGTTTACTGAGACATCTGTTAATACCAGAATCTACAACAACGTTAGCCGTTTTTCTCAAGAACATTGGAGGCCTGTAATGAAACATGGTGGCCACAACGATTATTTGGTCGATCAATCGGTGCATTGGTTCGGTAACATTTCGTGGGTGTGATTAATTTAAACCCACTTTGTGAAATGAAGGTTTTCTTTCAGAAAGCACAAAAGCATATGCACCAAAAAAAAATTAAGCCAATACACGTAAGCCCTGAAAATGCTATGCATGACACTTAAAAAAAAAAAAAATGGGCCATGCACAAAGATGGATGAACTTGGTGAATATAAAGTTAAGACAAATGTCTGGTGTGGTATTAAAAGTTCCGTTGTTAGCATCATTACATTTACCAATAAGCAAGTGACTGATGAGCATTGTACATGTACAAATTCAGTGGCTGAATAGACTTCTTTCTTAGAAGGAAACAGTTTAGCATTCTCAAGGACAGAGTGCTAGTTTCTTAATTTTCAGTAAATATTACAATTTTGGGGGGTTTGCGTTTGACAAAAGAACAATTTTTCAGAAGATTCCTTGGACAGCCACTGGAAGTCAGTAAACATACAATCACATGATAAGTAAAATCCTCCAGCAATCACTGTCAATATGTCGAGGCGAGCCAGTGACATCTTGAAGCAGTGCAGAGGATTTCAAGTATAATCTAGGCCTAAATTTATCGGCTGAGCATAAACAACACAAGGTCTGGCCCAAGACCTTGACACAGTGCATCCTCAAAAATCAGCCACACATTTTTTTTCATAAAGCCTTAATCCTGCAAAACCCTCCATTTTACAAAGAGGGTTTTGGAGGATTTCGGATAAATATATAAATTTACTAAAAAGTTTGTATTCTCTTATCCCGGACAATATTGAATAACCCTTTTTGCCATAAAAATGCCAGTATAAGAGTCAGTGCTGGTACATGTATGTTTATAAATATAAAATTATTGAATATAAAATTAACCTTAACTCTAACAGTCCTGAATCCTCTAATTTCAATACAATTTTGCACATTAATGAGCCAACTAAACAAAATATGTGGCATTTCCAACTGTAAAGATACATAATTCTTGCAATGGTTTTAAGATGCATTTATGCCGAATCACATTGGTACGTCCTATGGTAGAGCCTTTAAATCCATACAGTCTTGATCTTGAAGTTTGTCCACACATCCTTTCACATGTTGGGTCATTGTACAAATCTCATTTTCTTGCCTTCCAGATTGCGAACTTTGAGCAAGAATACGCCATGCATCTGGCCCAGCAGCAGAGGCCTGCAAACTTCCAGCATTTACTGTGAGTTTAATACATTCATTTCTGGTATTTATTCCAATTTTTCTGAATTTTCTAATGCCACTGCAATATCTTGGATTTTTTGTTGTTTAAAACCTCTTTTCAATGTTTTCAAGGATTAATTCCTTTACTTTCTTTTTCCTTGATTACTTTTTATCAGCACAAAAGTAGGTTCATGTAAATGCTGGGCAATTTCAGCATTTTGAAAAGAAAGTGTAACATCTGTGACAGAATTAGGATATTTAAGAAATGATCCAAACTCCTAGTCTGTTACCTCCTTGACCATTACTAGATGATGGATGTATAAGTTTTGAAAAAATACATTCTCAGGTTTATGCACTGAGCTCTTAAAAGCTCCGTCACGGACATTACGTAATGCTGGAGTTGCCTTGCAACAAATATCCCAACAAATAAGATGTCGATATGTAGGCTTAAAGGTAATATATAACATTTGCAAACATCCAACAACGACAAAAAAGTATCAAATTATTAAGAAATGCCTTACTTGACTGTAAGAATAACGGTTTCAAGCATCCTGTGAAATCACGGAACCTGGTGTGTTGCCATTTTCAAGAAATGTGGAATTTTTCAAGTACTGCCACCAGTTTACCAAATTTAGCTAGTCCAAATTTTATTTGCAAGTGCTTACACATATGTGAACGGGTGCAAGCCAGCTAGTCTGGTTCCCTGACCTGAAAATTCCCCGACATTTATAAGTAGGGTCAGGGAACCTGACTACAAGAGCAGCATTTTTTTCTTGGTTCTTCCCGCACCTTTGAATGCAAAACCTTAAACAGGCCAGTTTAACAATATTTGCTATAAAATACCAACCCCTAAATCCATCCATTTCTGAAAATTACAGCAAAAGCAAATGCTCTTTATTACCTTTTAAATGTATAAAAGCGGAGACAAAGCATCCAAAATGTTGGTCCCAACAGCTTGTCCCTACTTAGCCCCTTCAATGCTATATAACAAGGTACCGGTAGCCTCATTCATCTCAGGGATATTCAGATAAACAAAAAATGATAATAAATTTTAAAACACGGTCAAGGAATTTAATTCCTATATCTGTTACTCTGGAAATCAGACTGTGAATGATGAGGTCACCGTTTTGTAGAAATCCGTTTGTCTGATCTGCTGAATAAAGTGATAAATTATTGATTTTAACCACCTAGAAGTTCCATTTCAAATCTGCCAATCAGTGAATGATTACGTTTTTTGTTTTTTGTTGTTACTGTGTTGTTGTTGTTGTTTTTTTTCCAGATGATGAGATCCACACTGTACAGACCCCGCCCTTCGCAGAATCGGTGTCAGAAGGGGATGTCAGGTGGGAAAAGGGTGAGTTGATATTAAAAATAAAGATTGGGGGGGAGGGGGGGCTGGGGGGAGGCGGTCTCCTGACGACGGGCAGAGCACACTGTCCAAAATGTTGAATTTCCCCAGTTCTTTTCAGCATCTCACAAACTCACAAAAGAGATTTGTGACCGGTATATGGTGCAACCATAAACTCGATTGTCATGTGTTGGGGGGGGGGGGGGGGGTCATTATGACACTCCATAGAAAAAAACAGTAACTAGTTTTCCTTAATGATTTTCTTAGCTGTTTTTACATGTACATGTGATATACATGTAAAAACAGTTAATAAAATTATTAAGGAAAACTTGTTACTTTTCCTTTTCTTTCTTTCTTCAGTGAATTCCTTTGGTATTTATATTTGGTATTTAGATTATTTTATCAGTCGTTTTATTTTTATTGTACCGTGATGATTTGTTACTTACCGTATATTAAAAAGGAAAGAAAATCGTCAAAATAAAGGGGATCTTTAGTATTATAGCCACTGATCTCTAGATCTAAAGACTGGATAGCAGATGAAGAGCCGCCCAACGAATTCATTTGACGCCATATTGGTGAGACCAGCTGGTGATCTATAAAGGACAAGTTGCTGTCTTTGTTAAACATCGTGGTTCGCCTGGTTTACGTTTTGTCCACCGCCACTGACCACGTTTCCCAATTTGTCAAACGTCGTGGCTTACTTTTGAATGCCGCAGTTCACTTTTTGCAACGTTTGTAAATATAATCACGACAGAAATTTGTCCAGTTTAGATCATCACAATACGTGTACATGATCAAAAAATGCGCGTCAACTCACGATACAGCACGCGCTGTATGCACGTGCAGAACGTTTGTATATACCAGGGGCGAACTGGTCAAAATGTAAATTCAAGCCTGTGACTCGTGTATGGGCTTCCGCTATCCAGTCTTTATTAGATAGAGATCAGTGATTCAGTGATTGTAGCATCAGCGCTTGGCAGTGAGCTACTTAACCAATTTTGCAAGACAAAACATCTAGCCATGCTATAGAGAATAAAAGTGAACATGTCATCTGGTCAGGGAGTTTGTGTTTGTACAAATGTATAGGAGTCTGCATGCAGCGCTTCATTGAAAACCAATCAGACAATACGTTAAATGCTAGTGAAACAAGCTAAATAAACGTCTTTTTCAAGTTTCACTCCTGTTATGACTTATTCGCTAGTTTTTCCAGATGTTTGCATCTGAAACAAAGAAGTCTAGGTCCAGACAGTTCCTTTCATTTTAAGGGAATCAGCCGTTTCCTCGTTAATTTCCTGTGTTTGATATTAGCGTCTGAGCCTTAAACTTTTTGGAATTGCTAATTTCCAGTTAAAAAGAGACGATTTTCCAAGACTTCTGGCTACCACCCTACGGTCATTTATGTCAGTCATTTATCCGGAACTGCGTGCTGCAAGTGCCAGTCACAATTTCACCGGCACTTTTTATAATAAAATTACGACATGACATGTAATAGCTCTAACAGTCCTGAATCCTCCAAGTTTAATATGATTTTGCATACCCCCTAGGGAGTTAGGGTTAAGGTCTTACTTGTTGAACCCTAACTCCCAAGTGTGTGTGAAAAATCATACGTCAATGCTGATTTAGGACTGTTAGGGTTGTATGTGCATTATAAGATTCTTTATCACTGCAAAAAACATTTGTTGGCTGCTTGTTGGAATTATTACAGTGCCAGATGCTGAGTAAGCATCTCTGTCGATGTATCAAATGTCATAATTGCACTGGCATGGAAACGTACAAGTTGTAATGTTCACTGTGGCGGATCCCAAGAATTGATCACCGTTACTTGTGCTCACGCTGTGCGGCAATAGAGCGTGTAAGTCTCGCCAGTCCACGTTCACTGTTTATGTGAACGTCTTGGTACCAAACACTGACTAGTCTAGTCACAGACTCCAGTGTTTGAACTTAACCCAATTGTTAGCTGCGTGATCGATTTGAACAGACTTTGGGGTCAACAATTTTTAAATTACAATAGTCTCAATTTGCAATATTTTCAATATGTTGTTAATTGTAATGCTGTCTTTTCTTTTGGAATACTCATTTATTGTCTTTGATTGGATGGGCCAGTCAGGACACAAAATACATTTGTAAATGCAAAAAAATAGGATGTTACACACATTGTAGATCCTATTCAGGATCACATCTTGCAATTTTTTTTAGGTCAACTTAAAAGCTCTATAAGAGCCACCTCAGTTCAGCAGTTTCTCCTTTAACCCTGCAGGAACTCAAAACCAACCAAGGCTATCCAGAATTCATATTTTAGATAGCAACTAGTGAATTGGGGGGGGGGGAGACAGGTTATCAGAAAACCACCTGTGATCATGTAACACTACCAGGCAATATGAGCTGTGGCAATGACAGGGGAGCTGTCTCGCATTCATGCAAGACTTACATGTCATAAACTTAAGACGAAGCTACCCTTAATCCCATCCTTTTTTCTTTCTTTTTTTGGTACTGGAGCAGCATCACACAAGGTCAAATTTCTTAGCATGGCGTCTCGGAGACAAATTGCAAGTGGAGTTGCGTTACAATCGCCAGATGGGGATGGGTCATATTGCTACCAAGCACTTAATTAATTGCCATAAGAAACTGCTTCAATTTATCAGGTTTTAAATGGGAATACTTATCCAGAAATCCAGAAATTTACCGCTTTAAGATCCAGACATACGGTAAAGACTCTAAAAACAATTGCCAGTGGTATGCATAGTCATTGGAAACCTGTTGCATTCTGCGCTCTGTGTTTTACGATTTAAGTGGGTCTTCGCTTTAGACTGTAAATATTCTATTACCATGTCTACCATATGTTTGGGTAGTGTGTACGGTACATCTTTAAGAGCTGGGTTATTAGTCACGGCTGGGTAAGCGTGCACTTCTGCTGTCGCGCGCCTTCCAGTGGCCTGTACACATGATATGGAAGGCCGCGGGGAAAATGATAAGAAATGGGTTAAATTATTTTATTTGGGTTACAAATGGTTGGCTATCATTACAAAAGGAGACGCAAGATGGAGACATGCGGTTTTTAATTTTTAAATTTTTTTTTATTTTATAAAGTTTGTCTTTATTGTACAATGTATCTTTGTATGACTACCATCAATTTCTTTTAGACAGTATGCTAATGTGAATTTCTGTATTCCTGAGTACACTTGTGAGGCCACTGTAGAAGGGGTCAGTTGCATTATTGGCGTGGGTGTATGAAAATTATGGAATTATTTTTCTGTTTTCCATTGAGATTTGCCTATGTATGTGCTTTCTGCATTTTAATCAGTCAAATGAATTCATGGTGAATGTACTTTGTCCTATCCATAATGTCAGGTGCACACGCTGGTAATGTTCGCATACTGTTACCTGTAAATAACAACAGTGGGAATTCTCTGAAAATAACCTTGCAGTTCTCTGTTTAATCTATTTTCATACATCACCTCCACTGAATCTTTCATGGTAATGCCAAAAAAAAATACTTCTGCTTCCGGTTTCTCTACCTACCCTATTCTGTCAGCCCCTACCCTAATTTTTTTATTGGAAAAACGAGAAAATAACACCCAAACCATCAATTTCTACCTTTTACCCTTGACTACACGCAGAAGCCTCCATTTGATCGGGAAAAAAAATTCCCTACCTACCTACCCTATTTTCAAATGCCATGTAATCGGAAGCAGAACTATTGGTTTTTGTTGGCCTAATTTTTGTTGAGAAAGGAGAAGAAGCAACCTAATATGCCCCCCCCCCCAAAAAAACAAAAAAAATCAATCAATAATTGATCAATGGATGGTTAAAGATAATGGAAACCATTTGCAAACATTCAAAAATGAAACTGTCAAAACATCATGAAATATTCTGAGTAAATAATATGATCATGCATCCTGTGAGATCATTGCGTCTAGTTTGCTGTCGTTTTCAAGAAAAGAGGAATGAACATTATTTCCTTGTGATTGTATTCCTCGTGATGATTTCAACCATTGCGGTTTCAACCGAAACCTATGCCCTGCGTCCAGAAAAGTGAAGATACATTTTCACGGTTTTCTCAAAAAGTATATCTACCGATCTGAAATTTTGACAGGTTGATGTTTTAATTACCTGCTTCAGATTTATTGTATTATTGTTCCTTGAATCGGCAGAACAACTTTTCTTTTGCAAATGGTGTGCATTACCTTGAATAAAATCAAAATTGAAGTGAAACAAAAGTCAAAAGTATTTTAATTCCCTGACGGAGGAAAAGGTAGTTCTGATTGCTCAGCATGACTTTCAACGAAACTTGGAGTCGAACCAAAGTTCAGCCTACCCACCTTGCCCTTAAAAGTGCCTTTCTCATCGGTCGACCATTAACTGTTTTTAAACTGTCTTTTCCTACATTGTCACTTTGACACTTCACAATTTGACACTTTATCTCTGCGGCTGTCCATCATTCCAGCCTGCAGCATTAGTCTTGACTCGTTATGCCAAAAAGCAGTATTTTTGCGCAGTTATTCCAGTCCGCGTCTTTCCAGCTTCACCCTCTTATCTCTCCACATTTGCTTTTTTCCCCGATCTGTCAGTCTGTTGTTTCATTTCACACTTCCACTGCTGATAAAGAAAAGCCTAAACCTCATCTCTGCAACACCCCTTGATATTTGTTGTTTGTATTTATTCCTTCTTCTGCGCAGCTGTTGGCGATTATGTCAAGGAGGATGATGTAGTGGGGGAGATTGAAACGGACAAGGTGAGTGGTTCCCACGCCAGTTTTATCAGTTTCATATTTGCTGCCTTATCAATATCTTAAACTTTTAACCATTTTTCCCTCCAAGTGTCCTATCTCTTGATGTGTGTGTTTTGCTGCAATTTTTGTTTGTCTGTTTACACCTTATTCCTTTGACAGACTGTTTACTCATTTTTCTTTTGTAAACAGAAGTAGGATTACGTGTCAGTTTATTGTCTGCTAATTAATCATACTGTTAATTGAAATGGAATTGAAAGGATGTATAGGTGATAAAGAAGCAGAAAAATAATTGAAGTTAATTTTTTTTTAATAAAAAATGAACGCTCTTGGGATACATGATCTATTCACTTCTACCATTCTTAATGAAATCAACAACGTATCCAGAAATAATATTTTAGAAAGTTGCTGGCTGCCTTGCTTTGTCTCAACTTCTAATTTTTAAGATTTCTCAGACCATTACTGGGCAGTGCGGTAAGTTTGGGTTTCTCAAATGTTTGTGTTGTGCTCTGTATTTCTCATCCTCTGACGACTGTTTTATATTTTTGCCAGACGTCGATACCCGTGCCCTCTCCAGTGAGCGGTGTCATTGTTGAATTCCTCGCTGGAGATGGAGACACCGTCGTGGCGGGCCAGGAACTATTCAGAGTTCAGCTGTCTGGTACGTTCTGATCGTCAACTTATTTGCTTTTAACTATAAAAAGCAATTCTTTACCTCTTAAAACTTGTGGAGCTCTGTGTTTGCCCCTGTGAATGGCTTTTCTGTTCTGAATTTATACAGGATCGAGATTTGTAACGATTTTTGAAGTGTTTTTCAACAGGATTTGTCCTGATTACAGGATATTTCAGTTCCTGATGTCAGGATTATTTTGTCAGGATTTTTCCTGATTTCAGGAATTTTATCAGGATTTTCCTGATTTCAATATTTTTTAAGAATCCTGTTTGAAATCTAGACTTCCTGATGTTTGACCGCAAAGGTGTTTTTTTTCCTACATTATTTAAATTTATATTGAACAGAAGAAATGGGTATTTTAATAGCTGACTTTTGGCAAATCTACAATCATATTCGTGTAGCATAGACCCTACATTGCTTTGGACCCCTTGGTGACTCTCAAACACTCTGACGATTATTTCGTGGATTTTTCATGTTCTGCCAAACTCGCCCCTATTTCTGGTGACTGTTTTGTAAGGTGGTACATGTACGACCGAGTTTTGTTTGTTTATTTTTATAGACCTTAGACACAGTGACTTTGTAATGCAAGTGTGATGATGTCTCTCCCCACCTCCACCCCCCCCCCTCCTTCAGAAAACACAAGTGTAAATAAACCGTAACATCATGACATCTCATGTCTGTGACTCCCCATTACCCTTAGTCTTGGTCCCAGACTAAATTTGCTTTTTACTCCCTAAAGCAGCCAGTGTCTGACATGCGCGGTAAAGCCATCGTAGTGGTAGAGGTCACTATCATCAAGATGAATCAAGTCTAGTCTTAAGAACTTTGGCAGCTCTACCCAGAAAACTCTGAGCATACCTCACGTGTACTGTGTTCAAGCTAGTGAGATAACTGTTAAAAAATATGCGCTTAGTTCAAACTAAAACTCTATTCACTCTATTCACTGGAAATTATCTTCGAAATTTTATTCCTTCCTAATTTAATTTTCACAACAAGGTCTAAGAAATATGCATAAAATTATAATTGTTTACCATTCTGAAAATCAACTTTTATATTTATTTTCAACCAAGCTCCAAAAAGTTATGCGTGAAAATTTATTCTTTATTTTATCAAGCCCATGTAATATGCATCTTTGCAATGTTGAAAATAAAATCAAATTGCCATAATTAATTCCCTTAAGAAACATAAAAAAGGAAGCGCCTGTCTCTGCATACAGTTACAAAGACAATAAATGAAATATGTACAGCTTGTCGTTAATCACCTTGTCCTTGTGTTTTAAATTGCTTTGAGTGCGGTGTTTTTGTCGCTAAATGAATCACTTGTACCAGCACAAATGCAACTTACTGCGTGAGCGCATGGTTCCAGGCGAGCCAAACAACCAGCAAATGGCTTATGACTGTATACTTCACGCTGTCTTCATTTGGCATGGCTGTGTCTGGCCTTATGAGGGCGCTGTGTCCAATTGCCAGTAGCACATTTTGTAAATTGGACAGTGCTGTGACTGTTAACTTTACATGCATGCGTGCATTTATACATAGTACATGTACTGCAATTAACATAATATGAAGTATTTTGTAAATTTTCTGTCATATCTAACTTAACCCTGCTGCCTTAATTTCCTTTTTTTCCCCTTTTTTGTTTTGTTTTTATGGAGAAGTTTTTTTTCTCCAATCTTCATTGTCCTTGGCTGCCAGTATCTAATCCATCTGCTTAAAGGCATATAGGATCATTTGCAATTATCCCAAAAATAATCTACCAAATTATTATCAAAAAGTTTACTTGGATTAGAGATTGTACTGGTACCAAACGCCATTTTAAATTGTTCCGTCTGGCTTGCTGTCATTTAGAAGAAATCAATAAATCAAGGTGATTTCTAACATCAGTCAATTAACTGATTTTTTAAAATAAAGAGTGCTTTTGACGAAATTGTGTTTCGTGATCAAAAGGTGGTGCATGGTTTTTCACTGTTTTCTCAAAAAGTGTAATATCCACTGAGCTGAAACATCAACAGGTTAGGTTTTGAACATTCTTCTTCGGATTTTGAGTGGTGGTATTGAAAAGCACAATGCACGAAAAGCAAATGATCTCATATGCCTTTAAGTCTAACACTGAGTTTGCATGATTTAGATTCCTATTTCGTAGAGCCCAGCCTCCTTAATGTTACATGGAAGTTGGTGTCCAAATTTGTTGTTAAAGTACAAGGAATGTTACACTGAGTTAATGCAACGTTTGATCTTAGCTGATGTCAAGAAGATTTCAAATGCAGTTTCAGCAGGTAGAGCTGTAGTAAACTTACATGTAAAATACACAATGTCATATTCAATGTAATGTTAATCTGACAATGAAGTTGCGTAACTTCTTTTTTTTTAATAGGTGAGGCGCCTCCCAAAGCAGCAAGCCCAGATACGCCCAAGGCAGATACGCCCAAGGAAGCCCCCTCAGCACCTCCCCCGCCACCACCCCCCTCACCCCCACCCCCACCACCACCCACAGCAGTGGCAGGGAGTATACCCACAACTCCACCGCCTGTACCTCCTATGCCCACAGCTCCGATGACATCCAAACCAGGTAGGCTAAGGATTTGGAAAGAGCTGGTGTACCACCAGTAAACATTTCACTTTGGCCAAGGAAAAAAATTAATCAGTTTCTCGTCCCAGCCCATTTTCTTTTCCTGCCTACCTCCTCTTTTTTTTATTCATACATTTGCAATATACTTTGCAGATATATTGTCAATATGTTGTCTTTTTATTTGTTTCCAACAAAGCTCGGATGAGAAACTTTTTTTTTTTTATTTGGCCTTATGCGAACAATGCTACAATGGCAACATTTGTGCAAGTGGGACTGACTGTTTGCTGCCAACATTAGTGAACATTAGCAACAAAGGTGAACAGTCTTCCTGAGTCTTTCGCTTTGTTTTCCAAAATGGCCAACCTGGGCAATGAATGTAATGGATTTTAAAGCTAAACAGTGACAATTTTTAGAATTTGCAAACAGGGCCCTACCATTTTGACAACAGTTTTGGGGTGACATTCTCACGTGACAAATTCGCAGGGCCTAGCTAATGGACATAAACATGTTTGCGTGACTGGAATACAACCATGGTCTGCCACATTTGTGTGCTTCTACAAAATTATCCTTTGGACAGTGTTTCTTCTTTACTACTGTGCATACAACAAATCATGTGAATCATTGTCAGAGCAACTTATTGAAAGAGTGACAAGGCTCAGGCTCAAGACAGTCTGAACCTTGATAATTGACACTCTTATTTATCTTATTTCCTAGCTGCATCAGTGACGCCCATAGTTGCGCCAGCCTCTGGAGCCATGCCCGGTGTATCGGCAAGAACGGAACAGAGGGTAGGTTGATCATAAATACTGGTGCATGATCAGTGCAGATGAACTGAGTGACTGCTTACCCCACATCTGTCCAACCTTCAGCCCTATCCAGCGTCATCCACAAGGGGTTTTCTGCCACCGTAAAATATTTGCTGCCCTGCTCAAGTGTTTTAACCATCCTATTTCATCATCTACCTCATATTTTAGCTTACAACAAATTAGACTACCTTAGACTACTTAACCAGTTTGCACCAGGATTATTTTGACATTGACCGGGCCCAGGTGCGGGATTGTTTTTCACGAACCTCGATGCCAGACGGGTTCAGGCCGTCATCTGCGGGTAGCACACCTTGATATTTCCGGCCTCGCTCGCTGCAAGTGGGTCGCAGACAAATTTCCAGCTTCGTCGTTGCATGTTTATCTGTCATCAGTTCCGAATACCGCAAAACTTTTGCGTGTATACACAACCTCCAGCGCGAACTGGTTAAGAAGGAACAGATTTATTGAAGGAAAGGCACATTCAGTTAATTGAAATTACTTGTTTTTGTCCAGGTGAAAATGTCTCGGATGCGACAGAGGATAGCACAGAGGTTGAAGGAAGCTCAGAACACGGCAGCAATGCTGACGACATTTAATGAAATAGACATGAGGTATGCTCTGCTCTACTCTTTGCATTTCTTTCCTCTCTCCTCTATTGCTGTGAATAATTTTTTTTGAAGTTGGTCCCAGAGCTCACCAAATTCTGTTCAATTGATCTAGAGCGGCTGAAAAGTTGTGGAATAAGCTGTGGTAGTAACATGATGGAAATTGCGTAACAAGTCTAATTCACAAGTGATAGTCAGTCAGTGGGATAGGTAACCGATCCAATTCACAAAAGATAGTCTTTGAGAGACTGAAGCATGTCTAATTCCAAGTAACTGTCAGTCAGTCTATGACAAGCTCGCCGAGCAGTTACACCATGCTATTTATTCCTGTTTGAACACAAATACCCATCTTATACCCTATTTTATCGTATATTTATGTGAACAGCAACATCATAGCAATGCGCAAGCAGCACAGGGAAGACTTCCTGAAGAAGCACAATATCAAACTTGGCTTCATGTCGGCATTCATCAAGGCATCGGCGCATGCTCTCGGTACTATGCCAGCGGTCAATGCAGGTAAGTTGGTGTCACTCTTACTATTTAGACATCCCAATACTATTGGAAGTCCAGAGGTCTTACATGTACGTAGTCATCACAGGTCAGTCACAAGTCAACTAGTCTCAAATCAGCTGGCAAATGAATTGTGACTGACACTTTCCTGTGTGTCATTGATCATCCCTGTTACTTGTGATTTGACTTGTGATTGACTTGTGACAGACTATGAACTGACTTGCAACTGACCCATGACTAACCTGTGACTAACTTGTGATTGACCTGTGACTGACTTGAAACTGACCTGTGAATGACTTGTGACTGACTTCTGACAGACCCGTGACTGACCTGTGACTAACTTGTGATTGACCTGTGACTGACTTCTGACAGACTTCTGACAGACTTCTGACAGACCTGTGACTGACCTGTGACTGACCTGTGACTGACTTCTGACTGACCTGTGACTGACTTCTGACTGACTTCTGACAGACCCGTGACTGACCTGTGACTGACCCGTGACTGACCCCTGACTGACTTCTGAAAGACCTGTGACTGACCCTTGACTGACCTGTGACTGACTTCTGACTGACTTCTGACTGAGCAGTTACTGATGTTTGACTGATTGGACTGCAACTCTGCAAGTCACCTTGCTGTGCTTGGATTTCTGGGATTTTTCAGCAGTACAGTAAAAGACCAAGTTCTGATAGTAAAAGAAATAGTAGTCAGTCACAAGTCAATCACTGATGAATCACAAGTAAATCACACGTAAATCACAATGTAAATCGGATGAAAGGTAAAAGTTTTCAAATTGGAGCCAAAGCTGGAGTTCAAATCCAAGATTTCGAACACCTCAAAGGATGCCATGCCTTGAAGTTCTGAAGTTTTACCTTGCGTTATGTAATTATCTTCTTGGTTGTTGGTTCTGTTACAGTTATTGATGATGCAGAGATCGTGTATCGTGATTACATTGATATCAGTGTGGCTGTAGCAACACCTAAGGTAGGAAACATTGCTTAAAATGTCGGGGTCACAGTTTCTGGTAGTTATAAGTTATAAATATCCATTCCCGACCCCAAGCTGATATACAGTATGATATCGGGTTCTTTGTTTTCTGCTAACTAAAAACTTAGTTACAGGGCTTTTGATCTTCTTTGTGTTGCCCCAACTTTCTCTCTTTATTGTGGGGGGGGGGGGGGCGCTGGTAGAGATAAGGAGCACTTTCGAGGAAATGCGGCCCTTTGGGCTCAAAATGCATTTACCACATTTACCACGAAAGGATTATACAATGTAGTTGGAAAGATTGTTAGAAAATAGAATGTGAACGTTTACACATATGTACATTGGATTTTCGTGTTATTACTGTTGGAGTAATTTTGGGTACAACCTTTTGGTCATCCACAGTCAAGCCATTAGAACACTAGTCAGGACTCACTCCAGTCAAACAGTTTTCTTTACTGAAACGTTCTTCAAGTTTGTGTGGGCTGGGATCGCCATGTTTATAATTCTGAAGCTTTTGTAGGACCTGATATTATATGCAGCGCCAGTCTTTTGTTGACAGCTTGATTCAAAATTTGATACTTTGAAATATGCATAGACAACGTCAGATGTTAAAAAAAAAAAAAGACATTTGTCAACATTTTTTATCCGTACGTGGAAGACATTATATGGATATCCGGTAACCCAGACCTTTGGAATAAGATTCATGTTTGTAAACTGTAAAGAATCTAAAACATGAAATTTGGGCAAAATTTGGCAGAATGTGCTCCTTTAAGATCAGATGAAAGACCACAATTTGTTATGTTTTATTGTCTCACAGGGCCTTGTTGTTCCAGTGTTACGCGATGTTGGTGGCCTGAACTACGCTGACATTGAGAAAGCTCTGAATGAAATCGGTGAAAAGGTAAGTTATCAAGGATTACAAGCACTCAAGACTACTTTGTAACAATTTTACCAAAGAAGTACAATAAGGATAGGAAATTTGTCATTTGGCGAAAAAAAAGAAAATCAAGTTGATCAGTGGTCTTAGTGCTACTTGGAATTAGAATTACAAAGTGCCTATTTTTCCCAATTAATTTTTGTTCATAGTTCTGGCAAAATTAGATGGAATGGGGGTAATTCGTTCGATTTCAGATTATTGATATTTTGTAACCTTTGATACACGTATGTCTACTACACATGGAATTGTGTAATTAACCCCTGGAATTGTGTAATTTAAATGTCCCACTATTTGGGACATTCAAATTAGGACTGCAGTCGATGCGTTTAACGCCCGACGCAGTGCTTTTGATTTTGGAATTTTATTTTTTTTAATAGAATCAATCCTTTCAAAGGTGAGATTTCGACGTCGCGTAATAGTGCAAGGATTTATATTAAATGTGCGGACCTCTGTCATCCCTTTTACAACCTAAGATACAGGTTTTTTTTGCAAAAAAAAACGAGGCTTCCAGACTCCATGTCGTACAGGCATCGCGCAGTCATGAAAAAAATGATCGTACGTGACGTGACGTGCGGGAGGGGCGCGTAGTAGGATGGCAGCCTTCAAAATACACACACATTGCGCTCTGAATAGTCAATCAGAGTCGTTTTCAAATTCCTCACGGCCAGGGGTTCGTGAAGGAATGCACACGCAACCCATGGAGTCAAGGCTGGTGAAGGGCAAACCTAATATTAAATCTTTCAGTTGTAGTTGATAGAGTTCATTTAATCCTTTTTCATTTTTTTTTTACTTTCAGGCTCGCACAGGTTCCCTAGCAGTTGAAGACATGGACGGGGGGACCTTCACCATCAGTAACGGCGGGGTGTTTGGCTCCATGTTTGGCACCCCTATCATCAACCCTCCACAGTCAGCCATCTTAGGCATGCATGCTACTGCAGACAGGCCTGTAGCCATCGATGGAAAGGTATAACTAACGCTCAGGATGGGTGCCGTGCGTCAACCATAGGTGGCGCTTCGTGAGAGCAGCATGTTGAATGTGCACAATGGTTTGCACACGCATAACGAGAAGAACAAGCCATTTGTTTTTCAATCTGAATGTGCGAAGTTTTCCTAGAGTGCCGGGCACACTGTGTCCATGTGATCTAGACCCTCCTAGCTCACTTTGTAACTGAGTTAGTAAATACTTGTACATAAAATTAATTATTTTTGTTTTTGCTTTTTTAATGGTCATTATTTAGATATTTTGAACAAGTCTTTTAACAACCTCCAATTAACAAAGACATTGACCAAACGGGGTACCGCCAACATAGGGCTGGATAGCTCAGTTGGTAGAGCACCGGAACGGCAATCCGGAGCCCACTCCAGACGATTTCTTTGTTGTACTTTTTTTTTAAATTTCAATTTTCATATTCCTTATTTTTTTAATGAAAATGTCTTAACGTAAATTTTATTCTAATGTAGAAATAGTGGTGATAGCCCTCAAATGAACCGAATGATTGATTGAGAAACCATGCTATATTAAGCAATCCACTTACAAGAGCAAAAAAAAAAAAAAAATTCTGAGATGAAAGTTAGTCATTTAAGCACTAGTACTTAAGATTTTTAACAACTTTGTTTCTTCAAACGAAAAAAAAAATGCACAAACTGCAAATGATCTGATTTACATGTAAAATTAAAGGGAGTTTTTTAGACTATCAAAACCTTTTCACACAATGGAAACATGAAAATATTTGATCACTTATCATGCCTGCAAACTCTGACAGTTGTACAAGTTAACCAAACAATGATTTTTCACCAGCAAATCTACCACTCAGGTTTTCATTTGCAAGTGACTGGTCCTATTTTGCAAGATGGACAGATAAAACTGGTGTTTGAAATGGTTTTGAAATGTATTCTGAATTTATTTTGCAACTTTCTGTGTTGCCTTTTTGCGCAGGTTGAAATCCGACCCATGATGTACGTGGCGCTGACCTACGACCACAGACTAATCGACGGCAGAGAGGCAGTGACCTTCCTCAAGAAGATCAAGGCGGCCGTAGAAGACCCTAGAGTCCTTCTCCTAGACCTTTAAGACAGAAGGACGGCCCTAGATTTGAGTAGTACACGTGGCTTGTTATTTACTTAGCCATTCTGTAATAACCACATCCTATGTTACGGCCACCTCCGGCTCACTTTCCGTAGAGACACACAGGAGAAATGTTCTTGCTGAACATCTTCACAAGCAAAATAAAAATCTGGTGATATACCGGTACATCCGATATTCCGCATCCAAATCACCGAGCTATGGCCGTGGGTAGGACATGTGTCTATGGGATTTAGCCTCAGCCACTTTCATTGCAACTCCAAGCCATAGCTAAGCGATTTGAATGCTGATATTTTGGCTTGTGAATTAGGTAAAATGGTTTTGTGCTTAGCAGAGGTTTTGGGCTTACATGTAGGTGGTCTCTTATATGTGAGGCGCTCTGGCAAAATGACATTGAACTGGGCTCAGGCTGTGGTAGAGACAAATGCAAAAAAAACTCGAAAACTTTAATCACCTTTTTCTTGGTCTTTAACCTTATATTGATAAACGCTGACTTTAAACAGCCATAACTTGTCAACGGAATGTCCGATTAAAGTGCAGCAAACACTAGTGTAAGGAGAATTTTATTCTCTCTCCTAACACCTGCAAAACCTTTTTTCAACCTCTGCCCAGTTCTGTCTCATTTTGCCAGATCACCTCACATATTTGCTGCTGTTGCACGCTGACTTCATAATTATGTCCCAGCTACACGTATCACACTTTCAACGGGAAATGTATCGTAGGAAAGCAAAGGAACCAATAGACTAATCCACTGAGCCCGGCCCTACCATGTTTTGACCAATCACAGCCATGATGAATGTCCAGCATGAATGCACGTGCATATGGCGTGTGCATCTGTAACATAGAGTCTGGCATTGGAGAGGCCCACGTGTTGTTCCCCACGGGCCCAGTGGGCGGGGCCTAATGGAAAGGTCTATAGACCTTGATCATGCTGCCACCATTTCGGTCATATTCCCTGTATCCAATAACAGTAATGAATGATAATTTTTTGTTTCTTTGTTCTCTCATCCACCCTCCCCTGCATCTTTCCACACCTTTTACACCTAATCCTCCTTTTGTGTTTCTTCTTTCAGCCCTGCATGTTTGTGTGCACCCCCATGTTAATGTATGTACCTCTGTCATTTCTGTTTTAGCCTCTGAAGAAGAACTTGCTAAGTTCGCAACGTCAGGCCACATTAATTTTAAGATAATTTTTTGTGTGTAAAAAGGAACCAGACTATTTTTCCTTCCAGCCTCGCTTTGGTTACGTTGATTTGAATGAGAAAAAAATCAAGATGGCCGCAACATGATAATGGTTTATTGACAATACCAGCCTTACCTTACGCTGGTCTTAAATTAAACGTGATGTCATAAGCAACTATACAGCGTTTGTCAATAAAAATACTAGCACTATCTATTTGCAAAACTTGTCCATAGAGTCTGAAGGTGTAGTAAATACTCTGCACAATGGTCTTTATCCCATCTCATTTGGACACTCCAGTCCAGAGATACAGCTTATTAAATGAAAGGACTTGAATTCCAAGTTGGGCCACGTTTCAGATCATCTGGTATCTAATGAAAGGCATTCACATACCAAGAAGGTGTGTGAATGCCTTTCCGTCATTAGATACCAGATAATCTGAAAAGCGACCCAAACAGATTTTGACAGTCTTTACAAGCTTTGCTGTAACTTTTAAGCAAAAGGTCCAAGTCACACACAAGGGTAAAGGAACACTCTATCATATCATGGTAATTTTTCACACAAAAAAAGCAATTTAGTTTCCTCCGAAAAAAATGTTTGACTGCTACATTTTTTGGAGACACGCTGTAGTTGGTCAATGATGAGTAAGTTTAGGTTTTTAACAGATTGTCTTGTTCAGAAACACATGTGAGTTGAATTCTGGAATCAGCATTCTAGTGGTCTTTTTTTTTAATTGTAAGAGTTTAGGTTAAACAGGATATGCAGATATACAGAATACAAATAACAATGATGTTGCAATCGTATGTATCGCACGTCACCACCGCCTTACTCATTGCATAATTGGACCTTGTTGTTGTTCTTACTTCATATTTTATTCTATTTCTTCAGTCTATAGAGAAAAACATGAGTATTATCTGGACAGAATGCATAGGATGTGCCATTAATGAAGCACTTTTCTTGTGATGTGTAAAAAAGATATTTTCTCAATCAAACTGATCTGACAATAAAATAACTGAATGAATGCCACTGGACACCCTGTAAAGTTATTCCGTATAACATTGTGTAATGTTGAAAATCGACAAATTGCCTCAAATGCTTAATTTTGTCTCAGTATACTGTTTCACCAGTGATGTAGATACATGCATTATGATCTATTTTCGTCTTTTTGAGTCGTTTCACCTTGACTCATGCACTCAAAGCTTGATACTTCAGGTAAAAAAGGAAGAATTTGAATGGTTCATTGATTGAATGTTACATGCCGTTGTGAAATTACAGAATTTCAATAATAATCTAATTACGTCTACCAAAGAATTATTCAAATCCATTTTATAATTAATTTCGTTTGCATTTTCCGTCACCTAGATTTTCTCTTGTGTTATAAGTAGCACATACCTCAAGATGCTGTGAAGCATTTTTTTTTATTTGGTTGGTCTTGTTCCAAAATTCAGTCGCACAGTAACACACTTATGTGCATGACTCTGTTTCCAAGGACTATTAGGGCGCCAGACTCTTTTCTTTAATTTTTGTCTAAATTTTGCAAAAATGCCCCCTGTGCTTAAAAAGTGCTTGAAATCGAATTAATACCTTTTAAATTTAAAATGAGACTTAAAAAATTTGCTGCAGGAACTTTTTAATGTGCTGAAAAGTGTGTTATATTATGCACACGCCTGGATTTTGTTTTTGTCTTCTGTTTATTTTGTATGATACAAAGTTTGACAAAGATGCAGCATTTCTTTTTTCAATATTAGAATTCCGAATCGCCAGTGTTTTTTTTTTAATATCAGCTGAATGTTCTGGCTATTTGGTACAAGGGTGCACATAAAATAGCGTATGTTTTCCCCGGTAATTATTTTAAAGTTTGAATTGCAGAATTGACATAATGTAAAAAAGAAAAATGTTTGGTTTGTTCGAATATTCGAATTTGAAAAAAATAAATACTAAATTATAAGATTTTAGAAAGAGTTTTAACTGTGTGAGCATTTGTCGTCATTTCTGACAATTAAAGGTAATATATACAACATTTGCCTTTGCTGTGATTTTCGGAAACGGATGGATTTGGGGGTTAGTATTTTCTAGCACATATTGTTACACTGACCTGTTTAAAGTTTGGTGTTCCTAGATGCTGGAAAAACCAAGAAACAAATGCTATTCTTGTAGTCTGGTTCCCTGACCCTACTTCAGACGGAACGGAGCAATTTATAGACGTCAAGGAATTAATTAATGTTGGTAAATTGGGGCAGTATTGAAAAAATGTCAGTTTTTTACAATGATGGTCGGCCGACCATCGTTGGAAACTGATTCAAAAATTCCACTTTTCTTGAAAATGCATGACAGCACACCAGGTGCCAAGATTTCACAAGATGCTTGAGACTATTCACTTACAATCAAGTGAGGTATTTCATAAGAATTTGGTACGTTTGCAAATGTATAATTATGTACGTTTCAGACTTTTTTTCTCTTGAAATGTCCAAAAGCTTGCCAAAAAAAAAAGGCCACTATTGATCGAGATGTAGTATCCATTTCAATTAGTTGTAAGACAACTAAAGTTTTGTGAGGGGGGGGGGGGCGGTTTAAGATGCAACATGGTGCATTCACATAAATTTTAATGAAAATAAAGAGTGAAGCTGAAAATAAAAGTTAATGGTGCTTGTATAGCGCCCTCTGTTGACAAAAACGAGATCGGGCATGCGCCGATCAGCTGTCTGCGGTTAACTTCATCATTATCATATCAGCTGCAGCCGAAAGAAAACTCGCAAGAGACAACTCGGAGAGCTATTTCGGTGGCTGTAAAAACACAGAAAAACTTTCCAAGATAGGTTCAAGAATGTCTGTAAGACGTGCAAGCCATGCTGGGTCCTGGTACAGCAGCTCAGGTTTGAAAATCATCGTGTTTTTGTGTCGAAAATCTGGTGTTTACTTTTTTCATTTTCAGACCAATAATTTCACTCAGTCTGGGTCATGCATGTGTCAAGGCCACCGTTTGTCTGCTGTTTTCTTTGTTGGAGGTTCTCGTTGGAAATTAATTTCCACACTGCCTTGCAGTTGAACATTTCATTTCTTTGATAACATTGATGTGCCATACATCAAATAGTTAATCCTGCAAAGTCACACTGTGAACAATCTTGCCTTGTTATGTTTGATCATATCATGGACACATTCAAAACAATGAAAACCAGGAGATCGAGGGTGCACAATGATTTGGCGATTGTGTAGTTCCAGGCCCTGGGGCCGATTTCACGAAACTCTTGCGACTTATCTTAGAACTGAAGACGAGAGCCCGCTCTAACTTAGAGCCTAATCTTAGAGTCTAAGATAGATCTTAGCTAAGACGCGTTCTAAGACTGATTTCACTAAACCCATTAGCAAAATGCATCAAAACCAATTTGATGGCTGTTTTGTTTCATGTTTGTTTTGTACCGTTTCACAAAACAGTCGTTGAAAAGAAACACGCAAAACCAACTAAGACAAGTTTAGCCACGTTGCTAAGGAAGTTGGGACGTGTTGAACACGTCTTAAGTTTGATGAAATCAATCCTAGGACGGTTCGCGAGTTAAGATGAGTTACCCTTCCTAAGTAAGATGCGTCTTAGCGTTTTGTGAAATAGGCCCCAGTTCCTAGTAATGAGAACAAAAATCCTTTTTCAGGTTAATGGACTTACCAAAATTAGTTAGCGACATTTAAAACCAACAGAAGTCTGGTGGATGGAGGGCTGGGTTTTGGTTTTTATTTAAGAGAAATTTTGCAGTAGAATGGTGATGAATTGACAGATTGGAGAGGACAAAACGCAACACAAAAACAGGGAGCATCACCATGTACCATGAATGCGTAAAACCGCATTGATTTGCCTGGCACCAACTGTGAAATACATGAGAAAGTCACCTTTTTTTACCGAAAAGGACTGTTCAGAATGACAAAAACTTGTGTCATAAGAATTAAGAGAAATCTGCTTTAGGTCATTTTGGAATGATAACAAACCTGCTTGACCCTATTTTGACCAACACTAAAGAGGGGCCCGTACAGGTACACAATTGCCCATGATGACATTCAAAACAATAAAAACAGCATGACCAGGCGAACGAGAATGCACATTGATTTTGCACCCAATCAAAGTAATAGACCCATTTGCGGTTACCGGCGCCATCTTGGCCAGGGGGTGAAATTTATGCGTAGCACAGCGCTATCGTGATCACAACACATCGGCTCATTTCGCTCATTCACTATGCGGCATGAATCGTGCTCCCTAATGTTCCCCTGTGAGTCAATTTTGCCCCCTGGCCAAGATGGTGTTACTTCATCACATCATTTCTACCATTCATGCCAATAGGACAGAAGTTCAGATTATGTTGGGGAATTGTTTGTTTTTTACTATTCTCGTTATTCTCGTTACGCAGAACGAATGTTGTCGGAAGAGCTTGATGCCTGGTTGAGCAATGCAGAGTCATCAAAGCATGCCCCAGCTAGGGCAATCATTGCACCGTGAGTACCATGTCTCTCTCTTGTTGTGGATTCTGAAAAGGGACTTTAGAAAACCCTATGTGGTCTTTGGACTCCGTGTACACTCCACACTGACGAAGAAAGGGTTAGGTTGTACACTTATGAGTCTGAATAGCATACTTGGCAAAGCATCCCTCAGGAAACATCACACAGACTTGTTTGGTTAGTTTTGGGCGTGGAGCTGGACATGTTTTCCACAACAGAAACAAATACTGTAACTATTTGGAACCACTAAACAATTTGGAAAGTTCCACTCTTGAGTGAGATGTGTTCCCAGATTCAATGACGCAGGGTGGGACACTGTTCCAATCCTTGATGGTCCTGGGGAAGAAGCTGTTGTTGAAGATTGTTGATTCTGTTTGTGTTAATTGCATATATGAGGATGATCGAGTAAATTTGTAGAAACAAAGGCCTCTGCTGTTTTTTTGACTGTCTGTGACTGTTCAAACAGTAGGAGGGTTTAATCTGTTAATTTTTCTTCGTACATGTAGTTCAAGGGTAATCCCCCATGGCTCTGAAGTTGTGGTGTAACTGTCCCTGGTGATGTGCTGTAGTTGTTGTAGACGAATCTAACTGCCTGTCTTTCAACTCTTTCTAATTGGTGAATGTCTGATTTCAGATGAGGCAGGAAGATGAAGCATACACATATTCTAGTATAGGGCAAACCATCGTTGTGCAGGCTGTTTCTTTAACGGAAGCATTACAGAACCACAGACTCTGCTTGAAATCTTGAATGCCGCTCACCCCAAGATGATGTGTGCATTTAGATTGAAATTAATGCCAAGACTGGAAAATGGAAACTAATTTTGTCGACTTTATTCCTTTTATTCCAGCCATGCAGGATACTCTTATTGCGGAGCCTGTGGAGCCCATGCCTATAAACAAATAGATCCCACCAATATGTAAGTGTAAATGTTTTTGAGGAGTCAGTATGTTTTATTGACATATGCTGACGAATCCCAGAGAACAAAACAGGACAATATTGTCCACGATTCCCAGCATACGTCCACGATTGGGGTCGTGTTCAAAACCTATGGGAGTCTTCCTAAAAAGTTACAGTACAAACAAAAGAGGGACAATAGGATGTCCACGATCGACGGTGTGAACGCGTTTGTGTGTACGTGCAGATGATTGTAGATAATTTCTGGTGGATTGATTGGAACATGATTTTACCTCTGGAACACCATACTAGCACTTTTAAGTTAAAAAAAAAAAGTTTAAATTGAAAACATATGGTTTCCAAGTAAGTATCGTGAAAGCTATTGGAACGCTAGTTGTCATTTTAGTCACACTTGATCCTTTTCAAAAAGTTGCTTAAAACGTGTGTGCACAGATCGCCATGTGTGTACATGTCAAGGCCAGTTCATATTTGGAGCGCTGTGGTCCAATGGTTCGAACCCTGACGGGGAACATGGTGCTTGTGTTCTTGGGCAAGACACTTTACTACAATTGCCTCTCTCCACCCAGGAGTATAAATGGGTACCTATGAAGGTAGAGACCAGAATGCGCTGATCTCGAGCTGCTGTAAACAACTGTTCTCATGGCCTGATGAACAGGGGTAATAATTGTGAAACGCTTTGAGACCTTTGGTATAAAGTGCTATAAGCACCACATAGCCCAACTAGTATGAAGACTACAGCACTCAGAATGTAAAAGGATGCAAAAGAAGTGTAATGTGACTAACCATAAAATTGCTCAGGTTCTAATGTTTGTCTCGTTTGATCTTTTGTTTTTGCAGAAAGCGTGTTTTCATTTTAGGGCCGTCACATCATGTGCACCTACCAGGCTGTGCCATCACTAGATGTAAAATATACGAGACACCATTATACAACCTCATTGTAGATACGCAAGGTCAGACATTGACTGCTATTATAGCTTAGGGCCATCTCAATTCAATTCTGGAACTTGTTCCGGACAAGTTGTGGGTAGAATCATTCACTTTGTCTGGAAGAAGCTCTGCCTTTGTCCCGGACATGTTCTGGTGAAATTTTCATGAAGCAACTGCTTGACTCACCAATACTGATAACTTCATTGCGGGACGATTGCGGGGAAGTTGCTCAGAATCCTGCAGCTTATAACCAAAACAATGTCCGTAACTTGTCCGGAACTCGTCCAAGATATGAAACGAGACGGACCCTTATACTGTTATTATATATGTAGCTTATATTTTTTTAACACTGATCCAATAGCTTACAAAGTATTTTGGTTCTGTTGAATGGTTGACGGAAATATATAATGCCAAACTTAAAGTTGCTCTACCCATGCTCTTCAACACATTTGATATTTTTGCATACTTACAAAAAAAACAAGCAAATATTTTCTGTGTTAAGCCAACGTCTGTGAAATGTCCCCCCCCCTCCCATGTGGTCCAGGTTTAATCTAATCTCATGGAGGTGTTGAGCACAATAACTTCTTAAGTACAAAAAAATGGTTACCAGTCAAAATGATGTGTATTGTACACTGCTTTCGACTGGTTCTCAGCTTTATTTTCTGTTTTGCATGTACAAAACCGTATTTTCTGCTTCGTAGCTTCTGATGTTAGTCATGTTTTTACTCATGTGGGATTATTGTTTGATGATTTCAGTGTGTGAAGAGTTATGTAAAGACGGTCCCTTTGATGTTATGAAGACTCAAACTGATGAGGAGGAACACAGTATAGAAATGCAACTGCCTTACATCGCCAAGGCAATGCAGAGGTAGGTAGTCAAACCCTAACCCTGCTCAATCCAACAAGATCCAACTAATTTACATTGCCGTTGGGTCCTGTTGGATTGAGCAGTAGATCCTTGTATATATTCCTGTTGAAATCTGTCGGATTCAGCAGGCAACTGAAAACATTCAGAGGCGGATTCTGTTGGGTACTGGTAAATAACGCCAAGTTGGACTCTGTTGGATCCAGTAGACAACTGAAAACTAAGGCACAGTTGGATTCTGTTGGATTGAGCATGCCAGTCATTTTATACATTCAGGTACCCAACAACATGGCAAGTTGGATTGTGTTCATATGAGTAACCGTTGGACTCTGTTAGATTTAGCAGGGTAGTCCTGGGGAACTATTAGGGGGTTAGGGTCTTGTCAAGCTATTTTCGCAGTTGTATAGTTGAAGTTTAAGGAGAGTTGAGGGCATAACAGGAAAGATTTCTATTTATTTTAAGTTTAAAGAGTTGAACAACAAATTGACTGGAGCCGGGTTTGAACCTGCGGCCTCCGGATTGCCATTCCGGTGCTCTACCAACTGAGCTATCCAGCCCTATGTTGGTGGTTCCCCATTTTGTTAGTGTCTTTGTTCAAGGGGCGCTAGTCAGAAGCCATAAACCCATATATGCTATGCAGCCAGGGATCATGCCCAAAGTCACGATGCTAACAAACCTGGGAAATAGCACACGGGGATCACTCAGAGAGAATACAGCTTTTTATATCAAATTTTCAAACAAACTGCTAAGAGAATTTGACTTTGAATTTGGTGCATTATAACAATCTCTAAAAGTTGAACAAAGAAATTGACTGGAGCAGGGTTTGAACTTGCGATCTCCAGATTGCCGCTCCGGTGCTCTTCCAACTGAGCTATCCAGCCCTATAATAAGCCATACTGAATAAATGAAACTGATTGTCATTGTTTCGTTGCCGTCTCCAGTAAACAGGGTCAGTTCACCATAGTGCCTATCCTTGTGGGCTCGTTGGTGGGGGAAGGAGAGCAGATGTACGGCCGGCTGTTCAGCAAGTACCTGGCTGACCCCGAGAACCTGTTTGTCATTTCCTCAGATTTCTGCCACTGGGGTGAGTTTTAAAATGCATGACATAAACTGATTGCAGAGTTCGTGCGTTTCAACTTTTATTTTGGTGTGATTCACTGTTGGTGAATTTATTTATTCCATTAGTGACTGTATTACCCGAAATCAACCTGTCTGTTACTCTCTGTAGGGCCCAAAAGCGCTGGTTTGAGTATGTTCGGGCGAGTACCATAAGTCGACTAGTAGTTGATTTATGACGTAACTTACACCTGCCCACTAATAGCAACGCGCGAACACCTCGAGCCAAAAGTCTTAGTCCTGACTCCCCTTTGTTCTTCATGATGCATGCGGCTATTGGTAACCAGCGATGCAATCGTGCCCCATGCTCCGGCTCCAAATAATCAACTAAAGTAGTCCAACCAACCATCTTTCAAGCAAAATAGTCGAACTGTGGTTAACTATAGTTCACAACCAAACTTGCTCCATGGACTCGGTGCATGAACAGTACAGGGTGAGTAAAAAAGGAAACCCAAATGTCGGGACTATTGTTTTAGTGAAGTTCTGCATGTAGCACCTTCAAAATCTAGGATATGAAAGCCCAGTTCATAAGCTTTCTTTTAGTACAAAAATAATTCAAATCACTCATGTACTTTTCAAGTTACAGAATTTTAATCACAACCACGATTTTAAAGTTCTGTCCACGAATCACAAAAAGGTAAGTGTTCTTTCAGCAAAACGAAAACAAATCACATAGGGATGTGTGTGAATTGTTTTCGTTTTGCTGAAAGAACGCACACTTTTTTGTGATCCGTGGACAGAACTTTAAAATGGTGGTTGTGTTTAAAATTCCAAAACTTAAAAAGTACATGAGTGATTTGAGTGATTCTTGTACTAAAAGAAAGCTTATGAATTTTGCTTTCATATCCTAGATTTTGAAAGTGCTACATGCAGAACTTTACTGAAACAATAGTCCTGACATTTGGGTTTTGTTTTTTTGACTCACCGTGTAGATGGTGTTTTCTGTCCTCTTTCAAAAGCCCCAGTGGGAGGGACACACCGCATGTGCTTACTGGTTCACATACAGTCGACTCTCGTTAGTACAAACTCTGTTAATACAAAATTCTGGTTATAGCAAACATAAGGCATTGGTCCCAACTGTGCATTTGTGTGCACAATGAATGTGATTGATGTTCCTCTTAATACAAAATGCTGATATAACAAACAATTTGCCTAGGTCCGAACGAGTTTGTATTAACGAGACTCGACTGTATATGGCTCGAATTACGCACGACTTATTTCATTCTGAATGTACACAAACCTGTAGTGTCTTCGCGTGAGCGTCAGGCGTCAGGCGTCGTCAGCAATGCGTTTGAATGTCCCTCTCAGTGGTCCCCCCAACTCTCCCTTTGTAACCGTTGAGGGGGTACTAGTGTACCGAGTCTATTGTTTGGAATATCCATCATTGGCCAAGTAATGTGGACCTTATAGATTGGTCTATAACTTGTTGCTTGCTCTGGGCATTTTATAAATTTGCATGTGTTTCCTATCATTTCATTACAGGTCAGAGATTCAACTACAAGTACATATATGAGCCCTCGTATCAAATACACCAATCCATCGAGTCCCTGGATAAAATGGTAAGCACGGCCGTGTACTTGCAATCTTTATGCTGGGAAAACCTACTATGTTCAATCCTAACAGAGCATAATGCTCCAAAGGTGAAATAAAATAACCCCAGTTGTGAAGCACGAAAGACGGAACCTGTGCTGCCGCGCTGATGCTCTTAATATGCTTTAGATATGTACCCAAAATTGAGTGCATAAATAAATTCAACATTTTATTGGACATCTTGAAACTGATATAGTTCAAGTTTTGCACAATGGGGGACCACTTCTAATTATGCTACGGTTAAAAAAATCTTTTAGAACAAAATTAGTGGCACACTTGCAAGGGGTGTAACAATTCATGAATGTGTCGACAATTGCTGTAGAATGCAGCACTACAAGTAGCATGGTATGGAATTCTGTAGAATAAACTCTGACAAAAGGAAGTCAATTTCTGGCACCAGAAGTTCAAATATGTGGACAGCTCACCTTGTATTCGGTGATCAAAACAATAACAAAATTGTACCTCCAAAATGATACTTCAGAATATATGTAAGCATTCTGGCAAAATGAAACAGAACTGGGCACAGAACGTAGTGGGAAAAAATGCAAAAAAACTGAATTTGCGTGATTTCTTTCAATTTTCAGATTTATTGATATTTGTCATCTTTGATATGTTTACTACACATAATTTAACAAATTAGTATAGAAATTCTGGAATAAAAGTGTTCTTAAGAAAAAAACAATTGGCATCTTTGATTTTCACAAACACAAAACTTGAAACTTCCAAGGCCTTTTTCTCAGTACTTTTTTGACATGTTGATAACTTTAAACAGCCATAACTTGTCAATGGAATGTCCGATTGAAATGCAGCAAACAGTATTGTAAGGAGAATTTTTATTCTCTTTCCTAATACTTGCAAACCCTCGTTTTGATCTCTGCCCAGTTCCGTGTCTTTTCACCAGAACATCACAAAATGTGAGCCGCTGTAGCAGTTTTGCAGAGTTGCAAACTTAAAATTCAACTTACATACACTTTCTTTGCATGTATAGATGAACCCATCAAATTCATACATGTCAACAAAAATGCTATAACCTGTGTACATGATAATATGGTGATGCATATTGCGTACATAGTATTGTGATGTGTATTTATATCGCAAAAAATGTCGCTAGTATACAAATATTGAATGCTTCGAGTGGTGTAGTAAAACTAGCCTCCCGAGGTGATCCATGGACATTCTATTTTCCCTCGGCTTCGCCTCGGGAAAATAGAATGATCCATGGATCACCTCGGGAGGCTAGTTTTACTTCACCACGAGATAAAGCATTCAGTATTTGTTTTATAACACTTCACCCACAGATTCTGCTTGATTTTAATATTTTAAATTATTTAAATCTGAACACAGCTGAAATAAACTTCAATTTCAATACAAAATTGGTGGAAAATATATTTCTCTCTTAAAAACTACCCCTTCACGAAATGTTTGAACCCAAGTCTGCGGCGCGCTCTCTTTGGAATAATACGCGCTACGCACAACGCGCAACGCGCACACCAGCATGCATTTGCACACAAATACCGCGGCGTGGAAATAGTACTTTGGTTGCTAATGGTATAGTACTTTGGTTGCTATGCGCATAGTACTTTTGGCCGTGCACAGAAAGATAGCAAAATTAGAAAGTAACATGTGACTCGCTCTAGGCCAATCAAGACACAGAATCTGTGGGTGAGGTGTTATAATCACTTATACTGACTGACTGGTTTAATCTTTCCAAAGGGCATGCAATACATAGAGAATCTGGATCCCGTAGGCTTCCGTAACTACCTAAAGAAACACGGCAACACCATATGTGGCAGACATCCTATAGCGGTCCTATTGAATGTAAGTAACAGGGGAAGCTCTTGGGATTTCAGCAAAGATTGCTTTTAGATTGCATAGTTTTGTCTTTGCCTGAGTTTAAGGGTTTGAATTTGGGAGATGCCAAATTACTGATTTTGCTTTGACTTTCTTTTCAAATTCTTTGGAAGACTTGGCATAGGAATAATGAGTATAGTTTCTCAGTGACTAGTTAGAACTCTATGGATGACTTATAAGAACTTTGGCATAATTGTGTGCACTGGCTTGAGTGCATAGGACACAAAGTATACACGTCAACTTTCATCTGAATATGCACTTGTCTTTTGCATTTTCACATGGTTGTTTGGTGCACTGCGGTGGTAGATTCAAATGTTTTTGTCTTCTTCTTTGTCACATTGGAGAGGGTACTTGTATACTGAATCCATACACTGTTGGTGCAGCATTAGGGTGAAGGTTGCTGATTCTAAATCTCATTCATTAGCAGTCCTCACTTTTGGCATCTCCTAAATTTCATTCATTAGCAGTCCTCACTTTTGGCATCTCCTAAATCTCATTCATTAGCAGTCCTCACTTTTGGCATCTCCTAAAGCTCATTCATTAGCAGTCCTCACTTTTGGCATCTCCTAAATCTCATTCATTAGCAGTCCTCACTTTTGGCATCTCCTAAATCTCATTCATTAGCAGTCCTCACTTTTGGCATCTCCTAAATCTCATTCATTAGCAGTCCTCACTTTTGGCATCTCCTAAATCTCATTCATTAGCAGTCCTCACTTTTGGCATCTCCTAAATCTCATTCATTAGCAGTCCTCACTTTTGGCATCTCCTAAATCTCATTCATTAGCAGTCCTCACTTTTGGCATCTCCTAAATCTCATTCATTAGCAGTCCTCACTTTTGGCATCTCCTAAATCTCATTCATTAGCAGTCCTCACTTTTGGCATCTCCTAAATCTCATTCATTAGCAGTCCTCACTTTTGGCATCTCCTAAATCTCATTCATTAGCAGTCCTCACTTTTGGCATCTCCTAAATCTCATTCAATAGCAGTCCTCACTTTTGGCATCTCCTAAATCTCATTCATTAGCAGTCCTCACTTTTGGCATCTCCTAAATCTCATTCATTAGCAGTCCTCACTTTTGGCATCTCCTAAATCTCATTCATTAGCAGTCCTCACTTTTGGCATCTCCTAAATCTCATTCATTAGCAGTCCTCACTTTTGGCATCTCCTAAATCTCATTCATTAGCAGTCCTCACTTTTGGCATCTCCTAAATCTCATTCATTAGCAGTCCTCACTTTTGGCATCTCCTAAATCTCATTCATTAGCAGTCCTCACTTTTGGCATCTCCTAAATCTCATTCATTAGCAGTCCTCACTTTTGGCATCTCCTAAATCTCATTCATTAGCAGTCCTCACTTTTGGCATCTCCTAAATCTCATTCATTAGCAGTCCTCACTTTTGGCATCTCCTAAATCTCATTCATTAGCAGTCCTCACTTTTGGCATCTCCTAAATCTCATTCATTAGCAGTCCTCACTTTTGGCATCTCCTAAATCTCATTCAATAGCAGTCCTCACTTTTGGCATCTCCTAAATCTCATTCATTAGCAGTCCTCACTTTTGGCATCTCCTAAATCTCATTCATTAGCAGTCCTCACTTTTGGCATCTCCTAAATCTCATTCATTAGCAGTCCTCACTTTTGGCATCTCCTAAATCTCATTCATTAGCAGTCCTCACTTTTGGCATCTCCTAAATCTCATTCATTAGCAGTCCTCACTTTTGGCATCTCCTAAATCTCATTCATTAGCAGTCCTCACTTTTGGCATCTCCTAAATCTCATTCATTAGCAGTCCTCACTTAGCAAGTTTTCCTTTTTATGCCCCGCGGCGAAGCCGAAGGGGCATACTGTTTCCGCCTTGTCCTTCCGTGGGTGGGTGGGTGTGTGGGTGTGTGTGTGGGTGGGTGGGTGTGTGGGTGTGTGTGTCCGGACAAATCTTGTCAGCGCGATAACTTGAGAAATACTTATAATATGAACTTCAAATTTGGTTTGTGGATTGTCCTTGGTAATCCTAAGAAGCCTTTTGCATTTGGGGCCGAAAGGTCAAGGGTCAAGGTCACAGTGGCTGAAACAATAGAAATTTTGTCAGCGCGATAACTTGAGAAATACTTAACATATGAACTTCAAATTTGGTTTGTGGATTGTCCTTGGTAATCCTAAGAAGCCTTTTGCATTTGGGGCCGAAAGGTCAGGGGTCAAGGTCACAGTGGCTGAAACAATAGAAATTTTGTCAGCGCGATAACTTGAGAAATACTTTACATATGAACTTCAAATTTGGTTTGTGGATTGTCCTTGGCAATTCTAAGAAGCCTTTTACATTACGGGCCAAAAGGTCAAGGGTCAAGGTCACAGTGACTAAAACAAAAGAAATTTTGTCAGCGCGATAACTTGAGAAATACTTTACATATGAACTTCAAATTTGGTTTGTGTATTGTTCTTGGTAATCCTAAGAAGCCTATTGCATTTGGGGTCGAAAGGTCAAGGGTCAAGGTCACAGTGGCTGAAACAAAAGAAATTTTGTCAGCGCGATAACTTGAGATATACTTTACATATGAACTTCAAATTTGGTTTGTGGATTGTCCTTGGCAATCCTAAGAAGCCTTTTGCATTTGGGGCCAAAAGGTCAAGGGTCAAGGTCACAGTGGCAGAAACAAAAGAAATTTTGTCAGCGCGATAACTTGAGATATACTTTACATATGAACTTCAAATTTGGTTTGTGGATTGTCCTTGGCAATCCTAAGGAGCCTATCGCATTGGGGGTCGAAAGGTCAAGGGTCAAGGTCACAGTGGCTAAAACAATAGAAATCTTGTATTTATTCTGAGATCATAGGGATTAGGGATTAATTCATATAAAACCTACAGAAGACACTAATGCTGTCAATGAACGTTCCATTTGACCAAGGTACATGTAAGTTGATGTTAGAGTGGTGTTATGTCATGGAAACAGTCACGGTTGCGGGGCATTTGTGTTTGTAAACACACCTGACTTGTTTGAGTTCTGAAAAAGATGCAACGTAGAGCGCTGTGGTTCAAACAGTTATGGTGTGGGACTCATGTGCGATGGTGCACGGATTTTGAATGCTGACTGGGAAATATGGTTCTTGTGTTCTTAGGCAAGACACTTTACTACAATTGCCTCTCTCCACCCTGGAGTATAAATGATACTGGTGAAGGTAGAGACCCGATTGTACTGATTTCGAGCTGCTGCAGAAAATGGTCTCGTGGTCTGATAAACAGGGGTAATAATTGTGAAGCGCTTTGAGACTTTGGTATTAAAGGGAAGATACAACATTTGCAAACATCAAAAAACGAAATGATCACATTATCACGAAATAACTTACTGGATTGTTAGGGAATGACAGTCTAAAGCATCCTGTAAAATCGTAGCTGCTGGTTTGCTGACATTTTCAAGAAAAATTGTATTTTTCCAACGCTGGTCAGCCGACCAGCGTTGGAGAAAACTGGCTTTTTTCAAAAACTGCTCCTAATTTTCCATATTTAGTTATTCTGCATTTTGTTTGCAATTGATAACACACCTGTGAAGGTAAAAGCCTGCTAGACTGATTCTCTGACCTTACAATTCCCCTAAGTCTATAAATTGCTCTGTTTCATCTTAAGTGGGGTCAGGGAACAGACTACTAGAACATGATTGGTTTTCTTGGTTTTTCCTGCATCTACGAACCCAAAACGTGAAACAAGTCAGTGTAACAATATTTACTATAACATACTAAACCTCCAAATCCATTTATTTCTGTAAATTGCAGCAAAAGCAAATGATGTACATTCCCTTTAAGCCCTGTCTTTGCACCACATTATTGTTATCATTAATGCGTGTCATATTGCCTTTCTTCTCCCCCCCCCCCCCTTTTTAATCTCAGGCTATCCAGACATTAAAGACCAAGAACGGACGCACCATGTCCCTCAAGTTTCTCAACTACTCTCAGTCCAACCAATGCAAGTCCATGCGAGAGAGTTCCGTCAGCTATGCCTCAGCTTCCTTCACCATGAGCTGAGAGCAAGCCGTCAGGAAGGTAGTCACAAGCCGCCAATATTTCAGGAGGGGAATAACAAAAATTATGATAATATTTATCTTCGGCATCTCAGGATATCTTCATATGTGTGTGTGTGTGGGGAGTTTGGGGTTCAGAATGAAAACTCATTCAGAAACAATTTTGGGCCTCGGGTTGCAGGTTGAAGGAGAGAGAAGATACCATTTGTTTTAACATTTTTTTAAAAATAATTGTTTGAGTCCAAGTGTCATTGTTTGGAACAGACATGAGAATCAGGGTCTAGGCTAGAAACGTTATTTTAGATGGAAAGATTTATGAAAATGGTCCTTAAAGTATGAAGTTCTCGTTCAGGGGAAAATATGGTTTAAAAAAAGACAGACTGAGGAATGAAATAAAAACAATTGACTTTTTCCAAACCGAACACTTCTCAAGACAGAAAAATCTTAGTTAAATACACAGTTTGAAGCACCTTCTGTCATTAACATATGCACCGTCATTTTGAACAAATCACGTCTAAGCCGCAGAATCGCCGTCACGTCGTGAGAGGCATGAGTATGGTTGCAATTATTCTGTCGAGATGCCACTTGTTCCACGATAATCACATGATTTCTCAATTTTGACGATTCTGTCTGGGTGCAAGCAAATCACGGGCCAACCTGTGGTTGGCTTTACCCCGTGTCTTGGGACTCCATTTTTGCAGAGTGGATCATGCTAGATGATATATCGACAATTTGTTCATGATAAAAGATATGCCCAGGCTTTGTGCACGTTACAAGTTGAAGAAAATCGAAGAAGTTGGACGCATCTTGAACTGGATTATGCCTGAAGTGAATAAAAAGCCCAAACTTACATGTAAGTGGATCTTTTTTCTTGTATAGCAGTGCCAATCTTTACATTGCATAGCGAGCATGTTACAAGAAACGCAGTTGTCTATCCATAATTATGTCACAATTGACTTTCTGTAGTCATTTCAGTATTATATAAATGGAAAATATATGCTGCAAATTAATTTTTGTAACTTCTTGTGTCCAAGCTAAATAGTAATTGCCAGAATTAAAACGCATTAAAATAAAAAAATTAAATGCAAAATATTTCCATTTATGACACAAAATTTATTTCACATTTACATGGTGTATAAAACCAGGCATGAGTTAAAAGCTTAAATAACATTTTGCTGATGAAAAGCAGACTCAAAATTTAAACGGGAATACAGTGCATCCAAATGAATTGTTTGAAGCACTTATCTGTAACACAAGCTAAATGGTGAATGGTTTACAGTTTAATACCATTGTTACTTGCATGCAATGATAAATAACATCCTCGTCATTTGAAAATGCAAATATTAAGCCTGCTATATGACATTTGGGGCTAGAAATTCACAGACAGGTTCAACAGAAAGTACCAGGAAAAAAAGCCCCGTGTGCTATCTAGAAATAGATTGTTTGCACTGCGACCATGTTTGTGGTCTGTGCTTTTGTTCAACAGGGATACACATGAGTAGATATATTGTGCATTCATTGTAATGAATTAACTTAACAAAACACACCTCAAACATGGCGTCTGAATGCAATTCATCTATGAGTTTGTGATTAAGAAAACAGCTAGCTCTTCAACTTACATTTCCTTTTTACCTTAGGAAATATTTGAAAATATGCTGTAACACCCAAGAATCATGTAAGAAATGAAGAAAATCTTTTGGTTGACCATGAACTGTGTTGGTGTGTGAACCATTTTATTGAGGATTGCAAGATTTTCCGACATACCCTAAAACCCCAAACTTGACTTTTACAAATGAAACTGTATTCTAGTGCTCTTATATTCTCATACAGACTGCGTTTGACATTCGATACTGATCATAAAAGGCAGTACTTACTGATCATATCTAGTATTTATGGCATGATTATGGGACCATTCAAATGCATTTACTTCGGCTTAAGCCCGTCACTTGTTTTACTTTCAAATGTTATTGCATTATGCCTTGTTTATATTTGTTAGTAAAACAAAGGAAAGGAATGGGTCTTAGGAAAGGTGGGAACTGGTTCATTACATTGTTATTAATGCAGACATGCTTGCTTTTGACCGAGGCTTTTCAGAAAAATTGGTGGATTTTTGCGGATTCTTAGTGAAGAGTGATTCCTGCGGTATGGGCACGCACACAGTATTTATTATAAATGTATATCAAGATTGTGCAAAAAAAAAGGAAAAAATGTTGCAACCTGATGCCACTTCTGCGATTGTGTACAAAGTCTATGGAGAGTCAAGAAAATTGTCTAAGTATTTCCTAACAAAATTGGAAATATTTCTCAGTCCCAGATTCATGTCTTATCATCATTTTTGCAATGAATGACCTTCATTAAGATGATATATGAAGAAAAAAGTGGCGTCAGGTTGCAACATTTTGTCCAAAGAATCTACAAGCGTTTGTAGGCAGGAAAAAATTAAATCTTTTGAAAGACCCAAAGGCCAGTTGCATTACATTGTACACTTTTACAGGGGTTGGTGCTGAATTCAACACTCTAAAAAAACAAAAACGTAATTTCCATTTTTTATAGAAGTTAAGAAATGAAATGTGGCCATTAAAAAATCCTGCAGTAACAATTTGTCTGCAAGTTGAATTTAATATCGAGAATTTGAAATAGTTCGTACAAAATAGGGGTTTTTGCCCCGAGTTCCGCTAGTCGTGTTATTGAATATCAAAGATGAATTCCTATTTTGTGATTTTTCTTTCAAAAGATATTTACAGTAGTCGTTGTATGTAGTTAGACTTGTATTAGAAATAGAATCTGTGTAAAGGACGCACCGTTGACGTTTCGGCTAAATCCGGCTACCGGATGTTTTTAAGCATAATTTAACACCTCTTGACACCAAGTGAAAAACGATAAAAGTACCACCATGTAACCAAAAATATTGTTCTTTTTGGTTGTGGTATCCGGTATCTTCATTTCTTCCCTGTTTTGTGGGTATCATCTTTACTGTCTTTAGAAATATTTTGGTTCACAAAACCAAATTTTTCACTCGGAGACCGTTTATTTAATTGGAGGCTAGTCATCAGAACGTTTGGACGTTAATGCATCCATGAAAATACTGATAAGTATTTTGCCTATCGCTTGCTTGTCTCTTTTGTTTGTTGGTCATTCACCTAAGAAGTTGTAAACAGATTTCCTACTCGATGCACAGAGCTAATCTTCTGCATGGTTCATTTCCTTGGTAATCAGAAACTATGGATTATGCAAAGTAGCGATTCGGATAATACTTGTACATGGAATGATTATAGTTATAACAAATGTAGCTATGTATAACAATTCTATTTCACCATTTAATAAAAACTTTTCACAACTACCGTATTTGTTGACTCGTGTGTTTATTGTAAGCAGGTTGGGCAGTATTTGATAATACTCATACCAAAAAATCATGAATAATATTATAGTATATGTAGATAATTATCAACATATACCCCACCGAAATTAAAAATTGTTGTAGCCCATTGGTGTTGGTAAACATTATTGTTTGTAAGAACATGTAAGGCATGATAGGAATCAACATGGCGCAGCAAGAACGTAGCCATGGAAACGAGGTTGGTGCTAAAACTATTAGCCACAGCATCTTCGCATGAGCCTCGGGTGTCGTCGGCGCGCGAGTACGTTCAAATTTGACTTGTGATGGTCTCCCAGACTAATCCCCGCCCCAATATCTTTGGATACATTCGAAGTCACCAGTGGATGGACCAGGAACCAGTCTAGGTCTAGTTTAACCCTTACCCTACTTGACCCTCCAATGCATGCCAATTGTGCCTCAAGAAAATCTCCTATGTTTTTTGCATGGCCCTCCAATATCTGCCATGTCATTTCAAGGGTAACTGGACAGGCACTCCAATACATGCCACAGAGAACAATGAGAGTCCTCTGATAACAAAGTGAGTGCCCCCAGCTGGTCAGTATCAGGCACCCTCCAGGGCCTCCAACTCCTGCCAATTGGAGCCTTCACTGTTAAGACTTGTTATCTGCCAAATAACTGCAGCTGGAGGGCATTGACATAACCAACTGACATGCAGTAAACTACCCTCAGAGAGTAAGGGTTAATGTGCCTTAGTCTTCAACATTATGAAGTTGGTGCAGAACTTGGAAGAAGAGGTCTCGCCCAACTCTCCTGTTCTGGCCGTTGAAGGGTTACTTGTGCACGGAGCCCATACACCAAGTAAGTCAGCAACAATCAAGTTATTCCACTTATTCCTTTCTCTGTGTAATCATATCGACTACCGTCTGTAGTTCACTCTCTGCCGAGGCCAACCGCTCAGCCAGGTCGTTCCTGGTCGGTGATTCCTCTGGATGCTGTTGCTGTATGATGAGCAAAACAAAGATCAGACAATGATTACACAATCTCAACAATATATGTATTTCTACACCGTCTTTCCCGAGTGTAAGTTTGCTGACTTGGTGCACAAGTACCCCCCTCAATGTTGACAAAGTTGAACACATATTGCCAACACGCGTCCATGTACCCTCGCTGAGGGTAATGGAAATGAATATACTGGTTTTGCCTTTCACCAACGTACTTTTATAAACACTGTATACTCAGTGTTGTCCCAAGTGGTTTGGTTCAAATCAGATATAGCAGATATAGCCAAAAATGGCTGTGCCCAAATTACCTTTGGACTTAACCCAAACCAACTTCATGGCCTTGACCATGTAACAAGGCTCTGTGAGTTTGATCCATGTTCCTACAATGGGCTGGGGGGGGATGTCTGAAAACAGGTACCCTCTGTACACTTAGCAGTGGAGCACAGGATTCATGATCGTGAGGTTGTGGGTTCGAGCCCTGCCGTGGCCATGCGTTTTGTGCCCTTGAGTAAGGTGCTTTACCTCAATTACTCCTCTCAACCCAGGTGTTAAATGCGTACCGGCATTATTCAATGCTGGGAAGGCAACAGTCTCGCTGTGGCAATCCTCCCACAGCAGCATATGAGTCTGGCCCAATCACTAATGAAAGAGAGATGGGCACTCCGTTCCCTGTTAACACAGACTCGGCCTCTTTACCTTTTTTTTTTTAACATACCTTCGTTTTACTGATGACTGATTTCAGCATTAGTTTGGCTGATGACAGTAGCTGGACAGCCTCTGTAGAGTTGGTCTTACTGCTGCTACACCTCTCGTAGGCTAGGCAACCAAAAAAAAAAATACAAATGACAGCATTTTTAAAAAGAATTTTGACTTCAAGGTGTATCTTTATTTTACATAACCAAAGGGGTGCAAAGCTGAGGGTGCCTTCTACCTCTCAGAGAATATGAAACCCAGGGTTTTATTTTCTATACCTTTTTTATTCTTTAAGATGTAACAATATGAACATTAAAATGTCATTTTCATGACAGGTTTTTTTTCTCCTGTTTTGACACCCCTATGCATTTTAATAGTACAGTCCAATGCTTTGTCAGGTCCTCGTCGACACGAGCACACGTCACCTACCTTGTGCCCAGGGTTTATTCCAGCTGTATTGTGCAAAACAGTGAGGACGAAAATGTCCAAAAGTCTTTGAAAACGATGAAAAGTTATGTACCCGGGTAACATGGGGTGATGCACTTCACAAAGTCCATCAGGTCATCATACGTGAACTTTTTAAGTACATCACGTTATCAGTTCTCAACCAATGATATCTCTAGGGCTGTGCATCGGAACCGGGTACCCAAGTACCCGGCTGCTGATGTCAGGAACCAGTTCCAGATTATGGGATCGAGTACCCATAACCAACTTTAAAACTAACTTAGTAACTTCTAAGACAATTGAACATTATCATGTTGCGACCATCCTGATTTTTTCCCATTCAAATCAACGTAACCAAGGCAAGGCTGGAAGGAAAAATAGTCTGGTTCCTTTTTGCAGAAAAACATTATCATTCAGTACTGTTATTGGATACAGGGAACATAACTGAAATGGTGGCAGCATGATAAAGGCCTATGAAAAAGAAAGGTTGTGAATGTCATTTGTGGGGAATTTTCAAAGTGAAAACAAAACATAATTCCCGTTATGACGCTCGCGAAAGTTGCAGTTTTCACTATAAAGCTATAGAGCTCACTGTACACACTTGGATCTTACTGAACTGACACACTGGTGTGGTTCCCGTACTACTCATAAATGCACACCCTAGAAATTTCACCATGTAATACCATGGTAAAATAATGCACAATGTGTTTACCTTGAGCTAGCTGTATCGACTGTTCTAGGATATCTTGACATGACTGAGGTTCACTACTCCAGTCACCTCTCTGTGTCTGTAGACGATGGGCCTTCTGTAGACACTGTAGTGCCTTTAAGGAGGAAAAAGAGTGGCTCAAATAAAACAAATTGTAACATAAATTGGCTGTCAGTAGATAGAGATTAGTTGAAAAACTGTATTGAGTTAAATTGTTAGCTCTCATGATCATATCGGGATATTTAGAATGTAAATAGTCTGAACCGTTCAATGAGATTCCAACATTTGCTGACGAGGTGAGTCCGTTGTGATGTAAACTGTGTAGATCACGTTTGCCGATAGCCCCCTGGAAAGTTTAGTTGGGCGCAACATAATCCAAACGCACTCTAGCTCATGGGGTACGGTGATTGACCTTAGGTAAACTGCCACTCCTCCACTGTGTCTTCGCTCCCGACATTTAGAAAATGTATTAAAGCCAGCAAAAGTAACACAGTCATCAGGTAAATTTGATGAATATAAGGACATCAATATGCAGTTGATACAAGTTCAATTCTGCTTCCTCCAATTGGGTTTAAAAAAATTAACTTCATCACGAGCATGAGATTGGAATGGAAGTCAAGTTTCAGTAGATACCTGTTTGGAACTGAACTTACCTTATCATTATTTTCTAAGTTGTCCGTCGTGGCGTTCCCGTGGAGTTTAGCATACAGTTTCCACACAAGGGCGTTAGTTGTCACTTGGGACGTCAGCCTCCCGAATAGCTCTACCAATTTTCCTTTGAGAAGACTAGCTGCAAACACACAAAGAGTGGAACGCATTGTAACTGTGGAAAATTCTGCTGCAAATGTTTTGTAACCCCAACTTTTCTACAAATGCAATCGATGTATGACCCAGTCTTTCATACTCTAAAATTTGAAAATTAATCGTAAATGATTCCACCTTGGTACAATTTTCTGTTAGCTGATCATGTTTTAGTACATTACCAGCATGTTAATATGGATACAATATTTAACACAAGTCACACACTGTACACTTCTGTCTGGGTAAATAACGTAGTATAAACATGCAACACTTGTCAAAATGACAAGCCTGCTCAGTGTAGCAAGATCCATCGGGACAAACAAAATAACTGCCTCAGAGTCTGTGGTCACCAACTGCAGCAGAATACAACTGTGGCATTGTTCAGTCGGACTAGCTCTCATTGTCGGCTCAGAATTGACCGTTTATGCACTGGTGTTGATGGCTCAGTGCAGCAAAGTCCCACAGACTTTTACACCTGATGTGCTGTATTGCGTCGGGCAAGGTTAGGGTTAAAGAGTGTTGAATGAGATATCAGAATGAAGATTGCCATACAAACCTTTGTTTCCATCAGCATCCACAATGTCTCCAGTAACTGCATTGACCAGGATTCCTAACACCTCCTCATCCAGGTACTTCTCCTTCAAATCCATCAGTCTGTGGAATGCTTTGATTGCCTCACTGAACTCGCCGATGTCGACACTCACCTGAAGGGGAATATACTCAATGTCATCTTTTCGTAAACTATGATATACTTCATAGATACTTAAAGATTAGAAACCTGTCAGGTTTTCGATAAACTGAATTTCTCTGAACCATTGTGGAATGGTGCTTGGATTTATAGGTGTATCATTGATGTCCCCTAACATGGCGTGTCGTGGCGCACTTTGATTTTTTGCCTTTAGTGCCTCATTAGAGCAAAAGTTTTACCTGAAATTTCACATTAAAGCCAGAGTCCATCATTTGCAGCTATCCAAAAAGTAACTGGCGTAATTATTGTTGAAAAACATTCTTGGTTGAAAGATAGTAAGGGAACAAAACTCCCTTTGAAATTATTCTTTCTGGCAAGCTGTCATTTTGAAGAAATCAACAAAAGAAGGCCTTTCCAACAGTGCCTCTTAAGAAGCACCGTTGGAAATTTCCGTTGGTAGTTCGTTTTTTTATTCAGCGAAGCACGCGCAAGCATTGACACAATGCACAGGCGTGCGCAGTTACTTCAATTCGTCGGATACCTGCGCAACATTGGGTAGCTGCAATCGGCTCAGTGAGAACGTGTCTCGGACGCTGAATTCAGGCCCAATTTAAAACATGATTCAGCAACTTTTGATTTGAAATCGAGATCCTAGAATGTTGTTTATCTCCAAAAAGAGCTAAAGATGAGCTGAAACTTAATTAGGTTAGTTGTTCAGCACCCTTCTTTAGAGTTTGAGCACTTTTGTTGCTTCAAACGAACAAAATGCACAAATTACAAATGATGGACTATACCTTTAAGTAAAATTTCATAAAGTTTTAAACATTACCATTAAAAAATTTGAGCTTACCAACCCATTACAAAGTTAAGAGAGAAACTATAAATTATGTTGTTTCTACCAACACTTTCTCTTCAAACCATGTACATGTTAGCAGAAAAAAATTAGGCCCATGAATTCGCAAAAGGAAAGAGTGGAAGGAAACAGATAATCAAATTAATATGGCTGGTTTGAAACAAATCTAAACTCCATGATGTTTGAGTGATATCTTACCAACATGTAATTCTCCCAAATCTGCCAGTTTTCATAGAGACACCTGATGGCTTCTTGGAGAGTCTTAAACGCTCTTGGTCTGCAGGAAAACAATACAACAGTAAACACGGCAATTCCATGAGTCATGAGAAAGTGGATATGGATGAAATATGGAAAATGTATTAAATTGTCAAAACTGCAAGTGTCACAACGTCAAATATGGTATCAAATTAAAGGGGACAACAAGAACTTTCATTTTTGTGACGGAGAAGTTAAATGGAAGGTTTAATAAGAAAACCGTACTCAACGTGCAGAAAGGACTTGTACCAAATACCATGTATATATACTAACACTCACTTTTGTTTGAGTTCAATGTAGGCAGATGATAAGTTATTCCATGCCTTACCGTTCTGGAAAAAAAAAGCAAACAACAAAACAAAACATGAAAAGGTTATTGTGCAGTGCTTCGTCAAAAGCAAGAAACAATGAGATGGAATAAGTCTTATAGGGCTCGTTCAAAGGCGGCCATCTCTCTAGGTGAACTGCAACTGCATATTTTACGCAATCAAGTACACATTGCGCAGTGTTGAAAATGTTCCAAACACGTGCGCTTGGTGCTCGAAATGTGTTCGATATGACGCAGCCGATGCGCATTATGCATGCAAGTTGAGGCTCAAAATGCCGATGCACGTGGATGGTCTGTAGGAAATGACGTCATTTGAACGAGCCCTATTGTGGTGTGATGCTGATAGCTGTGTTCCTTGTGTTCAATTTGTCATACAATTTACTTTTCAATGTTCTGTAATATCCACTGTGCTTTTAGTTGATAAATCTTGCTTTTATAATCCCCTTGCCAGCGGTGGATTGAGGTTTTGGGGGGAGGTTTTGAGGGAGGTAGTGAATTTAATACATAGAGACCAAAGACTTCAACCAATAAGCAAATATTAAAAATACTTTACAAAGTGATTTCAAGAAGTTTAGGAAATTTGTGATTTTGCCGCAGTAATTTTTTTTAAAATCTAGCCTTGGTCAGATGGAAGGGGATGGTAAGCCACTCCCCCCCCCCCCCCCCCCCCCCCTCTGTACATCTGGCCTTCCCTTGCAATACACGGCTTGTTTTCCGGGGAGTTTACCGGTGCAGGTTCACACCTCCCAAAAATATCTAAGCAATAAATTGAATTTTGTTAATGACAGAAAAAAACAAAGAGTAGGTATCACACAAGGGCGTACTTACATCACTCTCCAAGCTGACGCATCTCCTGTATGCTCTTGCAGCCGTTTCATAATCTTGGGCCTTAGTGGCTGAATAGCCAAGCCAGAACCAGGCATGGTACTGAAATGAAGAATAAACTAGAGATTTGGCATTTGTTTTGAGACAAACACAGGGTGGTGGGGATCAGCCACCACCTAATAATGACAAGTTGAATGTATCCTCCCTAAATTTTCCCCAACTGCAGTTTCCAAGGTTTGCAGCATTGTGACACTTGAAACAATTGTGATTTAAAATGCAATCAAATCCTGACAGGGACATGTGGCGCTTGTGTCCCTGGGCAAGACACTTTATTACAATTCTCCATCTCCACCCAGGAGTTCAAATGGTTACCTATGAGGGTAGAGCTCAGAGATCTTGGGTGCATTCCACTTACATGTACGTTTGCTGACGTTGGCAACATTCGCGTAAGTGTGACCGACTGTTTGCCACCAACTTTGCCGAGCGTTGGCAACAAAGGCAAACTGTCTTCCCGAGTCGTTAGCTATGTTTTCCAAAACAGCCGACACACACAATAAATGGATTGATCTCGTTGAGGCTGAAATTTTCCCCAAGGAAACTTTCGCATCCAGTCACAATAAATGTTTGCAAGGCATGACTCTTTGCCCGATTATAAAATTGCCTGAATATGATGATTACTTATTTAAATATTGACTAAATATAATAATTACTTTCCCTTGGGTGCCTCATGATGTCAAAATAAGGATTAAAAAAAGCTTTTGAAAACTTCTAAACTAACCTGGACTGGGTTTTTCTGAAGTGAGATCTCCAGACACTCGATGCTTTTTGCCCAGTTCTCTTCCTCTAAGTAGTACAGACCTAGAGATCGCATGGCCCTTGCATTCCGTTGGCCAGACACCTCCCAAGCCTTCTCGTAGTACTGCTTATCCTTCTTGAAATCTCCCAGGAGACACCAGAGAGTTGGGGTCTCTTTGATGGCCAGCTGGTCTCGGATTACCTTCATGGCCTGAATAAGGCAAATGAAATACAATGTATATAATTATCCGACCACAAAACATAGAAGCCACTACTGAGGTAGAACCGAGTCTTGACTCGCTTGGGTCGAGACTGAGTCTGAGTTTCGAGTCACTTGGGTCGAGTCCAAGTCTGAGTCTCGTGTCATTTGGTTGGAGTCAAGTCACAAGTCATGATATGGACACAAATACATGTAAGCGGTATAAAGTGATACGCTATCATGGAGTATAGACATTGGGCACATACTTAATATATAACAAACATTTATCATTTGCAAGACCACCTGGAGAGTGGTGCGTTATTACATTTCATATGCTTAACGTTCTTTAGTATTGCTGTAATGTTACTTTGGAAAATAAATATCGGAAAAATTTCTTTAAAAGGTCAATCATCTGGTATGTAATCTTATTTCATTTTGGCAAAGTCTTCCTTGACCCAAAAGATCAAGGCCTATACAATCTGTATCATTCAATTACCTTTTCTGGTTTTTCTAGGCGTCGGTAGCAGTTAATGACGTCCTCCCACAGTTCTAGCCTGGCATAGACCTCCAAGGCAGCCGTTATAACACCAAGACTCATTAACAGGCTAGCCAGCTCACTCTGTACAGAAAAATAAATAGTTACTAGGGAAATCTATGGACTCTGTGCATAAGTATCCCCTCAGTAATTACAAATGGAGAGTTGGGGGAGACCACTGAGAGGGACATTGGAACGCATTGCTGACGACGCCTGACGCTCAGATGAAGATGCTGCAGGATTGTGAACATGCAAAATATATGACTTATGCGTTCTTTGCGCAGTACGCGTCTCCCAAGGCTATCTGCTGTTCGTGCACGGAGTCCATAACACTTTATCTACAGACTCTCTCTTGATTGGCTGAGAGCATGTCACATGGTACTGGCTATTTCTAATTAGTTTACCATGCACGGCCAACATAGCAACTAGAGGTCTGTGTACGTGTTCATCTTTTCAAACCGTGGACGAAAAATACCAGAGAACAAAAGAGAACAATATCGTCCGCGATTCCCAGCATACGTCTGCTATTGGGGTCGTGTTCAAAACCTATGGGAGTCTTCCTAAAAAGTTACAGTTCAAACAAAAGAGGGACAATAGGACGTCCACGATCGACGGTGAACACTCGTTTGTGTGTGCGCGTGCGTACCGGTAAACTTTCAACTGATTTTACTGCAGTGAATTTTTAACTGATTTCAAATTGAAATAGAAGTACATTTGTGTTGGAGTTTGGCTTTAATATTGAGACATCATAACAAAATAAGCAGAATCTGTTGGTGAGGCATTAAAACAACTGAAAACAATGCTGCATGGATCACCTTAAAACGCTATGACACAAATCGGAGCAGTCAATATTTGTATACTATAACATACATGAACATCGCAGATAAATATGATTTGAAACTTTGCAGCATGGAATGAAAAGTAGAATGACGTTTGCCGATAAATAACAACATGCAAACTTAATCTATTTGTTGAAAAAAAGGTTGGTTCTCAACAGAACTAAGGGCAAGAGTGCTTTATCAACATTTTAGTCAGTGCACTCTTGTCCTAACAGACTAATCAGAAATACTCTTTAGTAAACATTAAAAAAAACACTGTCGCGACATGTTTATTTCAAAACAAACAGTTGTAATTCTAGCAGGGACAAGCTTACAATCGAAAGTTACCTGGTAAGTCTGGTGCTGACTTAAATCCCAGAGGATATGAGAACTAGACAGCGACAAACTTGTTCTTAAACGAGTAAAGTGAAGACAGATATGTCCTACCTCCATTGTCCATTTGGGTGGAAGGCACACAGCGTGTAGCAATTCAAACCTGTCAATCACTGGGCATTCTGTCTCCCGAAACTGGTCCACCAGTAACTGCAAAAGCATGAAGATCCAACATAGACACAAGGCTAGTATCTTGATTCATAGTATGCCTTTCTTTTCTAAATCCTTCCAAGAGCAATAACTTACAGTCCTTAACAGGTGCTAACTGGTTTAAGTGGAGTAAGGTCATTCCATTTAATATGGGGTCCATCTTTCTTTTCGTGTTTGTTACATCATTACATCCATTGATCTCCATTAGTAAGACTGGATAGGACACAGCGCCCTCCATCGTGTGCTCATACGCATAGTCATCGGTGAGGGTTTGAAAGTTTGAAATGCGTTTGTCATACTGCGGCACACGCACGTCACGCATGCGCGGTCGCAAACATTAAACCCGCACTGTACTACCCAGCTGTTTGTGTCCGCGTTTTCCGAATCTTCACTGCACACGAGTATATGCGTGTCCTATCCAATCTTACTAATGGAGATCAATGGTTACATCTGATGTAAAATTTTGTAAATTCAGGACACATTCTTTAAAGCCTTCTATCTCCGAGATAAAGCAAAGTACCCACCAAATGTATACAAAAATAGTTTGACGTCAATTTTACTGACACTTGCGTGGCAAATTACACAGGTCAGGCGTAACAGGGACACAAACAAACGTCACACTTTTGGACCCCACATTTATGGATGACCCAGTATCTTTCCAAGGCATGTAAGCTTAAAAATGTGATATGAGGCAATACTGTTCAGGTCAGAGAATAACCAGTTTCTTAGGATGTGACATTTCAAAAATGTTTCAAATACTTTCATTGATTTCATCAATTCTTGCTGAACCTTTATGCTCGCTTTTGTGGGATGGGGATGACACACAAGTAGACCTGAAGTGCATTTATTGTCACTGAATATAAACAATGAGAATACGACAAAGATGGCTGCCACAAAATGTTGTTTTCACTCATTCTACCAGGCAAGGTCTTTTCCACAGATAACCGCTATTTTCTTTGACATCACCTACTCACCGGGTCAGGCCCACTTCCTCGACAACAGTTCATGCGCATTCCTTAAACCACAAATTACTCACAAGTCAAAACCATAGTTGTGCTTATTTTTCACTTCCCAGAGGAGATTCAAGCCAATTACAAAACTTGGGTTTACAACCGTCATATGGTGAAACACTATGTTAACATTTGTCACGCAGTATGTGTGAACTGGTAACCATGGTTTCACTGAGTTGACCGCTGCATGATGTCACGACCTCGGCACTGTATTGGACAGTGGGGACAAATGGAAGGGTGCACTATCAGTGTTTGTTGGCCGCAACACGACTTTCATCTCACCTGCATTTGCATCATGGCTCTTTCCACTGTCCTCCCTCGGTCTTTCTCCAACTGACATCTTGTCATCAGCGCTAGTGTTTGAACACACCATACCTTAGGATGTGTCAGTGCAGCCTGTTCGAAAAAAATGGGGGAAAAATGTATTCCGTGTTCCATGAGAATCTGCGGGATAATGGAATTTCTCTATAATTTACAACAATGCATTTAGATAGAGAGAACACAATTAAACAAATTCTCAATATTTTAATTCTGCATGTTCAACAGTTTCATTGCTTCAACAATGCACGCAGAGCTCTAAATTTTGATTTGTTGAATAATGCAATATACGAGATGGGACACAAGTTTGTTTCATCTAACATAAATTACAATCTTCATCAGATGTGTGCAAGGCAGAATTTTCAAACAGTAATACTGATCTGATACACCGTGCCCTCTGGAGACGTGCACACAATAGGGAACAAAAGAACTCCACAGGGCAATTTCTATAGATGAATACGTCTCCACAAGGTTTTCACGAAATATGGATTTTCCTCAAAAACTAGGAATTTCCAAGGTGGGTTGATCTGTCGCAAATGGAAGAGTTTTAGAAAAGGGAAATTAAGTCCGAATTTCAGCCACGGAAATTAATTCTGGTTAAAATAAGAGCATTTTGAAACTTTCAAACTCGAAAACTTTACTACACGAGAACAAAGAAATGTCTCCACAAGGATACAAATTTCAGTATGTGTGTACATTACTGTGTACGGTAAACGCAACGCAAGCTGAGAGAACGCACTATATACAATGCAATATGGATGATAACAACATATCACGCTCTCCCTCCACTGCATTGACCAATCAGTATTGACAATTTGCTTGGAGATAATACACTTTGAACTTGTGATGAATGCCTGTAACACAAAATGACCCTGGTGTCGTATGTATTACCAATCAATGTATTCAGCCAATTCGTGTGATGGAATCAGATTAGAAATATGGGTGGCATGCATACTTGGACAATAATCTATATTTTAGATAATCAGAAACTTACCACGATGTACGCCTTCAGTTCCTCCCACAGGAGTTCCTCTTTTGGTCTACTTCTCTTGTGTTCAATGCTGCCATAGAGAGCAATAATAGAGAGCAATAATTCAAACAAAGTTGCCTTAAGTTTTGTCCACCTAAGAAATTTGGTCATGTTGTTGGGCGTGATCGTTGGATTTCCGCTATCACTCGATCACGCAGAAATGCAGTTCCGCGATCAGTAGATCCTGCAGGAAACCTCAGACTTTATTTCCCTTTTTTCAAAACAATCCTCCAGAGCGGTGAATTAGAAAGAAAAGCTGATTGACTGATGGTGGCGCGATTAACTGATAGCGTAGCACGATCGATTGTTCGCGCAGATCCACCGATCGCAAATACTTGAGAATATCCACCGATCGCGCCCAACAATTTAACAACAAGTACACTTTGGTGCAACTAAACAAACAAATTTTCAGACATAAACAAATTTCAAAGAATAATTACGCCACGATAAAGATACTGACCAAAGGGTACAGATGCATAATCAAAACTTTTTGCACTTTCAAATTTGGGTTCTGTTGAAGCTGAGGCAATTTTTGTGAAGAGTGTACTTGGTAGAACATGTTGTTTTGCCCAAAAATATTAAAATTGGTTTAAAAATTTGAAAAAACATCATCAAACCAAAAGAAGCCCAGCTTGGAATCAGTCACAAAGTGATCAATGTTATATCTCATTTTGTGAAATGAAAATATCTGTTATTGGCTCTGGTGGTTGTGCTTGTGTTCTTGGGCAAGACAATTTGCAACGTTTTCCCTCTCCTCACGTGATGTACATGGTTCATCACAGCCAGAGAGTGAGAAAGCCACAGCCACTGGACATGCTTTTTAGGCAGAGGGTGTAATTACATTTGGGCATTGGACATTTTCCAACCATTTACCGGATTTACCTTACACAAATACAGAAAACTCGGGTCAAATTCAGCAATGCACTACAAGCAGTCTTGTGGTACTCGTACTTATCAAGTGCAACTCAAGTACTTTTTTGAGAATACTCGTAAATACTCGAAAATATCAAAATACTCAAAGTTGAATTCATGGAACTCGTACTCGAGAAGCAAAGTACTTGGACTTGACTTTTCAAACATGTGCTTGAAATGTCTCAGTAGTAATTAAGGGCCAATCCAGAATGGATTGTGTTTGGCTCTCATATCACATCCCATACAAGGTGATGCTACCTACCACAGGGCAAGTATCAATGCTTGCTCGGCACTGGACAACCTTGGGATTTGGTCCTCTTCTAAATCTTTGAATTTGATGGCATCAAGAATCGTATCATCATTTAGGTCAAGATCCTGTTCAGGAAAAGTAAATTTCATTTCAAGTCCACAAAAATTGTAGTGATGCAACTGTTCATTCAACAACAACAAATTATTGGCAAAGATACCTGCTATTACTTTTGATATTGAGCATGAAAAATAAATGTCTGGCAAAAAAAAAAAAACAGCCATTGTGTTAGGAGACTCTCTATGTTGGAAGTGTTTAAAATTTCTGGGATGAATAACACTAAGATTGTGAGGATAGCAATGTGATGGAGCAGATATAAATAGGTGGTTTAAAACTGGTAAGGGGCCTGGTCACCAATAATGGCCCTCGCTCCTACTCTGGGCATAATCAGCTACCAGGTCCGAAACAGGTTTTTAAACATTACAATTATAAATGCTGTCTCACACAATTATTCCAAACTAATAAATACCTTTTTGATCAACAACCATATTTTGATCAAAAACCATAAAAAGTAAACATTTCCAATGATTTTGTTCTACCATTTTACTCCACATTTGGGCCACTTCTATGGTGCACACCGCACAGAGTGTGCTCAATACATCTCCTTATATGGAGATTATATCGATGGTTTCTCAGGTACTTGGTTGAAGCCAGAGCACACGGCGCGTGCTGCCTGCATATCGGGCGGAGCGCTGGGTATCGCAACCGGTTTTAGACATTGCCATCTGAACACTGTGTGATGTTTAAATGGCGGTTTAAAACCACTCACATCATGGGCTCTCGACCAATAGGAATAGGTAAACCGTCCCAGGCATTTATGATTGGTGGATAGTTATGAATGATTAATATAAGACTATTTGAGTGTCTGGTACCTTTGGCATACCCTTCACTGAATGGCTTTCTTCTCTTGACACATTTGTGGATGAATCTTCAGCCTCTGTCTTATGCTGCACTCTGAGGAAGAGTTGTGCTTTGTCTGTCTGTTGGAAGCGGGTTCTCTTCCCCAAGGCACCTAAATCATTCAACATTTGAAGAAAACTATTAAACAATTGTTGACTGCTGTGATGTGGGATATGGTGTTTTTAACAACCGAGGGGCGCTTCGCCTTGTTTGCTATGTGCACAGAGGGGGTTAAAAATATTGTGCCAAAGGGCTCCGTGCGCCAACAAAAGAGGGCAAGTTTTTACCACTGTTGAGAGCCCTGTGGACAGGACACACAGCGTGTGCGTACCGTACTGTACTGGTTTGTGCGCAAATTACACCACTTCCTGAATGTAGCCACAGTGTCTCGTCTTCGCGTGAGCGTCAGGAGTCATTGGCGCGAATACGAACTTAACTTGCGATGGTCTCCCAGACTAATCCCTGCCCCCAATAACTTTGGATCATTCGAAATACGCAGTGGGTGGACCGGGAAATGGTTGTAACTTGCTTGACAAGAAATGAAATAAATCACTTCAGTGAACATGGTGAAACCTTTTGATGACTGCAAGCTTTCCTGCCTGACCTATGTAATTTGTATGCAACGCAGTGTATATGATGTAATTTAATGCAACATGGTGTATATGAGATTATTTTTATGCAACATATTGCATATGAAGTAAACAGCTATTTTTACGGACTTGACACGCGACCGTTCTGAACCAAGTGTGATTTTTACATGTAAAAAACAACAAAATAAAATAATACAGAAAAATCCAAATATTCCTTGATTACGATTGAACCAAATAAATGGTATCCTCTCCGAGTAATCCCCGCCTGCTATTTCCCAGGTCTGTATCGTGACTTTGGGCGTGATCCCTGGCTGTATGGCATACTGGTTTATGGCTTCTGACTAGCGCCCATTGAACAAAGATCTTGACTAATTGGGGAACTTTTCAAATAAAGAGTGATTAGAAAAAGCCTTGTGACATATTCCTCAATTTGACAGATTGTTAAACATGGGCAGTACCTGCTAGACTGGCCTCTAGTCCTGCAGTCTCCTTGGCAATACGGAGGTGTTCCCTGGCCGCTGTGTACTCATAGTAATACTGACAGATGTGGCAACATTCCAGGTGGAAGATAAGGGGAAGGTCATTGCACTTTACCCTTGACATTAGAACTTCATTGTTGCTTACTGTTTCAAAGAGAATGAAGCATTTCAATAAAACAGATGTGATTATTATCACAGTTGTGATCATCTTTAAGTCTTAAAGCCATATAGGATAAATGTGCATTTCCAAGAACAACACTACCCAGACTCCAAAGAAGAATGTTCAAAACCTAACCTGTTGAAGTTTCAGCTCAGTGGATGTTACACTTTTTGAGAAAACAGTGAAAAAACTTGCACAACCTTTAGATCAGGAAACACGATTTCATCTATGGAACTTTTTACTTCCAACAATCAGTCAATTGACTGATCGTTAGAAATCACGTACATTTCTTGATTTCTTCTAAATGACAGCAAGCCGGACGGAATAATTTCACGGGGCGTTTAGTACCAGTACGATCTTTAATCCAAGTAAACTTTTTGATAATAATTTGGTAGGTAACTTTTGGGATAAATGCAAATGATCCTTTATGCTTTTAAATATACAGTGTTTACAGTTTACCTTTTATATATATCTTATTACAAAGTAATTTACTAAACATAAATCTCTGAAATATTATACCATATTGATCTTCAGTGAACTTACCACACATATTATTGACTTAATTGGTGGTTAAAAAATTATTAGGTGATTACTATTTACGTAATATTCATATCACACTCATTAATATTCATATCATACTTGATTCCATTAATTTGTGAACCTCCTTGTGAATATGCGGAGATCTCTCATCCAGTACTTGTTGCTGTATCCATAGACACCTCAAATTCCACCAATCAGCCGTCTGCGATAATGTATTCAAAAATGTACAAAGACCCATTGTGAGTACTCACTTCGTTTATGCAAATAAGTCAACACACATATCATTGAATAGTCAACAAAACTGGATTGGCCAAATACTGTTAGACAGAACTTCCTTGTGTAATAATTTAATGACAATGCAATGCAATGTATACCGACGGGCCAATAGGTGCATCTGATCACCCTCGTGGTGGCCCCCAGTCATGGCGGAGAGCAATAAATGGGATATATTTTAAGGTTAAAGAGACATTACGTCCTGGAATGCACCCAATTGGGATACAAAAAGCGTTTTAACAAAGTGATGCTAATTGAAAAGAGCATCTAAAAGTGGGATATATATACGTCCACACAACCATCCTTTGAAAACTGGGAGTTTTTGTGCTATTCTTGTGAGAACAAATTTCGGGGGTCAAAATTTTGACTCCCAAAAATCAAGGCTGTTGGGTGTTAGTTTTGAATCCTGCCGCACACGTCGAGCGCATCGCATTTCTGCGGAAGTGCGAGAAACGACATTTGTGTATTGGTGCTGTGTGTATTATGTGCCACACACAACATGTACTGTACATTGAATGGACACAGCTGGTTCGAAATCCGCCTTGTCAAAAGTAAACAACCAGGATTGTTAATCTTTTGTCAGGAACAGTGCAACATTACATTAGTTTTTTTTTTAACCAGACCTTTGAAATAGGATAAGTAACAATCCAAAACATACACTTTTCGGAGATTTCAGGCCATACAATGCCCCTTTAACATCATAGACCTGTTGCTTTGGGGCTGGCACAATACTTTCACCGTTACAAGGGGCATCTGCAAGTGTGCAATGTTTTAAACTTCAACTTACCAGACAAGTGGGGAGATAAGCTTTGCATTTACCCAGGATGCAATGTGCCATCAGCAGAAACTCTGGATGAGTGACCAACCGATAGACGGACGTATCATCGGGACTCAGGGTCGACAAGGTAAGTTCGTGAAATTCTTTAAACTGTGCAAAAAAATGAGTATCGTAAGATTAGCACAAATTGACTAATAAGTATCAAGTCATTAACAAGACAGGTCTAGCAAAGCGGTTCCCAGAGCACACAGAATTCTATTCCATTGATTCAGAATGCCCAAAACGTTCGCAAATTACCCTAACTCCCTAGGCATTTTGTTCGGACGCAACCTCAATCCTACAAAATCCTCAAACTGCCTATATGTAAAAATATCAAACAGCATCAATCCTGCAAATCCGCCGTTATTTCTTGAATTATTCCTCGGAGGGGTGACCACTGCCTCAATCCTGCAAAATCCTCCAGCAATCACTGTAATATGTTGAGGCAGAGCCAGTGACATCCTGGCGCAGTGCGGAGGATTTCAAGTATAATCTAGGCCTAAATTTATGCACGGCTGAGCATAAACAACACAAGGTCCGGCCGAGGACCTTGACACAGTGCATCTTCTAAAATCAGCCACACATTTTTTGCCATAGCCTCAATCCTTTAAAATGCTCCATTTTGCAAAGAGGATTTTGGAGAATTTGGGAAGGTTAGGGTTAATAGCCAAGCCTCATAATCAGCTTCTGCACCTATGTAAGTCACAATTGTCAGACAGTCGGTGAGATAGATAACCAGTCTAATACACAAGTGACAATCAGTCAGTCAGTAAGGCGCCCTCTCTGGACCAGCCAAAAAAATCCAGAAGAAATGAGAACATTCACAAATTGAAACCAACATGCAACACAAATACCAACATTTGTCTCTTGGCAGAGACTCCTGGGTAAGACCTCTGCAGGGGTGACTTGGCACGGAGGCCCTGTCCAGTTGCTCTGGATGAACAGCTGTAAGCAGGCGACACCAACCAACATCACGCACAACTCACTGCGTAAAGAAAGAGACGTGAACAAAACAATCCAGGAAGACTTTAACACATTAACACCTGTACTACATAGTGTTACATTGTATGTATTCACTGAAACCATAGAGAGCTCGGGCAGTATCGGGAGTAATAGGTAGGGCAGTTTGGGGCGGTACATGAACTAATGCGTTAAATACAAACATGTTCATTCAATGAAGTGACTTTTTTATATTCAAAAGATGACACCTATTTTCATGAGGAGTCCACTAGTAAATGTTCTGTACTAGAGATATAAAGCCTGCTATGAAGTAGTAGAAGAGGATCTGAAAGACCTGTTTTCTTCAACATGAAGAAGCCTTATATTTGATCTACCGGTATTTGATTACACGTATGTATAATACTAACAGGGAAAATGTAGCCAAAAACAGCAAAAAATTTATTTCAAATGCCTATTTAATTTTATCTGTTCAAAATTAATGAGCTGTTTTATGGAAAAAGTTAAAAGGCCAGACATTTTAATCTAAGAAGTGATCTTTCTCCAAGAAAAACACCAATATTTAAGGAAGTTTCTGTTAGGATCAGGTCCTCCAGTCCTAATGTACCTTGATCAAACCGTTCTGTAACCAGTTTGCAGCAGCTTCTTATTTCTTTAGTCAAAGAAACTAGACAATGAGAATTGAATCTTTGTAGTTTAAAATAAATCACCTTGAGTTGTCTTCTTTTGGATCATTTTTCTGCAGGCATAACTCGATCCGTTTCTGGATGAACTCTGTGAAATCTGAGGAATCACCAAGATCTTCCTCCTCGGAACCCAATATTGCCATAGCAACACCTCCCAAAAGCATCTGCTCAAAGTCTCCCTTGAAGAGAGCATTAGCGCAGCTGTGAAGATTTCCATCATGGGAGCCTTCAATGGATAAAAGTAACAGCACATAAAACTGATATTCTTTGTTAAATAAAGAACTTAAAACAGCACTTACATGTACTACATGTATAACATTAACATATAAAATCCAGAAAATTTAGAGTTTATACACAACCTCTCAAGACAGAGTCCTCAACTACAATATTAGTGATATACAAAACAAAGAACAGCTACATTAACAATGGAATTAATAAGTAATTAGTAGTAAATCTGCCGGCATGTACATCTTACCAATGATTTCATTGACACAAGATTCTGTTAAATCTTGATTGTGACCAGCTTCCAGAAGAAGGATCTCCAAGTCTTGATGCTGTGACGACATTTCCAATCTCAATCACAACCACGAGTTCCATCCAATTGAATGTCGAAAAGCTTTGCTTGAACTTATTGAAGCTTTCTGTCTCGTTAGAACATCCCAGTTCTTCGCTCTGTACTCAACTTCAAAAGAAACAAACCACGATTTAGAAAATAAATTAATAAATGATACAATATCCCTTCAGTGTTATTGATCAATGTGCCCTAATGGTTACACATCTATGTTCCGACCGCATATATTCCTATCTCTAACCCCAACCCTAACCGTTGACGGAACATCGGGGTGTCGGAACATAGGGGTGTTGGAAGATAGAGCAGTCACCCCCTAACTTGGCGCAGCCCCCAGCCCCATAAATTTTCCTCAATTACTGGACTTCCACAGTATTTGTGTGTGAAAAAGTTGTGTTGAGGAAATCAAAATCGGGACTGCTTTTCACTAGATTTTTTATTACAGAAAATACTGGCCTGGTTAATTACCATGAAAAATTCAATTCCGTACCTCGTTTTATGGCTATTTATCCTGTTTATTCCGACGAAATTAGCTTAGAGTTTGTCGAGAAAAAAGACAGCAGTATTTTTCTCGAAGTCATGGGGCGGAATTAAGAATGTAGTATCCAGACGCCAAAACAAAATTGGAAATGTTCCTCAGTCCCAGATTAACGTCGTTTCAACATTTGTGCAATGACTGACATTTATGAGATGATATATGAAGAAAAAAGTGGCGTCAAGTTGCAACATTCTTTCCTATGGGTCATGCACCTTTTACTTTTTAATTTTTTTCTGATTATTTACCAGGTACATTAAGTAACATCCATAGCGACCATCAATTGAAGAAAAGAAAAAAGTCTAGATTTCCAATTCTGGAAATACAACTTTTCAAGATAGCATGTATTACTATTGGTGTGCGGCTCACAATATGGAGGAAGTTCAGTATTTGAGACACATTTATGGTGCTACTTCGCGGCCCCTAACATAGCGCACTTTAACTTTTCGCGGCTCTAGTGGCTTTGCTAGAGGAAAAGTTTTACCGCAAACTTCAGAGTGTTATTTCACCAAACTCTACACATTCAAATTCATAAAACATTGAGTTTAGCAACCCGTTACAAAGTTAAGAAAAATTAAGTAACAATTTCGCGTGCCTCTCCGATAATGAAGTGTGTAGACTGTAGTGAATCCTTCAGTTTCAAAAATGCACCCTAAAATAAGAAAATAATTTTCTGACACTGAGTGACAAACATAAAGTTTGACATATGAGTGGAGATAAACCTGTATCGGTAATCCTTACTTTTAGGACCCCTTTCCTATATAAGGCTAAAAGACTCGCCAAAACAGCTGACTAAATGGCACTCAAAAGTGACATTCTGATATTTATTGACACATTTGAACATTTGGCAATGACACCTCTTGAATATCAGCAGGTTTGATTTTGTACAAAGAGGGCAGGGTTTTGATTTATGAGGGGTTAAAGACGACGATGACAAACAGAAAATAAATTTAAAAAGCAAGATGGTGAACTGCCAAAAAAGGTAGGAAAGTCACATTTTCTTTGAAAGTGCATTCAAAATTATAACTAACATGAGTTTGTCTGAAGAAAAAAGACTTCTTTAGCCTGCAAAAGTCACTTTGGTACTGGACAGTCATCTGCAAAAGTCAGTTTTGAACAGAACTCGTACAAAATAGAGGTGTCCTAAAAGTAAGGATTACCACTGTATCTTAGAATTTCTCAACCTTAAAGAAATTCAATGTTTACTATTTTTACTATCGGACGGTCTGTAGTGTTTGTGCCCAATTTCCGGACGCAGCCGTTTTTAAATGTCAATTGTCATGACACTAAATTAAATGTTTTCACAAGGGTTCAGCAGCACGCATGTTTAATTTAATAGAACTAGTGTTTAACTTAATTAATTTGAAGCTTTTATCAGCAAAGAAGTTTGACAATACCACATGAGGAAAGTAAGGAAAAACGTCGCAATGCACCACACAGGAACTCCAATTTTCACGTGCTCAAGGGCGCTGACATCTTGGATATGCTAATAAGGTCAAAGTTTAAAGGTGATTACGTTTCCAAGTGGACCGAGTTAGCGTTGAAATATTCTTATCAGTACGCGAAATCCTGCAAATAAATAAGTACGTTGAAATTTAAATTCAAAAACTTGATTTTATTGCGTAGAAAGACACTGTATTTCTCCCAGATTTTCGATTTTATTTAGGTGAATGCAGAATTGGTTATAATAATGAATTACATGACGTACTACTTTTATTATGTTGCTAAGAAGAGTAGGGATACATAATTTGTGCGATATGTTGTCAGGCATCGCGATTTTTAGCTGATTTGTACACAGTTCAATGCTGTTCTTTCAAGAGAAAAAAACAGTGTTTAATCAAATTTAACGAATTTCTACAGACAAGTTTAATTGGATCACAGATTAACCATGGAAGATATTGATGAAGGCCCATCAATTGTGGTTGAGACGGGATCAGTGGACCTGCAAGGCGGGGGAGACGATGACACACAATCCGCCGTACCAAGCGAAGCCCTGGCCGCCGTCGAAGAGCTGAAGGAAGAGTTGGACCAAATCACGGTGGAGCCACCAAAAGTTGATTTGTAAGGAAAACGCTAGGTATCTAGATGTTGTCAGCTTGGTTCTGCTGTTAAAAATAAATCCACACTTTTCCTGGTATTTTTTTCTTTATGTTATAATGATTTACAATTACAGACTGTAGCTGCTTTGTAAATTATTACTCATCAGTTCAACTCTTGACAAGAATGTATCAAACTCTAAAACCTCAAACACACACAAAAAGTTGAGACAAGTAGCTAAATAACAAAAAATCCAGATTTAAAATTTACAGTTGTCAGTGGTGTTATTGAAAAAAATATTGTGTTTTTGGCCTCCTTTTTCGCCTTAAAAATGTTGTATTAAAATTATATTCTGTTATAACTTATTTTTAATAAAAGGAAAGGAAAAAATGGAGATGTTTAAGCCCAAAAATAGTGTCTTTTTAGAAGCATGTGGTAATAATAGTCACAGCCTTATCATGAAGTTATTGGTAAATTAATCATAAGGTTTATAGTGTTTAGGGTTCTTTTTCCATTTTTAATTTAACAAAATTGAATGTTTCATAACCTGCAGGATACCCATCATCCAAGTCGATGAGAATCTGCCGTCGTCATACAAAGAGAACAACAACAAAGAAAAACTGGTCCTGCAATATGCCGAAAACTTCCGGCGCCAGTATGTCCACCTGTATCGCGACAGAAAACCGCTGCTGCTGTGTCCGCTCAATGAGTGTGGGGTGGAAAAGTTTGTGTGCACTACGATTCGACCGACACTACTGCGATACAACGAGCTGTATGACTACGACGGATGTGCAGAGTTTGTTTCAGATTACGTCACGTTTGATCCGTTGGTACCTCCTATTGAACTGGTAAGATAGGGGTAAAACTAGTCCGAAAATTTGGGACTCTCAATTACTGTGTATGAGAGTCCAAAAACTTGAGCTAGTGAAAACATGCAACACAAGAAGATAGACAGGCACATGAAACAACCAGTCCAACACCGCTTCAGTACTGCATCAATCAACTGTGTCAAAAGAAACATCTGGTACCTAGTCTTTATTTCTACACACTCTCCATAATCGTGCAAACCAGACTACTGACTGGTCAATCTTTTCAAAAAGTTGGACATGTACTAGTCTAGTCTTAGGCTTCAAATTGAAATCACTCGGCTTCACTCTCAGGTGCAAGATGTTGAAGAAAAGTCTCCTTTAAAAATTTAATTGAGACCTCAAACTTGGCTATTGGAATACTGAGGACCTTGTCTTTGCCTCATGAAAGATTTTGGAGAATTTTGTCAGCTAAAGAGTGAGTGAATTTGGCCAGAATTTGTTTTGCATGTTTTTCTGCACTCAGGGTTTCAGTGTGGGATAAAACATAAATTACCTATGGTTTTTTTAGATATAACTTGCATCCTTGTTTTCATTCTTTTTGATGAACACCAATATCTTTATATTCACTGAAATAGTCTCAAAAAGTTTCTTGAATTCCTTTGATCCCTTCTTTGATTAAAAAACTCACATATTCTGCGTAAAGACATGTTTTCGAGAATGATCTAAACACATTCGACCAATCTTCATGCTTTAAATCTCATTCCTTTCCTTTCAAATCTAAGTGAACCACATTATTATTGAACAGTCAGTTTCAATTTTGAAATAGCTTACCAAATAAAATGGTAACTTTACAATGGAAAAAGTTATATTTGTGCTTCATGCTTCTGTTATATTTTCCTCCTATCACATGCCTTTTTTATCCATTCTGGATGCATATGAATAGGTCACTGTGCTATCAACTTATTTTTGTTTGAAGGTAACTTTTTTCTGGGATGGTTGAAATTTTGTTCTGTCCATGCAGCCCAAGACAATGGTGTCTCCTACCAAAGTTCTGAAGACACAACGAGGGAACTGCTTTGAGATCAGCACTCTCTTGTGCTCTCTGCTGCTAGGGACCGGCTACGATGCTTATGTGGTGTGTGGATATGCCACCAGAGAAACTACACTCTGTGATGAAGCAAGAGAGATATGTCCACTGCTTAAGATGAAAAATGAGGTATGCTGATGCTATGATGGCCCAACTATAGCTCCGTCCCAACTATAGTTGGTACAGTCCCAAGTATGGTATGGACTGTCCAAACTATAGTTGGGACGGTCCTGACTGTAGTTGGGTCAATTTCTGTAGTTGGGGCATAACAATGCCAGTAAAACCAATGCTATTGTACAGCAAAAAGGCCATCATGAACACCGCTATACTGAATATTCTGCTGAAATTTAATCACAACTACATCAAGCACTTGTTGCTGAGAAAAAATACTAATAATGAATGTCACCTACTTCAATTCAATTCATCTCAACATTTAGTTCCATAATGTACATTCAGATAATTATACAGAAGGTCAATATAAGAAAGATGTTTGATGAAATACAAGAAGAATAAGTATGTAAGACACAAATGAAAGAGAGGTAATTATGGAGGCATATTCAAACGGTTTATATTAAAATGCCTATAAATGTGCATTAATAGTAGATGGCACTTTGCCACTATTCGTAAGAGCCCCATAAGGAAAGGACTCACTGCCCGCACTGGTTTGAATAAAATTACAACTTTAGTATTTGAACTGATGGGTATTCTCACATGTTCAATTTACAGTCAGTCGGTAGTGTATTTCTTCTTCTTTTTTTTTAACAAAAGTTGATTTGATTTTTTTTCTGTCAGACCACGTAAGAAAAAAACAGTCTCTCGTTCTGCCTGCCTCTTTTTCAATTTTTTTTTTATTCGTACATTTGCAATGTATTTTGCAAATTGTATCAATATATTTGTCTTTTTATTTGTTACAATTCGCAAGATGGAATTTTGCGTCGGGGTGATGTAAATCAAATTAGGTTTTGCCCTTCACCGATGTATATACACTGTATACTCAGTGTGTTACCTCCGAGGGAAAATTGGAAAAATCACTCGGGTGGGACTCGAACCCACGGCCTGCTTTCTAGTGCAGATGTCTTACCACTCGACCACCGAGCTAACGTGATCGGTTGGATGGTTCGAATCTGATGTACATAGCAGCGGGTACTGCATTAACTATTCATAAGATGGAATTTTGCGTCGGGGTGATGTAAATCAAATTAGGTTTTGCCCTTCACCGACGTATAAACACTGTATACTCAGTTTGTTACCTCCCGAGTGAAAGTTGGAAAAATCACTCGGGTGGGACTCGAACCCACGACCTCCTGCTTTCTATCTATGTAGAAAGGGTGACGGCTCCTTTGGACACAAATTTGTATCAGCAAAAGAGTTGAGAAAATGGAAGAACCCATCCGCCATGTTGGAGAATTCAACATCTTGGGGGAAAAGGGGGGGGGGGGGCTGCCTCCTTCATTTTTAAAAAAGCTCGGACAAGAAACTAACCTTTTGTTTTACTCAGCCTTACCTTTATCATCAACAGATCAAGAAGGAAGAGCAGAAGAAAGAAGTGAAGAAATACTCAGTCAAGCCGCCCAAGGACCTGCGTAGTAAGTTCATCTTGAAGCAGGAGGCGAGGGAGGTGGAAGCCCAGCGTAAAGAGGAGGAGAAGAGACGCAAAGAAGAAGAGCTTCGGCAGGAGGTGGGTGTGGTCTGGAAAAAAAAAAGTAGGCGGGGATTGCACTGTCATTGCACAGGCAGAAGGGGAAATTACACAGTGTTTACAAAAAATCAGAACTTTTCCTTTTCATTTGTGAAAGTTCCCAAATATTTTCCCAAACAAGGATGGGTTATTCTTTGAGCAACTTGCACATGTGTTCTCCACCCCCAAGGGCTGTTTCAAATTACACACATGCAGGAAGTAGATTCAGCTGCTTGGTACATAATTTTCTCGCCAAAGCCAAGTAAATCTGAATTTGCCTAGCTTTCCGGTCTGTTTCTAGTAGGAATTACGGGAACTATTCTGAATTAAGGTGGCATGGGTGGCTAGTGCGTTAAGCGCTCACCTCTAACCACTGTGGCCCTGGCTTGTTCCTGGCCGCGGATCACATGTGAGTAGAGTTGTGCGTTGGTTCTCTCCTGTGCCACAAGGGTTTTTCTCCGGGCCCTCCGGTTTTCCTCCTGCTGCAAAAATCAAACACTTTCGATCTCTGGCTGTGCTCCGTGGTCATATATGGGTCGTATGGCTGGCTGCCAAAGGCGCCATTACATGCCTGCAGCTCGACCACGTTGTAGCCGCGTCCTTCGCAATTCAGTTTCTCAGCTGCGAGTAAGGATGATCAGCCTCCCAATTGATTATCATTGTTATAATTACTGGGTCTTGAGGCATAAATTACTTGAATAATAAGGTTCATGTCTATGATCCTGTAGCATTTTAGGTAAGAAGAGAAACAGCAACGGGGGAATTTTGCTGTCCAAATTTTAAAAACTGTCAAACAAATTTCTGTGTGGTCTAGGAACTGGAGAAGCCCCCACAGGACGAACTGTTTGGCCTGCGCGTCCACAGCTGGGTCCTGGTCCTTGCAGGCAAGCGGGAGGTCCCAGAGAACTTCTTCATCGAGCCACTGACAGGCAACGCTTTCCCTACCGGCAACGACTCCTTCCTGGGTATCGAGTCGCTGTGGAATAACAACAACTACTGGGTCAACATGCAGGATTGCTCCAATGGCTGCAAGGTCTGTCACAAAAACAATAAGACATTTTCGAATAAACCAGAAAGTTATTCATACAATAATGTGGTGTTTATACAGCACTTTACGCAAACAATCTCAAAGTGCTGCATATTTATTAACCCTGTTCATCAGGCTATGGGACCTCTTTTATGCAGCAGCGTGAGATGAACGCAATCTGGGCCCAATTTCACGGCGCTGCTAAACACAAAAATTTGCTTAGCACAAAAAAAATCTAGCTTATCATCAAGGTTACCAGTGAGGGTAGAGACCAGGTGCCAATTTCAGGGCGCTGCTAAGCACAACAATTTGCTTAGTACAAAAAAAGTCTGGCTTATAAAAGCAGGTTACCAGCCAAAACTCTGTGTGATTTTCATGCTAAGCAAACAACAGCTGAATACTACTCGCGAGCAATATACATCACGTGGAGTTTTGGCTTTTAACCTGCTTTTATAAGCCAGACTTTTTTTGTGCTAAGCAAATTTTTTGTGCTTAGCAGTGCCCTGAAATTGGCCCCTGGTCTCTACCCTCACTGGTACCCAGTTATATTCCAGACTGGAGAGATGCAATTGTAGTAAAGTGTCTTGCCCAAGAACACAAGTACCATGTTTCCCCATCAGGCTTCAAACCCACGTGTCATGGCACATGGGTCAAACACCGTAACCATTGGTCCTTTCCTTCATACTTTTATGTATTGTAAGGCTCCCAGGGAAAACAGTTCTAAAATAAAATAATAAATTAAAATGAAACAGGTTCCGCAAAATAGTTCAGGGAGGTGGGCTTAACATGTTAGTCAGAGGGTATGAATTTGATCTGGTTTTGACAAGAGGGTACTTGGTACCGGATAGAAATCCTTCCTGAAATCTCCTCCAGGGAGATTAACAAGAAGGCCAAGGGTCTGCCCTGTGAAGTTTTTTTTTCATCAAAATAGGATGTAGAATTTTCAGCACAATTTTCAAAATCACACTTCCAATTTAATATAACATTTTATATTGGTTGCTAAAATGCCCAGTTAAAGGGAATGTACATCATTGGCTTTTGCTGTAATTTTCAGAAATGAGCTATTTGAGGGATTAGTATAATAGACCAAATATTGTTACGCTGACATGTTTGAAGTTTTGTGTTCGAAAATGCTGGAAAAACAAAGAAAAACAAAAATGTTCAAGTAGTCTGGTTCCTTGACTCCACTAAAAATAAAATGGATCAATTTATAGATGTCAGAAAATTGTAAGGTAAGGGAACCAGTCTGGCTGGCCTGCACCCGTTCATGAACATGTAACCAATAGCAAACAAAATTTGGACTGAAAAAAAGTGTAAAGTTGGAAGCAGTAGTTGAAAAATAGTTAGGTTTTTCCAACGGTGGTCGGCCGACCACCGTTGGAAATGTATACAAAAATACCATTTTCTTGAAAATGACTTCACAACAGGTGCCATAATTTTACAGGATGCTTTAAACTGTCATTTACCAACATCCTAGTAAGGTATTTCGTAAAAACTTGGTAGTTTTATTTTTCGATGTTTGCAAATGTTGTATATTCCCTTTAAGTTTACTTTTGTTATCACAGTTAAAGTCAAAGCACAATTTTTTCTGAGAGATGTAATTAAAAAAACAAAAAAAGTAAAAGAAAATATGTGCGGGTGGTCACAATACTATGCAAGAAATACATTTTTAAAATCCCTTGACATGCAGAGATTTTAATGTGGACATATTTGTACCACGGTCATTTTATGAGAATCTGGTCAGAGAATAAGTTTAGGGTTACTGTTATTCGTTGTTACTCATTATCCCACTAATATACTCATGTGTGTCTTTAGGATCTCATCTTTGATCTGGGAGATTGCACTAGATGGGAGTACATGTTTCCAAACAATGAGAAACCAGTCTTGGAGATCCCGGAGCTTGAAATGGATGGCTTAGATCTGGAAGATGATGAGGTAAGATAGCATTGGGAGAGGTCTGGGCCCAATCTTGCTAACGACAGAGCTCCACGCTTACGATCAACACTTTGTGTTAACAGCGCTAGCAGAGAAATTCTGTGCTAACCCTGTTAGCACAGAATCCTTAGTTACGGGACGTACGCATGCACATAAGCCAACATTTTCTGTTACAGTAAGCAGGGATTTTTTCCCTAACGGAAAGCAGAACCGTGACATTGGGCCCTCGTTGGTTGGTTGATTAGGGAGAGGGTATAGTTGGATCTGAAAAAAGAGAATACAGCACCATGTATAGGAGAATAGACAGGCACCATGTATAGGATCCACGACGTGTGTAACGTCCTATTTTTGGCATTTATGTTGTGTCCTGGCTGGGCCCATCGAATCAACGGCAATAAATGGGTACTTCGAAAGAACAGAAAGCATTTCAGTTTGCAACGTATTGAAAATATTGTGAATTGATGACTATAAAATTAAAAATGTTGACCTTAACTTCCATTCAACCGATCACATAGATTACAATTGGGTAAATTCAAACACGACGTATGTGACTAGACTAGTCAGTGTTTGGTACCAAGACGTTCACATAAAAAATGAACGTGGACTGGCGAGACTTGCATGCTCTTTTCTTGAAGTTTAATCAAACTAGAGGTTAAGTCTGTCATATTTTTTTCACAGGAAAATTTTGCAATGTCACAAAATTTAACTGTATTTATAAGTGACATAGGTGACCAGAAAATTTTTTTTTTATTTTCTTGGGAGGATATTTGACAGAGAGAACTTAGACACAAAAAATGATCAGACAAAACCAATACCATCTTACCATTTTCTTAGGACGATGAAAAAGAAGAAGAGAAGAACCTGGACATGCCGACCTCCTGGGTGGATGCACTGGAGCTGTCCCTGACTGACTTCCAGTCTCGTTGCCCCCAGGGGAAGAAGACGCTGCTGTACAAGCGTGCCAAGCTGGAGAAGTTTGCCCACTACTTGCTGAGGGACGGGATGGTCACCCGACTGTCCATCTATCACGACCGAGAACGTGAGTTTGCCCAGTGCCTTAAATTTTTATTTTATGAATACAAAGACAATCTTTTTGACTACGAAAATCACTATATCGGTGGGTTATCGTAGCCGATACGACCAAAACCGATATGTACAATCAGTATATGAACGTTTCAATTTGCTCTGCGCAAATAATGCAAATGCGTTGCACGTACGTATGCGCTGCAGATGAGTTTCGCCGTCATACTCGTAGAAAACGCGCTAACATTGTTCGTGTATGTTGTACTCCGCGTTGTATTTAGAGTACATTAGTCGAAATTCGTTCCATCTAATTTCAATGTGTTCTACAAACACGCACATGAATTCAAAATGCCTGCGCTCCGAATGGCTTCAAAGTATCTCCGCGGTGGAATGAGGAGTTTTAATTTAGCTTTATGGTCAGGTCACATTTGTATGTTGTGTTTTGTTTGATTTTTCTTCCTTGGCCGTTGAGACAGTGAAGGATCTGATCCAAGTCAAGGAATGGTTCTCCCATCGCAAAGACATGCTGGACCTGAGAGTCCACAATCACAGGACGGGGATTGTGACTGAGTACTACAAGGAAGGGAGACAGAGACACCTCAAAGGTAAATATTACAGGTTATGAATATTCATAAGAAGGGGCATGGCTATGCTACAAGGAAGGGAGACAGAGACACCTTAAAGGTAAAGATTACAAGGCACGAATATTCATAACAAGGGGCGTGGCTATGCCACAAGGAAGGGAGACAGAGACACCTTAAAGGTAAAGATTACAAGGCACGAATATTCATAACAAGGGGCATTGTTATGCTACAAGGAAGGGAGACAAAGACACCTTAAAGGTTAAGTTACAAGCAATGAATATTCATAATAAGGGGCTTGGCTATGCTTGCTTAAAATATGTATTCCGGCGCTATTTTTGAGTTTTATCCCCAAAAATAGATTCTTTTTCTCTAAATTGCTATTTTTTTTTTAAATACAGAAGTTTTCACTTTTGAATGAGACATCGACTAAAACAATTGGCCAATGTTGGCTATTGAACTGTTGCTTTACAATTTTGAATGATGGCTACTAGACAATAATTTTGTTCTCACATGGTAGGCTGGTTCCCGCCATACAATCAGTATCTATAATGTATGGACCAGGAGCCAGTCTGCTCGCAAAGCGGATGTGTTGTGCCCAAAACAAAAACCTTTTTTCAGAGGAAAGGAAAAAAGAAGTTCCAGATTGCCGTTCCAGTGTTCTACCAACTGAGCTATCCACCATATGTTGGCGGTTCCCCATTTTGTCAATGTCTTTGTTCAAGGGGCGCTAGTCAGAACCCATAAACCTGTTTATGCCATGTAGCTAAGGATGCTAGCAACATAAACAGTGCTTAAAACCTGGGAAACAGCTAATGGGGATCACCCGGAGAGGATACGGCATTTTATTACCAATTTTCAAATAAATCAAAAGAGGAATTGTCAAGTATTCAAGTAATTAACTACAAATGGAAACCTGTCGATTCTTTGTCAAACTTTTTAAAAAAATATGATAATGCACCTAGTCAGTTTCCCTTTGTGGTTTAATAGCAAAAATAAACTGTTCGTTTTGTTGCAGAGCACCTATACAAGGCAGGCAGCCCCGCAGCCGAGACTGACCGTACCATGATCTTCTTCCATCACGCCCGCGTGGACGGCCTGGTCAAACGAGAAGAGACTCCACTGGAGATGACAGAGCATTTCCTGGAGAGAGATGACTTCCTGTTCTACAGACACGTGCAGTATGGGAAGCGGCAACGAAGGCTGGAGCCAGCCAGCACCCTGCCCAGCTCCAACCCACGGCCCATACTGGTCAGTAGTGGATTCAGTTAGCCAGGGCATGTGTGGTCTAGCGATAGAGCACAGGATTCATGATCGTTAGGTTGTGGGTTCGAACCCTGCCATGGCCATGCGTGTTGTGCCCTTGAGTAAGGCGCTTTACCTCAGTTAGTCCTCTCAACCCAGGTGTTAAATGGGTACCGGCATTATTCAATGCTGGGAAGGTAACAGACTTGCTGTGGAGGAGGTGTGGTGATCCCCCCACAGCAGCATATGAGTCTGGCTCAATGGCTTTGAAAGAGAGATGGGCACTCCGTTCCGGTGAACACAGGTTCGTCCCCTTTACTTCCTTTTTTCAGTTAGCCTGAAGCTAACATGTTGTATTTGAGTCCATCGCAAGTTCTCACCATCCTCGCTAGCCTGGGCAATTGTACACCATAAGACCCATTGCCGAACTTTCCCCTGTTGAAAATAAAACAATTTTGTTGCACTTAAACTTTCAAGGGTCAATAACATTTCTTTGAAATAATGGTGGCTCATTTTTACCATACTCAATCCTACAAAATCTTCCAAAACCTCGCATTAAATCGTAACATTCACTTTCAACCTAGAAAATTGTGGACCGTTTCCATCGCAACCCGGCCAAGCCGGCCAGTGAGGACGTCGCCGAGTTGGTCTTCCTGATCTCTGAGGATCGCATCCAACTAACGTTCCATCACCAAGACGATAAGATCACCGCCTCCACGCGGGATTTCCTCAAACCAGCCAATGCCAGCGACAAGGGCGCTATACTGATGTACTCGGCTGATATGACTTCCACTTTCCAGGTAAAACTGTTGGGGAAAAATCCCTTCTTGATAAAAAAATTACAAGAAATGTTCTAAATGTATTCAGATGATGAATTTCAAATGGAGGGAAAGGAAATATGAAACAACAATATCAGAAAAAGATGGAAAATTACAGAAAAGTGAAAGTACAGATGAACATGAAATGTTCAGTTCAGGTTCAGTTATCAAAAAACTTACTTGGATTAAAGGTCCCACTGGTACTAAACACCTGGTGAACTTTCCATCTGGCTTGCTGTCATTTTAAATCACGAAATGTAGGTGATTTAGTCAGTAGAATGACTGTTGGAAGTAAAGAGTTCTATAGATGAACTCGTGTTGTGTGATCAAACGTTTGTACATGGTTGTTCACGGTTTTCTCACAAAGTGTAATATCCACTGAGCTGAAATTTCAACAGGTTAGGTTTTGAGCTTTCTTCTTGGATTTTGAGTAGTGTTATTCTTGGAAACAAACAAAATGCACGAAAAGCAAATGCTGGTTTATGCATACCCTTAAAGATATAGTCCATCATTTGTAATTTGTGCATTTTGTTCGTTTGAAGCTACAAAAGTGTTCAAAATCTAAAGAAGGGTACTGAACAACTAATCTGATGAAGTTTCAGCTCAGCTTCAGCTGTACATTCCGAGAAAAACAGCATTCTAGGATCTCAATTTCAAATCAAAAGTTACTGAATCATGTTTTGAATTGTTTTGAATTGCAGCTATACGCGACGTCGCGCACTGATCCGACGAATTATAGCAACCGCGCGCGCGTGTGCGTCGTGCCAATGATTGCACGTGCTTCGCTGAATAACAAAACGAACTACTAATTTAAATTTTCCTACGGTGCATCTTAAGACGCACTGTTGGAAATGCCTTCTTTCGTTGATTACTTCAAAATGACAGCTTCCCAGAAAGAATAATTTCACAGGGAGTTTAGTCCCCTTACTATCTTTCAACCAAGTTTGTTTTTCAACAATAATTACGCCAGTCACTTTTCGGATGGCTGCAAATGATGGACTATAGCTTTAACTAACTTAGTTTCCTAGATTGGTCATGGTTTAATTGACACTTTCTGATATTCCGACGTGACTTTGTAGGTGGATCCCCATCAGAAGTCAGCCAAGGATCTGTACATCTACAACCTTCTGGTGTCTCTGGTCGATCAGGAGGACAAAACAGTGGCAAGCGTACGCGAATCAGAAGAGGAGGTACATTCACTTATTTTGGCTGTGTAGTTTTTCTTGATTAAATATAATTATCAGTTTACTAGAACTTGAGGAGAGGCAAAACGTAGTGTAATCTCAAAGGTATCTTCTTCGCAAACCTGCCTGCCATAAAACCATTCTATGTATGATATCACTATTGTAACCCTTTCCCATGGTTATGGGGTTTGTTCCTATTTGTGATGTGGTATGTCAAAACCAGGCAGAATTGGACAGAGCTACGAATGGAGAAACAGCTGCAAAATGACATTGGGGGAAGGGGCTGATTTTTTTTAAGTTGTGATGTTGCTAAAATGAGATTTGAAGGTTTGCATGGTGGAACGATACCAAGACAAGATAAATAATGAAAGGTTTGCGGAAACACCATGTGCGAATAATTTCTCAACTAAGAGAATGGTTCTGGTAAGAACCAGAGGTATAAACTCTTAGTTGAGAAATTATTCGCACATGGTGTTTCCGCAAACCTTTCATTATTTAGTATCTCCACCATGCAAAGCCTCAAATCTTACTTAAGACAAGATAAGTTTGCGGTAGCACCATGTGAATAAATCTCTTTTGTGAGTATGTGTGGTTGGAAAGATACTAAGACAAGATAACTTTGCGGTAGCACCATGTGAAAAAATCTCTTTTGTGAGGATGTGTGGTTCTGAAAAGAACCGGAGGGACTCAACGTTTCGAACAGTATGCTCGAAAATGTTTGCTAATGATTAAAATGTTGCTAATGTTCTGTAAAAGTTTCAAACTGAAATTTAATGGACAATGTATTTTTTAAAACACTTTAAGAGAGGCATGTCATTTCACAAAATGACACTTTGTTCATGATTTTGTTCTGAAATGATGCCAAATTAGCGTGAGATTTCAGACAGTCCGATTCCAAAATTTGATAACTTTGGAACATCCATTTTCAAAAAAGAAAAGCAGTGTTTGAAAGAGAAAGGTCTATATTTTGCTGAAATTGCAGTAACTCAAACTTGACTACTTCGTGCCCAAAAGTGCATGCTTTTGACATACCACATCACATTTATGGAATAATACAACGTAATATAACATAACATAAAAAGTTAGGCGTGTGAGCTCTGCACAAGATATCAAAATGGAAAAATAACCCTTGCTGAGTAACAGATATGATTTCAAAAATTCAAATGAGCAGGCAAGGTGCTCAGTCTCAAAATTGCTGACATTGTTAATTACATTATATATAAGGCTAAGTTATATACTTCCTGCAAAAACATTCCTTGTTTCCCTAACAAAGTTTCTTCGCACTGAAATTCGCTTGAAATACGAACCGTCCTGACAGTTCAGAGTTGACTCCTGTGTACACAAATCCAATGAACATCACTTTTTATCCTCTCATCATTAAATCTTTACCTTCATGTTCAGGTCAGGGAAATTCTGAATGATAGAATGGCCGAGGAGTCGCGCTCGGACCTTGAGATTTCCGTCTACGACACAGAGCGGAACGAGAAGGCCAAACAGCACAGAGTGGAAAGAGTAAGTAGTATTTATGTGTTAGGGGAGTATAAAACTAAACAGTCACAATTTGGATTCAAAATCCGGTTATCCTCATTTTTTTAAACCACATAACAGTTCTCCGATTTCACCCGAAGTTTCCATTACAAAAAGTTACGAGTGAGGTGCCCCATGCAATCCACTGGGCCTTTACAAACAAACTCCAGAGCTGTGATGTTGAAAAGGCTATTTACGAACCAAGGAGACCACTAGCAAGTGAATGCAGTTACAGCCAGAGACCATGGAGCAAGTTGAGGGATGTTCCAGTTGCTTTCCGTATTAACTTGTGTGACAAAAAATGGAAGGCCTAATTTGTGTTTATGTTGGTTTTGAATATGCGGTTTTCAAAATCTAAACCCAATAGTAGAATTCAATCCACATTTTGAACAATCCCACCACTGCTCATGGGAAGTAGGTTTTTGCCCGATGTTGCAATACTCATATTTTTATCATTGGGGGTTGTAGCTTTTTTGGGTTTTTTTCAGTTTGAGTCTCAAATTCAAATTTATTTTCGCTTTACTGAATAATCTATACCTCCAGAACTTAGATACAATATAAGTTAGGTGTTATACACTAAGCTGTTAGTTTGAGGTCAGAGTCATGCTTTGAAACGCAAAGGCATGGCATATACAGGGGGGGGGGGGGTGGCTTCTGACCAGCGCCCCTTGAAAAAAGATATTGACAAAAATGGGGAGAGTTGGTTGGTAGAGCACTGGAGTGACAATTCAGAGGGTGCATTTTCAAATCCCGTTCCGGTGAATTTCTTTGTCCAACTTAAAAAAATTGCTTTGCATCTCTTGTTTTGCTCAGGAACTTCTTCAGATGGAGGAGAAGAAACGACGGGAGGAGATGGAGTTGGATTACCTAGCCCCCTTCTTGGCCCAGATCGGTGACCCAGAGAGACTCATGAGACAACAGGCCTTGAAGCTGAAGGAAGACTGTAGAGCTGATCTCAAGCAGAGGCTGATTGATGAGGCTAACCTCATCCAGGCACGCTTCGAGAAGGTGGGCATAATTGGGAGTCGTATTTCTTGTAGTCGCAAATTAAAGTCACATGAGATCATTTGCTTTTGTACATTTTTGCCTTTGAAGCAACAGCCTTGCGCAAAATCTTTAATTTGCATTCTCTGTACTATTTTCGACTTCCATCCTGAAAAATACTTCCTTTTAATTGCTATTTTTCTAGCAATACAAAAGTTACATGAAATACAAAACAAACTTGAAATAAAGTTGAAAATTTATTTAAAAGAAAAAAATTAATTTGTTGAAAGGCTAACGCAAGTAAAAAACTTTCCTGCAGGCAATCTATTTTGAATCCACCTTCAATGTTAGTTTTCCTCCAAAGTATAACCATTTCAGGTGGAATAAGGATACCGGTCTTATCTTCACTTTGAGCAAGGTTTCTTTCATGAATCTGTAGACTTTTTCGGGATAATTACAAAGATCCTACATTAGCACTTGTACTACATTGTATTACATTGTATTACATTGTATTTATTCCCTGATGAATCCATAAACTGTACAGTGCCGAGGCGAATTAGGGCAGTACAGAGAGTAAGAGGCAGTGCAGTTGAGGGCAGTACATGGACTAATGGGTTATCTGAAGTCATTCCTTTGTCATTTTTACCTGTTACCTGAATTTTGATTTGACTTGACAACAACTTAGCCATAATAGTAGCTGTTATTCTTTCAAATCAAATCACTTTTTAATGGCCCATTGTGACAGTTTTGCAACTGAAAAACAAACTCTACTGAATTTGTTTCAAAAAGATTAGCAACAAAAGTAATTGAACCAGATTCACTGTTTACTTCCAATTGAAAAAAAAACAGACAAATTTTATGTCGGAAAATTTAGCTGTCTTATTGTCTGTGAACTTTTAGTGACTTGTGGTTTTCTATATTCAAGAATAACATTCTCACTGGCCTACCAAAATGTGCTGTGATTTTGATGGCTTCCTTTCCTTCCAGGAAACGGCCGAGTTGCAGAAGAAACAGAACTGGTACCAGCAGAACCAGGTCAACATGCACAAGGACGATGAGGAGGAGTATCTGGCATTCTGCAGCGAAGCCATGTTCAGAATACATATACTGGAGATTAGACTCAACAGGTCAGGATTTGTACTAACACTATAGACTAATCTAAGGGAACAAATGCAGAAGCGATTATTGAGGCGGCACCAGACTCGCAGGTGGTATGCACACAATAAGTGCTCCTTTGACCAATAGGGTTTTCAAATTACAGAAGCGTCTCAAATTAAGAATTTGTTTGACAAAAGGCGAATGTGACGCCACGTCACTGATCAAGACATAATTCCAGGACAACCAGTGAGCCACACCCGCAAAAAGGGGCGGGGAGGGCTTGGGCATATGACATGTATGAGTACTTGATTAAGACACCCCCCTCCACCCCCAACCCCCACCCAAATGACCAACCCCTCTACGACTGAGTCCAAGTTTTTTGCACAATTAATTCAGACAGTTTAGATATTAAAACAAAATAAGCAACAGAGTGCTAACATTATTTTTCAAAGCAATTTGTTTCTGGTACATGTCAACAGTATTGAGATGGTTTAATTTTGTGTACATGCTTTATTCTGTTGTGACCAATCATTACAAATTGTTTAAATATGAAAATGAATTAAACTGCTGCAAACTGCTCACTGACTGGATTGACCTGAAATGTACAAATCAACAAAATTAAAAGTGGCCTGATATTTCAGCCTTAGCAATCAACGGCAAAAAGAAGGCCTTGCTAAGGTTGTAATTTCAGTCCATTTATTTTTCTTGATTCAATTTCTGAAGGGTGAGTTTACATGAATTTGGTAAAGTTTTAAGCAAGCAACAACAAGTCACAACTCAATGAAAAGTCATCCGGTTGTATGTCAAGTGAAAAGCTATTGCAGTGAGCTGTGGCATAGGTATTCCTTTGTCATTAATACCTATTAACTTGTGATTGAATTAATTCCTACAAGATTTTGATTTTTTTATTTCTGTTTGGCTGTTTCAGGCACAAGGAGAATGCGCCTCACAAATACATGGCACTGGAGCAGAGATTGCGGACTGACCCCAGACTGTCAGAACACTTCTAAGATGCATTCCTTGTCTTCCATAGCCGTTGACCCTGCAACCAGATGCTAAAACTCCATTGACCATTCCAGTTATTCGCACATTAAGTTATCATTTCACACAGCTCGCAGATCCTTCAAGTTTTTTTAATAGTACTATCTGGTATTTTCCACAATTGTTTTTCAAAGAAAAAAACAACCCAAGAGTTGGAAGAATTTCATCTGGAGGTTTTGAGTTTATTGAATTTCATCCAGTTTTCTACAGTATTGGTCAATTTGGGAAAAACAAAATCAGCTGAGGTTCGTTGCAAAGTATCTAGCTTTGTGTTTCTTATGGCCAATTACGCAAATGCAAATGCGAAACGAATAATCATTCAGGAAACATTCGCTGCGAAATTCGCCGGAGTTGAAATGTGTTCCACTTTGGTGAAAATGCAGTGCGCAAACTTTCACGTGACATCATAAATTCGCATTTATGAACTGGCCTATACTAGGGTGGTGAGCCAAGTTTTACAGGTGATATATCAAGATATCTAAATCCTAAATAGATACCTAACTGTTTGGCTGTAGTTCATGGTCTTCACTTAATCTACTTTGCATTCTTAGTCCGTATCCTACATCTAGAGGTGGCATGGGCCTCTCAGGCAGGTGACATTTGACAAACACAGTCATGATACATTAAAAAAGAAAGAATCCTTGATACACAAATTTTGTCTTCATATCCTGCATACTTTTTTCATAAGATAGAATTTGCATTGGGGTGATGTAAGTTCAATATTGTTCGTTGCCCTTCACTGACCTATTGTATTTAATCCTTATTTCAGCCCAGGAAATTAATTCTGGTAAAAATAGGAGCATTTTGAAACTACACTTTCAAACTCAAAAACTTTAGTGCACGAGAACAAAGAAATGACTCTCCACAAGGATACAAATTCCAGTATGTGTGGTTTGTATTGAAAAGTGCTTGGCTGTAGTATTCTGTGATCTTTGCAAAGAACCCCTCAAAACCTGTATGAGTATTCAGGAGGTATCTTCTAGACAGCAATAATATGACTACGCTTCCTTTAGTACACTCGAAAAATATTCCGTCCATTCTAAGTGAAGCAATTGTAAATACAATGTACATGAGTGCAGCATCAAGCTTTACTGTGCATGTTTATATATTTTACTAATGAATAATTTGTAAATATAGAATTCCGTCCATGTTGTAAAATGTTATCAGATGGCTCCGTCCATAACATATACATTTAATATTATATATATTGGTTTGATTAATTAAAGGATTTTTTTGCAACAATTTAAATTTCATGTGTCCAGTAAGACACAAAGAGCTTCAGTAGAACAGAGTTTGACTTTAATAAATTACCCATTGGTGGGCTATTTTTCACTATCTATCACAAAGTTCATTTTCTTGAAAATATCAAAGAAATAAAGAGAGGTTATACAAAGTTGATTCAATCTGTTGCTGTTTTATTTTTATTCAGACATGAAATAAATCTGACAGACAATCTCCCAAAAATATGAGCGCGGACATTCAAACTGATTAAAATAAGTAAAGTATGGAAATCATCATTGTTGCAGTTATTTTTTGTTTTTTACACCCCAACTATGGATAGGAATTTCTAACTATAATTAGGATTCTTCCAACTGTAGTTGGGGCCATCGCTATAGTTACAGCATAACATTTCTCATCAATGGTACTTTTGAACCGGCACAGAAAAAACTTTTTGATTGTAAAAATATCTGAACATGTCGGACTATCAATGGGTCATAGATCCATTGTATTGCAGATGTTCCCTGTAATTATAAAATCCTCACAACTTTTGATTATCAAGGCACATAAAAATTATCCTTACATCCTCGGCCATTTTAAAGAAATCTTCCTGAAAAGTTCTCTTAAAATGGAGGTGTCAAGCCCATGTGTTATAGTGAGGTACATACATGTAGGATAGGATAATTTGCTTTTTTGTGCATTTTTTTTTCGTTTGAAGCAACGAAAGTGCTCAAAATCTAAAGTAAGGTGAGTAGTGGCTACTACAGGGCGAGTCAAAAAAACAAACCCAAATGGCAGAACCAATTTTTTTCAAAATCTAGGATATAATAGCCCAGTCATTATAAAGCTTTCTTTTAGTACAAGAATCATTCAAATTACTCATGTACTTTTCAAGTTCTGTCCACGGATCACAAATAAAGGTTCTTTCAGCAAAACGAAAACAATTCTCATAGGGATGCATGCGAATTGTTTTCGTTTTGCTGAAAGAACACTTACTTTTTTGTGATCCGTGGACAGAACTTTAAAAACGATGTTTATGTTCAAAATTCCGTAACTTGAAAAGTACATGAGTGATTTGAATGATACTTGTACCAAAAGAAAACTCATTAATTGGGCTTTCATATCCTAGATTTTGAAAGAGCTACAAGCAAAACTTCATTCAAAAACATTCAAAAATTGGTCCTGCCTTTTGGGTTGTTGTTTTTTTTACTCACCCTGTATACATTTTAAGAAAATAGAGAAAATGTATGCACAATTTTTTGTGTCTCAGTGGAATCCATCGAAGTACTTCTCACAACCACACTTTCCTAAACTGCAAGTACACATTGTGCATTCATAAGTTATACTCTATATGCAAAGCCTCATATCATATTTATTATTTACACATTTATACATTTCACAACATTATTGGTCGTTGGCAATGGCTAAACACAAACATGCAGAGAGGAATGTTAAAGTAACCGTCATGCATCCATATTATCTCGGATAAATATATTGCATAGTTTTTAATATTTATACATATTTACGCTTTCCATTGGTTAAGCATGCAAATCTGTTTAAAAATACATAATACTCATATTAGCTTTCTATTTGAGTATTTTATTTGTCTCGAAATTGTCAGATAAGTCTTTCAAAAGGCAGAAACAGACAACGAGCATGTTCTTCAGACGTTGGAATACTAACTGACTTTTTGAAATAACCTGAGGTGTCCTGACTCCTAAAAGGACTCTGCTGTCTAAAGACATGATGCAGGAACTTGGCAACAATTACAATATTATATTCACTGAAAGACTTTGAAATCATCTCTTATTTTTTTTAGAAATGTCATACTTTTTTAACACAAATTTGTAAATCCAAGAGACAAACAGACTATTGAACTATTCATAAAAATCTCAGAAACTATACATTAGTATAAAAATACTCCATAAAAACTAAACTTTGTCTATAAACGGACTTACAGGGTGAAACATTAATGCACAAAAGGGGGCAAAATTAAAGCAAAACAAACAAAGGCAAAAAATGCAACCTTCAAAGGCTGCTTCCTACTCAGTGGGAAAGCGGACGCGAACGTGCATTTTTGATGTTACGGCAAGTTCGCGCGCTGTGAATTCGCAAAATTTGAACACGTTTCAACTCCTGTGAATTTTGCAGCGAATGTTTTGTGGCATCAATGATTTGTGACATATGAACTGGCCTTATGGCAGCTATTCTGATGCAGAAAGACTTGTTTTATCACAAATGGGTCATTCTATAAATTTGGGGTCCACTTTTTTTCTGTCTCTGTTACATCTGACATCTATGATTTTATAATTCTGATGCACTCCTTAATGCAGTCATCCTCCAAGAGTGATTATGAATAGCCAACTACCTACCTAAGAAATAAAAATTAGTTTGAAGATAATTTTAATGACATATTACAAAGTTCAGAAGTAACAGGGACACGAAAAAATGCTTCACTTTGGACCCTAAATTTATAAAATGACCCTTATGCAAAAACTTAAATACGAAATCTCGGTTTTACGTCCGAAGTTGGCTTCAGGCTCAAGCTTCATGATTATAATTCCCAGACATAACTATAGTCGTGTTTCCTAACGTGGCGCACTTCGAAGCTTACCCAACTTTCCTCGAGTAGTGTTGCCAAACCTCTTTGTTGACAAACCTCAAATTCATGCAGTAAAATACTGGTACTTTTACTATATTAATGCGTGCTATTTAACCTCTGTGAACAATTTCGGTTTCATAAAATTTAATCCGAAATTCAAAAATGGTGGCGTCCGGAAATTGGGCACAAATTCGAGGAGTGTTCCCTAACGTGGCGCACTTAAATAAATCTCGGAAAATTCCAAATTAACATTTAAGAATTTCTGTTAACTTGATAAATTCTGATAAATCATTATTATCTCTACTTACATACCCAGCCAGATGTTTGTCAGAAAATTATTTTCTTATTTTTTCGGGGCATTTTCAAAGGGTTCACTTTGCACTTGAAAATAAAATCGGAAAATCACGCCAAAATAAGTTTATCTTCTAACTTTGTAACGGGTAAATTCGCGATTTATGAACGGGAGTGTTTAGAACTTGATGAAATGTCACTTTCTGTGAAATTTCAGTTAAAACTTTTGCTCTAGGTAGGCGCTACAGGCGAAAAATCAAAGTGCGCCACATTGGGGGACGCGCCACGTTAGGGTACATCAACAATATAGAACAATATCAGTCCATCTTGTACTAAGAGTCACAAATTACTGGTACACAAGGCCAATGTTTGTGTATTGTTGTCAGGTATGAATATGGCAGGATGCCTATGAATCTTGCGCTGGAGAACAAAGCCAAATGAATCCTTGGTTTCGTAAACATTAATATAAAATACACATGTAATTTGCAGCCCCAACACAAAGCCACTGGCGTTTTTAGTTTCAATACAATATTGCACAAGAACAGATACTCTCAACCAAAAATGAAAGTTCCCCCTTCCAATACTTTTTTGTCTAACTCAAAAACTACTGGGCACCTCTTGCTCAAAATAACGACTGACCAGTACAGAAATTCCTTAGCAATCCAGTTGCACTTCTGTATACGTGCAAGCTGAGTGTGAACCACAACTTACATGTAAAGTGCAACTGTTTGTAGTATCATTTGTCATAAATTGCATAATTTCGTACACATTATCACCGTTTTGGGCCAAGTAAAGAGTATGGCTGGATTGCTAAGGAATTTCTGTGCTTATTAGTCGTTATTTGAGCGAGAGGTGCTCAGTAGTTTTTGAGTTAGACAAAAAGAATTGGAAGGGTAGACTTTCTTTTTTGGATTAGTGTATGAACCATAACACAAAATAACAAATACAGCCTTTTTTCCCCCAAATTCCATAACAATAACTGACCAAAGGTCTGTTAATCTCGGTGACTTCACCTCATGTTTGGTGCTATATAATATTCAGCAGACCTGCTAAAATGATTTTTTTTTCAACATTTGAAAGGCTCCACGGGTTTCCAAAGTGAAAGACTAGGTGTGTTTTTTAATCAATAATTTTACATTGTAATCCAGGAAATCCAGGAATGTAAAGGAAACTCAACAGTAAAATAAACACCCCCCCCCCGGCAAAATTCCTTCGTACAATCAAACAGCCATTTCACCGTAAACTGCATATCATTAAGCAAATGGTTGCTTTTGTCAAATCTATACTTCCAGAAACTTCTGGAATCTCCTTATCTCGTACCCTGACCAAGTTTCATAAAACTGAATGGTTTTTGAGTCTGGAGTGCTGAATGGTAACGCACAGCAACCAGTGAAAACTCCCATGCTAATGAAAAGATGTTTTTACAGGATTATTCGTAAGATGAATTTGCTATGGGCTGATGTAACATTTTTCATTGCTTTATATCACCCCGACGCAAATTCATCTGATGAATAGTTTACTTGCAGTACCTGCTGCTACATGTACACCAGTGACGAACCAGTCAACCGATCCCGTTAGCTTGGTGGTCGAGTGGTCAGACATCTGCACTAGAAAGCAGGAGGTCGTGGGTTCGAGTCCCACCCGAGTGATTTTTTCCAACTTTCACTCGGGAGGTAACACACTGAATAAACAGTATTTATACATCAGTGAAGGGCAAAATTGATTTTTACATGGTGACGTAGTCTTGCGCTGCCCTATTGCTCTTGATGGGTATTCAAAATTACAAAGCTGGGCAAACATGCACACCAAGAAGACACAGAACATTGTATTACTTTGTAGAAGTTTTATCGAGCGCTCCCTCATGTCATAAGTTTCTCCATAGCACTGGTCAGCTTCAGTATAGTCATGTAATCCAAGCCCAAGTCTTGGCGCAGGGCGTTGTGGAAGAACTCGGGCGCTCGCTGGGACTGTTTGTGCATCTGGACCAGGAGCTCACCGCTGCACTCGGCCAGCTTGTTGCCCACGCTGCCCAGCTGGTTCTTCTGCAACCATTCCTGGACTTTGGCCTTGTCCCAGCCGGCCACAGCTGACCAGGCAACTCTGGGAGGCGATGGTTGGACTTTGTTGGTGGGAGCAGGGGCTGGCGGTTTGCTCTGTGTTACCGGCGGTTTGCTCTGTGTTACCGACGCCTTGACAGGTTGAATCTCTGTTCTTGTGATGACCGCATCTGTCGAATTGAATGTACAGTTTTAAAGTTTGGAATAGACTGCATAATTAGCACTAATCTATGAACCTGTATTAAGTATAAAGATAAGGATAAGGAAAATGGTGGTTCAATCCCATTCAGAGACGCTCTTTCTTGTAGACTGACAATACCTGTAAATATGTGTATGGGTTTGGGTGTTTTTGTATTGGTTAATTTCAGTCTGTCAAGTTTGACAGGGTTTTATTTATTTATTCTTTTATTTATTTCTTATTTACCCTGGGGAAACCTTTCAGTGGTACACTGTTTTCCAGAGGTGCCCAGCAATTATACAGTACAATTCATTTAAAATTACAATTACAAAAAACACTAAAAAAAATTGATTGATCCTTGGGTGTGAAGGATTATTCGGACATTAGGAAATTGATTAATTCCCTTAGGGTGAGTGGGAATGCATTTTAGTCCTATTCAGGACTCATCAGCCACATTGATTCCGAAGAACCGGGGTAGTCCATAGTTTGGTGTGTGACCATTGGTTGTAGTGGGATAAACCAATTAAAAGTAGATGACAATAACAGTGATCATGTCACAATGTAGTTGGACACATGATTTCGTTGACTGGATTCTGTTTTTCCAGTAGCGAGACCAATATGTTGAGTGTTATATCATTTAGTGTAGAGTCAGAGATATCCGGATTGGGGATAATGTACCGGTTGTTTAGTTTGCCTCTAATGAGTTGTTTATTGATGTTATTGGCTCTTTGGTACGCATCCAGAGGAGTTTTGGGGAAGTTTTCTTTGAGAGTGGGGTTGCTTTGGGTAGTTGGCCAATGTTGGAGGATTGCTCCTTTGATTTCTCTGTGGTTCATGTGTGGGTTAGATATTCATTTGCAAGACGACTTCGTCATGAATATGAGTACGAGTACAAGTATGGGTAATTTTTTTCTTGCAAGTACGAGTACTAGTACTACAACGCTACTTAAAAGAATCCAAAAATCCAATAACTGAAGACAAAAGACAAAGCTAAGTTTTGACAAATTTCCCAACTTGTCTCACCTGCCCCGACTTTACCCCTATTCCCAATCTCCTGTATCAAGTACGGCAAGTTCTGCTCCAACTGGCTGTCTTCAAAGAACTTGAAGTACAGGAGGGTTCCGACTAGGGCACCTAGCCATCCGTCCGCACGGTAGTCCTCTTCAACCAGTAGGGGAATGATCGGGATGTTCTGTTTGTAGGCATATGTGGCCTCTGGGTAAGAATTAACAAAAAGAGATCCTTCAATAACTTTGGTTTTCATTGAAAATTAATGAATCTTACTATCTTTTTTAGTAATGAGTGGATGAAAATGAGTTGTCACTATATTCTTAGTACTCAAATAACACAAATCATCACAATTCATTAGATATCAGTCGTAAGTCATCACAAGTAATCACAATCACAAGTCAATCACAAGCAAACTATGAGCCATCACAAGTCCACGCTGATTAAAAGCCACCACTTGTCTTTACAAGTCAATCACAAGTAATCACAGGTCAATCATAAGTCATAACTAGTCAAAACAAGTAAAATCATGTTCTACAAAGTTGATTTCGTGGTATCACTAGTCAATCGAAAGTCAATCACAGGCCATCATAAGTCAATCACAAGCCATCATAAGTCAATCACAAGCTGCCACAAGTCAATCACTAACCATCGTAAGTCAATCACAAGCCATCATAAGTCAATCACAAGCCATCATAAGTCAATAACAAGCCATCATAAGTCAATCACAAGCCATCATAAGTCAATCACAAGCTGTCACAAGTCAATCACTAACCATCGTAAGTCAATCACAAGTCATTCCCGGTTCATCCACTGTTACTCATCATTGGAGTTTTTACAGACTGTATTAAAACTCTAAACCCAAACCTGCTAGCAATATGCCTGAGCAACAAGCCAGGGGATTTTGGGCCATTTGTGGCAGGGCAGTACCTTGAGGGATACGCCAAACAAAATTCAATGCTCAATTACTTGGTTTGTACCTGTTCGGGTGTTGTGACTGTCTTTATATTTCTGGGACAGGTTGACCAGGACGACAGCTGAATTCTCCACAGCTTCCGCCATTGCTCCAAGAATGTCGCCCTCTATCAAATCGCCAAAATATCACTTCATAAAAAATCATGCTAACATAACTTTATAATGAATAATAAACATACATTTCCTGAAAGGTCAGCCCTTGTGCGAGGAACTTTCCATTCTGTTGAATAAACTTTGCACTTCTGTTCTACTGTAAAACAGTATTTGTTGAGAATCATCTCCCAAAAGTTGTATGTGATAGTTAAAGGTAACATACAACATTTGCAAACATCAAAAACAAAAATGCCAAATTATTATGAAATACTTTACTGGACTGTAAGAGAATGATAGTCTCAAGCATCCTGCCAAATCATGGCACCTGGTGTGCTGTCATTTTCAAGAAAGTGGAAATTTTGTATCAATTTTCAACGATGGTTGCCGACCATCATTGGAAAAAATCTGACCTTTTTTCAAATACTACCCCCAATTTACCAAATTTGTTAGTCCACATTTTATTTGCAATTGGTTACACATCCCTGAACGGGTGCAAGCCAGCTAGTCTGGTTCCCTGACCTGACAATTGCCCGACGTGTATAAATTGCTAAATTTCGTCTAAAGTAGGGTCAAGGAACCAGACTACAAGAACAGCATTTTTTCTTGGTTTATCCCGCATCAATGAACACAAAACTTTAAATAGGTCTGTGTAACAATATTTATTATACAACACCTGAATAAATCCCCGTCATCTGATTGGTGAATTGTAGATCACGTGACATATTATTATTCGGTATAATGCACGGTGCGACCATGCGTTATACCCATGCGTTATACCGTTTCACTTTGCGCTTGTTCCATGACGCGGTATTTGCGTGCAAAATGCATGCTGGTGTGCGCGTTCAGCGTAGCGCGTATTGTTCCAAAGAGCCAGCGCTACAGCGTTGGGTTCAAACAATTTCGTGAAGGGGTAGTTCAACATCTGTAAAATCAAAATAAATTGTAGTTTATAATTTACCAATCAAATGACGAGAATTTATTCTGGTGTTGTATAAAACAAATAACGAATGTTTTACGTTCGTGCGATGGAAAGAATAATTTCGTTCGGTGACAGATTGAATGTTCTATTCCACTCGGCTTCGCCTCGTGGAATAGAACATTCAATCTGTCACCTCATGAAATTATTCTTACCATCGCACTCACAAACATTCGTTATTTGTATACTATCAAATACTAACCCCCAAATCCATCCATTTATGAAAATTACAGCAAAAGTAAATGCTGTATACCTTTAAAATTAACAAAAATCAAAACCAACCTACCAAAGATTCTAGGATCAAAACTGCAGGCCCTCCACTATTTTGCAGATTTGTGTATTCTAGGTAGGCAGTTTCGGGTAGCTATGTAGTTTGAGTCTTACCCATTTTATCCACGTCCATCCAGACTCGGTAGCCAGCATTAATCAGGTCATCTTTCAGCATGATCATGCGCTTCTGGACGTCCCATTGGTAGCTGATCATGATGTGCTTGTTGTCGGCCGCGTGCTCCGTGTGCAACACGTGTCCCGGCAGGTCAATCTTGCCCTCGTTGGTTTCCCACAATGCACCGGTGCAGGCCTCACGCAGGGTAGCATTTTCGCAGCTTCGCATCGAGGTCAAAACTTTGTATGAACGATGAATCAAAATGTCACATATCTGCAAGTAAGAAAATATAGTGCTCCCCTCCCAACTGAAAAAAATCCTGGCTACGCCACTGCTCATAACCCCCCACCCCTCTCTACTAAATCGGGTGACACATATTATATCCCTCACCTTCAATAAGAGGTTTATGTTGTTGGATGACCGGTCGATTGGATGGGATGAACGCCAGCTTCCAGACTAGCCCGGCTGCCAGCTCCTGTTCCTGATCAGAGAATGCCATGGACATCATCTTAGCTAAAGGGTCCAGGCCTCCCTTCTGAACGATGTTGACTTTGTTGTTGTCGTTCAGAGCCAGGTTGTTCAAGCCAATCATGAGCTCCTCGACCGAGAAACCAAATCTAGATGCAAAGATGTTCATTTACGCCCAAGATGAATTCTTTATGTTCTTTCAAACCCTTAAAAATTACAAAATTTAACAACTACCTCTTCATGTTCGAGTAAAGTGAGATGTTGCGGTAGACATTACAGTGGAACAACCCTTGTTTGAGTCGTGGAATACCCGCCTGTATTATAGGTACGTAGGTTAATATGCATGTCTTTTGTGACTTTTTTTCCGTTTGAAGCCACAAAATTGCTTAAAATCTGAAGAAGAATGCATAACAATTAACCTCTTGAGGTTTCAGCTCAGTATATACTATATACATGTACATGCATTTAAAGAAAAAACAGAGACAACCTATCCTTGATTTTTTCGGTCTCCTAACCTTCCTGTTTCATGTTATGAATTTCGCCCTTTCGAGATACAATCCTTAAATCACCAATCGGGACTTGATTCTTACTCAGCTGGTAAGGAGTCTGGTTAATACTTTGCACCAACCGGCAAGCATTGGCACTCACTTACCCCATGGGTTAGAGTCGTGCCCAATTAAAGTTTTAAACAACTCTGAACCAACATCAGTGCCCAAATAATGGATTAAAAAAGTGGGCCACAGACACACTTTTTAAAAACCATCTTTGTTGATTGGTTTCTACCGAATGATACCATTTCAGGTAGAAATATTTCACAGGGAATTTGATACATGATCCAACTTCACTTTGAGCAAAGATTTTGTCATTTAATTAGTAAGTATGTTTCTGGTTAATTCCAAAGATCCTACGTACCTTTAATCTGTAGCAGTTAGGAAGCATGAACTTTAAGGTATAAGGTTACTACACTAAGTGATAACTAAAATTAGGTTAATCGAGGTGCTGAAGACAAAGTTATTCAAAGATTGGCACTCGCTTCAATCATAAACTTACTTTTTGGTTTTATGGTTTTTCGTCCGTAGGCCCTCCCTAATCCAAGTCAGTAGAGTGTCGATTGAGCCATCGGAAGCTGTAATCTTTTCACTCTCTTCTTCGTTAATGATGTAGGATAAAGTGAGAAGACACTGCACGCGCACGATGAGAAACGTACAAGCCATGAGAGTATGTAGGATCTCCACAGCTCCTGCCTTGCGGTAGACGGCTCGGTTGTCGTCACCCAGGCGGATGGAGTTGAGTAGAACCCCTAAGATTCCCTGGACCACGTTCCGCTTGGTCTCCTTCTTCAGCTTATCGTGGGCCAGCTCGGGATGCGTGAGTTCCTTAATGGTCATCTCCAGGGCCCCGTTGTTACCTAGGGCCGTGCACAGCTCGGCCGTGCAGTCGGTGAAGTTCCAGTAGGCAACGCGCATCTTCTTCAAGTTGATCTGCGCCTGCTTGCGGCTCTCGTCTTCGCTGTCGACGTTGAAGAGATCGTGGCTGTAGAGATTCCTGTGGATGGCGACGTAGAGGTCCGCGAAGCCCAGCTCCGTGATGTATCTGCCAAGCTCCGGCCGATTGATCCTATCCATGGAGATCTTGGCCAGTGTGGTGAACTTCTCCAGGCTCTCCTCAGTTGCATAGTCCTCAGTGGTCATCAAGAAGGTCACGGTCTCGGAGATGCTTTCTTTCTTCTCTTCCACGCTCACTTCTTTTGAATCTCCTTCATCTTCTTTTTTATCTTCTGCTGTCTGTGCCTCCCAGGCAGTATGAGTCTTCTACAAAACAAAACAAACAAAATGAAAAAGGGATAGTAAAACCTAGTAAACATTTTTACTTTTTAAAACCCCCTTGTACATGTAATTCCCCAAGATTACCCTGCTAAATCCAACAGAGTCTGACGGTTACTCATAATAATAATATTTATATAGCGCTGTAACTGTCAAAGTACCACCGCGCTCATTGGAGTTTCCTGCTCAATGCAACACAGTCTAACACAACCCAACTTGCCAAGTTGTTGGGGACCTGAAAATGTAAAATGACTGGCATGCTCAATCCAACAGAATCCAACTGTGCCTTAGTTTTCAGTTGTCTGCTGGATCCAACAGAGTCCAACTTGGCGTTATTTACCAGTACCCAACAGAATCTGACTGAATGTTTCCAGTTGCCTTCTGAATCCAACAGATTTCAACAGGAATATACACCAGGGGTTTACTGCCCAATCCAACAGGACCCAGCGGGTATGTAAAATAGTTGGATCTTGTTGGATTGAGCAGGGTTAGGGTTAATATCCGTCTCCAATTTCACGGAGAAGCTAAGACAAAACAAATTATTATCAGATGGAATTTTGCGTCGGGGTGATATAAATCAAAATTAGGTTTTGCCCTTCACTGACGTTGAACACAGTGTGTTACCTCCTGAGTGAAAGTTGGATAAAATCACTCGGGTGGGACTCGAACCCACGACATCCTGCTTTTTAGTGCAGATATCTTACCACTCGACCACCGAGCTAACAGGATCGGTTGGCTGGTTCGAATCTGATGTACATAGCAGCGGGTACCGCATAAACTATTATAAGATGGAATTTTGCGTCGGGGTGATATAAAACAAATTGCAAACATAAGCCGAGAATCAGCCAATAGCAACAGACATTGTGACAATTTGGCTTGTATTCTGATTTGGCTATGAATGTTTTGCCTGGACTGACAAAATGTCCTTGATAATTGCAGCTCTACAAGCAGGTCACTGGACGGTGAGTAAGACAAGTACTTACTGGGTCAGGTGCGTCTGTGCAATCTGCTTCAACCTCGTTGGACATGCTGTCTGTACTATTGTTCATGTTTGAACCATTGGATGGAGGTCCTCCTCCTCGTCTGTGTGAGCTGGCACTGCTTCCCATGGCATGTCAAAGGTCATCAGGAACAAAGTGTGCCGAACGGTGGTCTTACTTCATCTGAGGAAATAAATGTAGTAATAATAATAATAACAGATAATTTATAAGGCACACAGTATCTGGAGAACCATTCAAAGGCGCCGGTCACAAGCAAATCACTGTGGTTTAAATGATAGATTGAAAAGATGAGTCTTAAAGGGAATATACATCATTTGCTTTTGCTGTAATTTTCAGAAATGGATGGAATTGGGGGGTTGGAAATATATAGCAAATATAGTTACACTGACTTTTTTGAGATTTTGGGTTTGAAAATGCTATAAAAACCAAGAAAAACAATCATTTTCCTGTAGTCTGGTTCCCTGACTCCATATAAGAAGAAACAGAGCAGTTTACATACATTGGGGAATTGTAAGGTCAGGGAACCAGTCTAGCTGGCTTGTACCCGTTCATAGGTGTGTAATCGATTGCAAACAAGTGCGATGGTCAATTGGGGCCAATATTTGAAAAAAAGCCAGTTTTTTCCAACGCTGGTCGGCCGACCAGCGTTGGAAATTGATACAAAACTACCACTTTTCTTGAAAATGACAGTATACCAGGTGCCATGATTTTACAGGATGCTCTACGCTGTCATTCACTAACAGTCCAGCAAGGTATTTCAAAATGATTTGGTAGTTTTATTTTTTGATGTTTGCAAATGTTGTATATTCCCTTTAAGATGGCGTTTGAATGATGACATATCAGTTGTATCCCTTAACTCGTCTGGCAAGGAATTCCAGAGAGGCGCTGCACAGCTGGAAAAGGCCCAGTCCCCGTAGCTTGCCAGGCGAGTTTTGGGAACAGAAAGTATCTGTGATGAAGAAGATCTGAGGCCTGGTCGCATGTTGCGAAGTTGTAACAGGTCTCGTATGTAGGAGGAGCTAATCCATGAAGGGCTTTGAATGTAAGGAGCAGGATTTTGAATTGTAGTAGACATCAAAAGCATCACTGGACAATGGCACGAGACAACAATTAAAGTAAAGCTCGGAATACTGCCTGTATCCCATTCCCCCATAAGATTAAGAGATATATGGCCCACTGTTGCCTTCTATACGTGTGCCGTTCTAGAAGTAGGCCTACTCCGAGTAACTAGGACGCTACAAATCGCATTTTTTAACATGTGGTCAAGTTATGACCAAATGTTAAAAAAGGCAATTTGTACAGACCAGGGTCCCTACTTATTCGGACTAAGTAAGTAGGCTTAGTAGGTTAAATCTAAGTGACCCCAAGAAATATACTGCAATCATTTTCGGACAAACTCTCTACAAATTTAGCCTGAAAATTTCAGGATAACTAGACCGTTCTACAGGAACAGAATTCAATACGCACTTTCAAGGTAATATGCGCCATCTTGCTTTGCGGGGCAAATTTACACGCATTGCTGTGAATGCATCGGCAATCAAAAACTTTTGCGCTTCCAAGTCATCATGCATTCATTCCAAAATGCGCCCGCGTTTAGCAACGCATGTTTTTTTTGCCCCATGAACAAGATGGCGCATATTACCGTGAAACTGCTTATTATTTAACCAGGTACATTGTACATGTAACATTAGTCCGAGTAACTAGGGCTCTACAAATCGCCCTTTTTAACATGTTTTATTGAGAGTAGTACATGTAGTAAGTATCTTCTTCCATAGTAAAAATCATATGAAAAAAAAAACAGTTTTGATTTCAATTTCCTCCAAAAAAAAACTTTCTTCAGAATATCACTTTCTGAACAGAATAGCCTATAAAGAGGGTCAGTATACTTCTAAAGCAAAAATTAACTACAAACTAAGCCAAAATGTGAAAATCTAAATTTGACAAAGTTCGACATGTTTTTGTACATGGTGGAAGTGTGACCGTTATTTACGGAGGTAGGCCTGCTAGTCCAGTACATTGGCCACATCACACAGCCTGGGCAAGGCCCAGAGCGCGCTCTCGAGCGCCTACTACATTCTTTCCTATGCATAGTTAAATCACCAAAGATCTTGTGTACGTACAGTTACGGGAAATTTGAGCCGATTCACTTCAATAAAAACTGACAGATGCGAGGATTTCCTTTTCTCACACCACTCAACTCAGCAGCCACTTCGCTTTCGACGGCGTCTGCGTAACATTGGTGATTTTTTGTTTGCTTAAATACAGTATGGCACCTGTTCTTCACAGCGGAAAACGTGACGTTTGAGATCATCTTACGTGTGGTTACCTGCCTATTTTATATATATTTTTTTAGCGAGCTTAGGCTAGAGGGCGCAATTTCTCTTTAATGCTGGCAGCAGTGGCTCATTATTTCGGCCCGGCCTGATCGATCGGCTCGGACGGCCCGGGCGCATAAAAAGCCTGCGCGCTCCTTGCATCCTCTTATTCTTGTTATTAGCAAAGATAAGTTTTCCCCTGCTAAATTAGCCCTTGGATTAAACCAAGGAAGTAGGAAGAGAGGTCTACGGGTCAAAATAAACATTAACCTAGCTACATAATTAGCCTAGGGTTCCACTGTATGTACTCCACTATAAACGCGCTAACAACACAAAATCGGACAGAAAATAACCCCGCGTGGCAGGCACTCAGGAGCAAGGCTGTGATTTGTTATGCACTGGAAATCAAAGATAACGACCTCCAGGACAAGTTTCTTTTCAATTTTACCAGTAATATCCTATTCATGTTTGTTTATGCCCCTCCTCCCCAATTGACCCCAAACCACTCCTAAAACGGTTGCCATCTGCGGCCCAAGTGCAGGTGTAACCTCACCCCTCCCGGCAATAGATCTAGACGTCGGTTTGGTGAACGAAGTCCCCCGACTGAGTTGGCAGGCTCAAGCCCCAAATGATTGATCTCCAGGAACATTTCTGCAATTTCAGGCTCAAGTGTAGGCCGTAAGGACCTCTTACACAGTCAAAATTATCTGTGGGATCCCAGAATATTAAGGCGCGCGCAGGAATTCAGAGAGTGCACCCCTGGATGATAGAATTACCTCTAGTAGGGCCCACTCTGGTTGAGGGAAAAAATCCATTTTGTATTTGTTTATTAATAAAATCCATTATTATTTTGAATGGTAATGATAAAAAAACTGTATTGAAGTTCATAATTGGGTTCTGGATCTGGTTCTGGTTCATGTTGATTCGGTAAAATTTCCTTGGTTGCATGTCGTTTGTAGAATTTTTGTTGGTGCCCCTGGTATTTCTTGAGTTTTAAGGTGAGGTGCTCTGCTCGTGAGATGGCAACCAGTTCGTGCTTGATTTTGTAGAGCATTGATAGTCTTTGTATCTGTCTATGCTCTTTCAGGTCTCCCCACTTGAGGTGCTCCAGGATTCCAGTGACTGTTCCCTCTTCCCTGCTGTAATCCTTTGTGCAGAATCTTGCTGCCTGTCCTTGGACTCTGCCCAGTGTTTGGCGTTACACTCGGATAGTGGGTCCCACGCAGTCACAGCATACTTCAGTTGTGGACGCACCAAAGATAGGTATGCCGTGATTTCACATCTTTTGGGCATCTCCGCCTGATGACTCCGAGGACTTTGGGGCTCTGGCTGCAGCAAGCTGTGTTTGTTTATTTCAACTGAGTGTGTTTTGGAGCTCCACACATTAATAAGGACTGGAGTCTTTCGATGTGAGTTGTTGTCCGCAGAAGGTCCTGTAGGATCTCTTCCGGTTAGCGAATGTGATGGTACAGCACTTGGATAGATTAAAGTCCACAAGCCATTCATTCTGCCATGATTTCAGCAACTTGAGATCGTTTTGCACAAACACCGAAGTTCGATTCGGAAGCCTGAAGAATGACAGATATTTCAGGGGAAATTGATTGGGAGCCCAAATGCGCATTGTTCGAACCGAACCACCGTGAGTGTGAAAGGAAAGTACCGCGCCGTGCACCACTGACATGACATCATCGTTAAAGGTATAGTCCATCATTTGTAATTTGTGCATTTTGTTCGTTTGAAGCAACAAACGTGCTCAAAATCTAAAGAAGGGTATTGAACAACTCATCTGATGAAGTTTCAGCTCAGCTTCAGCTATATATTCTGAGAAAAACAGCATTCTAGGATCTCGATTTCAAATCAAAAGTTGCTGATCATGTTTTGAATTGGGCCTGAATTCAGCGTCCGAGACACGTTCTCACTCAGCCGATTGCAGCTACGCGATGTCGAGAACTGATCCGACGACGAGTATTTCACTCGTCATCCTGGCAAGATAAAACATGCTATCTTCTCGTGTCGAATCCTCTCATTTATACATTTCATGACATCTCGTCGTGAACTTTCGGATTTCAGTGAAACCGTCGGTGGACGAGCAGGATCCGGAGCGCTGAGGTTGAGGGTAGCCTAGGCCTGTGCCTATAAGCCCAAATCCCAAATCCCAACTTCAGGTTCTTTCGTAACCACATATCGCTCTACCCATGGGCCCCAATGACCTCCAATTTCCGACTGCTTCTATCGTCACGTCGTCATCTAGAAAGATTTACCTTTAAAAGGGCATCTTCCCAGGCCACGTACGTCCGCACACTCGTTGCGTATAGTGTTTTTCCCAACACTAGATTTTCCCTGGAAACATTTCACCAGGAAACAAATAAAGTTCAAGCATAACCCTTTTACACCACAACAAAACAATCTCATCCCGCCCGATACATCCTCAAGGAACATGGGCAAAACAGGTCCCATCTCCAGGAGCCAAACGGCTTCGCGGCAGCCTGAGACCTTTAAAAGGTCCGCTGAGTCGGGAAGACATCTTTTCTTGCCCCATCGCTGCTCATTTTGCCGCAAAACAAGTTCACAAATATGTCAGGATTCTCAAACATCTTCTCTTGAGGCTTGACCTTATCTTGCATATCCGCTCATCGGCCACGCCCCCGGCCATCCCACCTCGCCCAACCGTGCGGGGCATGCATAGCATAGGCGCGCTGAAAAAAAGGTACCCTACTAGCTTTCACATTGGCTTGTCGTCTGCTGCTCTCTTGTGGGTAGCCCGCCCCCTTGTGACAGATGTGACAAAATTAACAAGAATGGACTGGTCCCTAATGCCCTAATAGGAAAACGCATCGAAAACCCTTTTAGGCGACAGGGGACCAGTGAGCTGGAGATGTTATAAATACCACGTACAAACGAATCCAGCAAAATAACAGGAGGTGTGTTGAATTGAACCAGAGGAATCGCATGCGGCAGAATTGACGGACTTTCGGGCATCCTCCGAGTTCCTAATTCTGCGGCGAAGTAGGTTTTGAGAAAGGCAGGGGAGATGGCAGCTAGCAGTGCTTCGCCGTTGATTGTCCGTCTGGTGTCAGCCTCCGTGGCGATAGCCAACAGAGCCGGCAGCATCATCAGAAAAATCATGAAGGATGGTTCGCTGAATATCGTGCAGAAGGTAAGGCAGAACGTCCACTCACTGCTGTCAGTGTCAGTGCGACAGTTCTGGATCACTTTTTACACAAATCGCTGTACACTCTTAAAGTTATAACCAAATATGTTCACACTACACACAAAACCACATCGTGTGTATCCATGGAAGATCTGCAACTGTCTCACGCGGGATAGCTTTGGAAAGATTCCCATATCTGGCCATCACTTTTCACTCTGTCATGTCTGTGCACAAACTGTATGAGACCATGGATGATGGAGGAATGTCTATTCCTTCCTCCATGATAAGACCTGTCTGAAAATTTCGAAGTGTTTTCTCAGTAAATCGTTTTGTAAATTCTTTAATATTTTCCCTGCTAAAGTTGAATTTTTAGGACATTCAATTTGTATTACCCCCTTCTGATGGCTTAACTAAGTAAAGGGAAAAATGAGTGATGGCCAGATGTGGGAATCTTGATTCTTTCATAGTTTTAGCGAATACGGCAATTCAGTTGAATAATTCAAATGCCCAAACCATTATTACTCAGCGATACTTGAGATTATTTCCTTACGAGGAAACCCAGTAATAATATAGTGAAGAAAAAATTATAAATGTTGACTACGTTCCACAGGAAACCAGAATTTTGCCTTTGCGCACTTCTCTTCACAGGCCAGTTACAAAACAACTGGATATTTCGCCTTACTGGATGGTGGGTAATGTTTGAGTGATTTTCAAAATTTCTTTTCCCAGACAATTGCAAAATAATCAGTATGAAAGACCTTCAAATTGGTGAAAAAAATGTCGAAAAAAAAAAGTTTGGTTACCATGGTTACAGTGAATTCATTTTTTATTTAAACAAATGATCCGGAAATGTTGATGATGCTGGCTCAGTTGTAGCATTCACTGCTTCTTGAGGGAGAGCAGTCCACACATTAATGACTCGTTGGGAGAAGAAGTTCTTCCTGCGGATCCTGCAGCCAATATTCTTGTTTAAAGCTGGTTTGAAGATCGTTAGAAAGTGACTGCTTGTCGCTGTCTTGAAAATGTTTCTACCGTCGAGGTTCTCAAATCCCGTTCACTGCTTAAAAGTTTCTATAAGGTCTTCTCTTAATCGTTGTTCTAGCAAGTAGAGGTCCAGGGCTTGGACCTCGCCATGAACTGGTTGTGACTGCCCCAACGCTAGTTGGCACAGTTGCTATATAACGTTAGCTTAGGAAGTTAGGATGCATGAACTAACACTAGATAGCTTGTAAGTGTGCAGCAAGCGTGACCCTCAGGTGAATCGTAAAAAGTTACTTTCCTTCCAGCTGCAGTTTGTTCTTTGACACGTTAAGTCCCAATTTGTTTGAACGGGGAAGCAGTGACGTCATTAGGAATGCGCCCAGCACTGATGTGATCCCGAAGAACTTTTAAATCAGTAGTTTCCTCTACTTTCCTTAGAATGAAACTGCACTAAAGTAGAAATGTTGACATTAAAGAATGTAACTTCAGGTATATGTCAAAACCTGATTTGATTTACATCACCCCGACACAAAAATTCCATCTTATGTACTTGAAAGAATAAGGCTAGTTACTCGCCTAAATACGGATTTTGCATTTCAATTTGTCCCCCCATCTTTCGGTACAAGTTAAAACATAATTAAAAAAACTATTTTGGCATAATGTATGAACTTTTATCCCCACCTTAAAAACAAAGACTCACAATAACGCTTGCATTTTGCATACTGTACATGTGTAAAAACAAATAAGGTGCTAAAATGACAACCTTAACTCCATAATTTTAGCCCCCACACATTTTTTGGGACAAAAATACACAACTTTACATTTTATAAACTAATTCTATCTCACTGACACACCATCAAATGAAAGGTCCATTTTTATTGTCCCCTTTTATTTGATACCACATTTGAGGTTGTGGTGTTTGTGGAGATTTGTAATTCTCCACTTTTCAGCCACGTCCACTTTTGCTTGGAACTGCCCAAGTACAGAATACTCCAGAAGTAATTTTAGTAATCAAAGGAGTAGTTGGAAAAAAAACCCACAACCCAAATCCACTGAAACGCTATTTAAAATGTCAGGCCGCATTTAGAAACAAGAACATCATGTCAAATTAGGTTTGCCCTTCACCGACATTTAAACACTGTAGGCCTAGACTCAGTGTGTTGCCTCCCGAGTGAAAGTTGGAAAAAATCACTCGGGTGGGACTCGAACCCACGACCTCCTGCTTTCTAGTGCAGATGTCTTACCACTCGACCACCGAGCTAAGGGGATCGGTTGGCTGGTTCGAATCAGATGTACATAGCAGCAGGTACCGAATTAACTATTCATAAGATGGTATTTTGCGTCGGGGTGATGTAAATCAAATAAGGTTTGCCCTTCACCGACGTTTAGACACTGTATACTCAGTGTGTTACCTCCCGAGTGAAAGTTGGAAAAAATCACTCCGGTGGGACTCGAACCCACGACCTCCTGCTTTCTAGTGCAGAAGTCTTACCACTCGGCCACTGAGCTAACGGGATCGGTTGGCTGGTTCGAATCAGATGTACATACCGGGTAGCAGCGGGGTTTACATCACCCCGACGCAAAATTCTATCTTATGAATGCGGTACCCGCTGCTATGTACATCTGATTTCCAACTTTCACTCGGGAGGTAACACACTGAGTATACCGTGTTTAAACGTCTGTGAAGGGCAAAACCTAATTTGATTTACATCACCCTGACGCAAAATTCCATCTTTTGAAGAACATTATTAATATAAGGGGAAAAGGGCAGCAACTAGTCCCAACTTGTTTTGGTGATTTCCGGTTTTTCCACATTCTATTTGTTCCAGTTTCCCGTCATAATAAAGAAATGTACTGTACGTGTATTATCATTGTAGGGTGTTGGACAACCTCGTCCTCAGGGTGTCAAGCAGTACGCGCCCACCACTACCTGCTCTCTAACCCTGGTATTGGATCATTTGCATGTGCAAGATTTTTGAACACGTATGCAAATAAGGAATAGTCTGGTGCCTGCCTGTGCGTTACATTTGCATTTGTTTTTGTATGCGGTGTCTGGGGTAAAAACAGAATCAATTCTGCATGGCATGAGTTACGAAAATACAATTTTATTTTAATTAAACTGTTACGATCTTAACGAGAAAACATGCAGTATCACATTCCATATTAATATGAACAAATTGGAAAGGAAATGAATATTTCAAAGAAGGCGTGGACGAATGATCACGAAAACACGTACTGCACGTTGTGAATAACAACACCAAGTACGCGATATAAATCCATTTCTAGCCAATTGGGGTATCGAAACAGGATACAGGAAGAAAGTTTCCTATCCAGGGCTTACTATTGGAAACACGGTTGGAAATAAAGTAAGCACTGGGGACGAGGTTGGGGTGTTGGAAGGCTTGTAAACAGGAAGTACATTGTATGGTGGATCAATGGTGACAACAAAATTAAGCCTTGTTTTTGTATCAAGAGAACTTTAAAAAAATGTCTACAAAAAGAGGTGCACCTCATTTTGTAGACTTTTTCAAAGTTCTCTTGATACAAAAACAAGGCTGTGATCATGCTTTGTATGCTTTCTGTATTATGCACTTACACATGTACATGTACACGTACTGGTAGTGTACTGGTGCATGTACGCAGGGATGTGTACCAGTACATGTACATTGTATCCTTCAATACCGTGTAAACATTCTTTTAAGTTTTAAAAAGAAACATATTGTGGGCATAAACATCTAATAGTACCAAACTGTATGATCAGAGTACTGCATGATATCATCATACCGGTAGACATCACTGTAATGACAATAATTTAATCACCCCTGGCGGAAGGGCGTATTTTCACTTGATATGAGGCATGTACCGGTACATGTACGTAGGCACACTTTACTGAAGCATGGTATCAGAGTTTGCCTACAGTACCCTTGATCCTGACATACTTGTATGTATTGGGCGCAATTGGTGGATTTCCACTCAATCGTGCAGAAATACGTTGGCGCGATACATACCGGGTTACCGTACATGTACGTCGATTACGAACAAAATCTGAAGATTTTTCTTCTCTTTTTGAAAAACACTCCTTTGGAGCTGTAAATTAGAAAGAAAAGGTGATCGATCGATGCCAGCGTGATTGACCGATGGTGGCACAATCGACTGATAGTGCAGTGCGATCGACCAAAAGCGCAGAGCAAAAGGCAAGAGCATACATGTAGATCCAGTGATCGCCCTGAACAGTGTACATGTAGTTAGTGCTAAACGTATAACATGTGCAAGAGTGGAAAAGGATGATTTCTTGAAAAAGAACCATAACCCTTACCCTACTTGACCCTCCAATGCATGCCAATTGTGCCTCAAGATGTTTTTTGCATGGCCCTCCAATATCTGCCATGTCATTTCAAGGGTAACTGGACAGGCACTCCAATACATGCCACAGAGAACAATGAGAGTCCTCTGATAACAAAGTGAGTGCCCCCAGCTGGTCAGTATCAGGCACCCTCCAGGGCCTCCAACTCCTGCCAATTGGAGCCTTCACTGTTAAGACTTGTTATCTGCCAAATAACTGCAGCTGGAGGGCATTGGCATACCAACTGACATGCAGTAAACTACCCTCAGAGAGTAAGGGTTAATTAATTAAGGAAGAAAAGCCTTTGGAACGACAAAATATTATTACGTGTGCTTAACCCTAACTCCCTAGGGGGTGTGCAAAATCGTATTGAATTTGGAGGATTCAGGACTGTTAGGGCTATTGGACCCACTGATCACTGGCCTGACACTCCCTACATGTAGGTTAGATGTAATTTTTCAAACAGTACCACACCCCAAAAAATAGCGTTTTGAAAATTTGTGAAAAAATTCAAAGCCCCATAATGTCATCACAAAAATTCTGGGTCCTGGCTCCCTGTAGCACGTTGAGATGCATGCGCAATGTCACCGTGCCCTGTGGTCTGGTTCCAAATAGTCGACCAGAGTAGTTTAACCATCCTTCGTTCAAGTGAAGTTACCGGTAGTTGAACTACATGTATATG